TGTGAGACTTTTGGCAATACTACCTGGCAGGATGATAAAGTGTGTGGTGTTCCAACACCCCGGTAAAGATTAATTGGAAGTGCAATCACTTTTCCCAATTACGTCTTGCTCTTGAAACCAAGCCTGATATTAACACGCACCATTTGTGTTCAACTGGAGACCCTCAGTTATTATAAAGCACCTGAAGCCACTGCACAGTCAAGTGGCTAAAAGCAGATATTCTTTAATAATAATAAAAAAGACTTTGAAGAAATAGAATTATCTTTTTCAATGCCACAGACACTTTTTGAAAGCGGCTGCTGTATAAGATGAAAACTGTATATTCGGAACATGAATAAAAATACATATGGAAAAGAAGGAATAAGAACCGAAAGTATAATAAACTTATTTTCAACTATGGTTCCTCCAAAACAGAGTGTTTAGATCTAATCCCCTGCAACATACACAGAAATGAAGATTAAATTAAATCTTTGTCCAACCTTTAGTCTCGTAAACATCTTGCTTGTGTCGGACCTTTGCACTTTATGTTATTGTATAACTTTGATGAAAAAGAGTTTTGGCTGCAATTTTGTGCAGCACCTCTCAAAATTAAACTACTATCCAAAATATAGTGACTCAAATCAATGAGATAATTGAGTCTTCTTAATATTCATGTTTGACCTTTCTTTGGACGTGTTTATTCCATCAAAGACTGGATGACTGTACTGATATTACTGTTCTTGTGGTCCCTACATGCCTCCTGTGTAGTGTCACGGAAATCATGTACTGCCCGATTTGTGAATGGTTTACATTTTGAAAGTTTTAATTATTAAGTACATTATTACATTTTAGATATAATTCTGTTTATTCCTGTTTCCCCAGCTCCCTTTGTACTGCTCTCTGCTCAGGGTAATAAATCTCTCATTATGTATTTGTCAGGTGAAGAAGGGCTTCCTGAGCTGAAACCCCTGCAGGCAAAATAATGAAGAGATGTTCACTGGACCGTGACAACATCCAGGCAAAGTCACTCTGAGAGGAAAGCTGATGTCTGACAAACCTTGTGCATTTTTTTCCTGTAAAAACTTGGAAATTTACAGAGAGAAGAGCCTCTGTTTCTGGATAGATCTTTCAAACCAAAGTAGAATCTGCCTCTTTCTTTGAACATTTTCATGCATGGCTGTCCACAGTGTCCACAAAGGAGTGAAAACCAGGTGTGTTTCTGTATTGTTTCTACTTATCGGTTACAGGAAGCAATAACAAACTGAAGTGGCTATTTCAGATTTAAGGATATAGCTGTCACATTTTAATTTTCTGTGTTTGCTCGAGATATTTACAGATGTACAATGTATTGATCTAATCGTCCCGCCTCGCAAGCTACTCGGCTCCAGAGTAAGTCACTGAGTTTTGAAATGATTGTTTTGTCATCAGCTTGTCATTTCTTTGTTTTGTTGTTTTTGAACGATGGATATATGATAATAAAAATATCATTATTAACATATAAAGTCCAAAACAAATTTCTGGTTTCTTTATGGTGTGTATTAGCTATTTTTCTCTGGTTCCCTTTTAAATATAATCTTTCAAACTTTTGTTAAGTTTTTTTAAAGAAATGTATTCATTAACATTACAGTTTAAATTCAGACTAAATTATCCACATCAGTTGCTATAACCCTGTGAAGTTATGATAGCCCATGTGGTAATATGCACAGATCTAAACTTGTGCATATTCTAAAGATTATTAAAAGTTTACTTTTGTTTGAAGTTTTCAATAGCTCTTGTCATCCACTCAGTCATCTCAACCAACATCCAGTCCTTTGCCATCTTATCCATATTTCCATTTCAGTAGTGCTTAAAAACAATCTTTATTTTAATCATGAAAATAAATAAAGCATCTTCTTGACTCAGCACACTGAGAAGCTGAAGAAACGTCCTCAGCTGTCTCATAGCGATAAGACTGATCAGTGAAATTGCACCTGACGGAAATAAATAACCTGGAGGAGTGGAGTGAGGGAGGAAGGGAGAGACAAAAAAAGGCTCTAATCATTATGCAAATGTCTCAGCTTTTAAACACTTCTGGCATATGGGGTTGTTTGGTGGCCACTTGGGCAACAGGGGATGGCAAATAGACTTTGAGTCACTGTATAAGTGACACAGAAATTAAGAAGAACAGACAGTTAGACTAAACTGTGTGCAACAATATTTACACAGTAGGACTTTTTCACCATTAGATCTCAAATGTCTGACAAACTTGTGAACAAAACAGTTTACACATGTTGGTTTCACTCGTATATGCACGTGCACGGATACATACACAAGAAGGAGATGAAAATGTGAAGCTCGTGGCCCTGTCCTTTCAACAGATGGTGTCTAGACAGAGACAGGTGACGAGTTAAACCCAGATAAACCCAGCGGAAAGGGGAAAAAAAACAAAGGAGAGACATGAGGGAGATGGAGCCTTCAAGAAATACATTACAAAAACAGGACATCCTTAAACGTAACAAGTTCTCGCTTTTTTAGAGCTGTGATATGGATGATATGGATATACAGATATGGATGGATGGAGTGGGGCTCTGTTCAACACATTAACATAGTGTAAAATAAGAGATGATTGAAAATGTAATTAAATCATGCCAGATGTTGGAGACACTCCCACAGTTTGGAGGTAAAGCTCGGACAGATATGGAGGAATCTGTTGTTTTTCCTTGAAACTGTCATTTTGGAACTATTACATTTAGATTTATTGGTTCTGGCTGAGATGTAGACCGACCATTCTCAGTTTCTCCACTTACAGTCTGTCCATACTCTGGTGTTTCAAACAATATGCAGGCACTCTGCTTACAACGGTTCACTCATTATTGATCTTAAAGTTAAACGAATGGGGGACCTGCTTTTTCAGAGTGGTTTTCCCGCCCTTTGATATCAGTTTCAATCTTCTTCAATTCTTCAACATCAAGTTTAGCATTTCAACCAAAACCCGATAATTACAATTATGTCTCCTTTTTTTTTTTACCTGTAAGTTTCTGGTCTTTTTAAATGTGACTTTTCTTTCTGGTGATGAGTGGCATGTTTTCCTTATTTCCCAGATGACAACACAGAAATGATCCCATGTGGCTTGGAGAGAAAGTTAATGTTGTTTACCGTAAGCCAAAGTTTTCTCAGTGACTGCACATGATCCCCATTGAACATTTATAGTGCCATTTCTCACAGGGTCCAAGGAAACACTTTCCATCAGCAGCTCAGAGGTGGAGGCCTTTTGGTGATTAGCTCCCAGTAATTATGTTGGTATGGATAAGCAGTGACATTTCTATGAGGAACGAGCACATCTCAGAGAGAGAGAGAGTCACAATGCCGAAACAATCCAACAGAGGATTTCAAATTGTCCTTTTACTGTTTGGGGTATTAGCTGAAATTACATTTAAAGCCCACACTTCCAAATCAAGTTATAGCCTTTAAAGTTGTTTTGTTATGTTTTAACACATGTTGGTGGTTTAACCCAAATTTAATTAGATTTTTTTTTTCCAAAAGCATTTAGTAAAACTAAGAAAGCATCACATGACACCAGTTCCTGTCTCTTTACCCTTTATGGTTTTTGCACCATTCACCACTGGCATTTCCTATTCCTTTAAAATCATCTATTTATAGCATGCATGGGACAAACAGTTTTCTGATTCTGATGAAATTCATATTTTGAATTTGAATAGACTGGGCCAATTCAGATGGCATGCAAACGTCGCTGGGTGCCAGTCCCAGCCTTCTGAATCTGCCCTTTATTCCTGCTATGAGCTTCGTTGTTTTAGTGGCAGCATTTCAGAGATCTTTCATTTATCACACTGGTGATATTATTCTCTCTCAATTTCTTGTCCTCTGGTGGCATTTGACAGTTTAATTTTTATTTAGATTAGCCACCACTGCCAGGCTTGTGCCGGTTAAGTTATGACCCATGATGGACTCCATATATTTCAGTTTATTTGATCTGTTTATATACATACTTAGGACTGGGCGCACAAAAAAAAAGCTCTGAGTAAAAACGCCTGCTGATGATAAAAGCGAAGGTGGGGAGCTTTGGGCAGCAAACAGTCGTTAATAATCACGCTGTGCTTGTCGTCACATGGTGTCAGTTTGATGGAGAGATGGGAGTGTCTCCATGCACACACACAGGTGAGGCCGGAATAAAAGCGGCACATGGGCAGAACGTGGAACGACAAGATGAGGAAGACTGCGTTGAAGGTCGCCATTCCATTTTTTCGTCTGATATTTACACAGCCAAGACAGCCATGAATCTTGGTGAAGGACGTCTTTGCCTCAGGTTGCCTGAACTGACTTGTATATCGATCCACCTGGAGCATGTTCCTCAGTCATCTAAAACCCATTTAAATGTGAAAGGTAGGTTAGAATTTTAACTCGTTTTTTCATTCTGACCCTGCCGAGATTTTATCAGCAAAAAAAGTTGTTTTGTTTTTCATTTTAAATTTGTTTAAAAAAACAATCAATCTAATATTCGACCTAGACTTGTCAGAAATAGCACAAATACCCATCTTGCGTTTTGTTGCTTTCCCAAACGAAACGTTCGCCTCCTGAAGAAAGTATTCTTCCTTTCACTTACGTGGGCAGTTCGTTAGAAATCGGCGGTCAGATGAGTGACAGGACACCTCGCTGGTTTTGGAGACATCAATATCTCATTTCTTTGTTTACTTGTTTGTTGTTTTTATCGCCTCCTTAATGCTTCAGAACCTCGGACAGCGTTTATCGCCTCAGGCAGTGTCTGTCCATCCTCCACTGAGGGGCAGCACAGCCCTCTCACAGCTCTGTTTGTAGAAACATATTTTGGAGGCAAAACATTAGTGCTCAAGAATTAATCGTTATGGAAAGTCACAGTCAAACATTTTGCTTCGCGCATTTGCTTCTAAATCTTATATGTGATGCATTCATGAAATGACTCTCCTTGAGTTATTTAGACATTCCCTGCGAAATGTGTTCTGATTCCATCGTGTTTTTGCAGCAAACTCAAGTGTGTGATCGGGAACATGATGCTCAGCGGCGACCAGCAGGACTCCAGTCTCCCCTGGGGGCAGACGGAGAGGGAGACCTTTCTGCTGGGCCCGGTGCCAGCTGCGCGCGTCGGTGGAGAGCTCTGTGCGCGCTCCGGGGAGCACAGGAGGCGCAGGAGGCGCGCCACGGCTCGGTATCGATCTGCGCACGCCTCCAGGGAGCGCGTGCGCGTTCTGGCCTTCAACCTGGCCTTCGCGGAGCTGAGGAAACTTCTCCCGACGCTCCCACCAGACAAAAAGTTGTCCAAGATTGAAATCTTGCGACTTGCCATCAGTTATATCTCCTACCTCAATAACGTACTGGGAGTTTAGGCTGTGGGGACAAACAGCTTTAGAGGGATGGCAGCAAATAGCACTAAACAAAACTGCAAATTGTAATATCTGAGTAACTCGTGCATCAGAAGGGTATTTTATGTGTCCAATTAAATGCTCCCTACAAAGACGCTGTTTAATTTACAAACGTTCTTTTCCTGATCAATGATATTCCATCGGGATCACCATGACTGAATACTCAACATGGACCTGTGAATGAAAATAACTGTGTTGTTCTATGAGACTCCCTTATATACGTGAGCCAGCCATTGTATTGCACTTTAAAGTTACCCTAAGCAAACTGTAAACATATTCAATAAAGAAAAGGGCATGAAAACACCATGTAAGTATGACTAATAGAAACCCAGAAACAAACTAAGCATCCTGTTACACTTGCTCAAGTGAGCAAAAAATGTGTGTCAGAATTATCAAAACAGGACAAAATACGCAATATCTTTCAGCTATGTGTTTGGAATTAGAGTCAAAATTATTTGTAAGAGATTTGCATTCAGCTTGTAAATATCAAAGCAGCACAGCAGGGTAAACAGACCTTTTTGAAGCACAGTGCTGGATGAGTATTTGCATAATTTATGGAAACAAAATAAAACTGAATATTTAGGACACTCTGCATCTTGGCTATATATCACACTGTACAATGCCAGGCTGTGGCTGTGAACTCGTCTGCATTTGCTTTTCCTCTCTGTTTGTCAGAGGCTGCCTTTGCTCCTACTACCATCCTTTTATGTGAATCTCTGCTGTGTAATGTGACCCAGGGGGCTCGAGAAGTATTGTTCATGTCCACTCCAGCAGCAAGAGTGACAGCCTTTTGTTCACACACTTCACATCATACACACTACACACCGATCAACACACTGAATACAGCCGATATGTCCATCCCTATAGAAAGGAGTCTGCTAACTTAAGAACATAAAATGTTGAACATTTCTTAAAGCTCATATGTAATCATGGTAACTTACCCATTCCATTTTAAATAGTGTTTTAGCCCACAACCCACAGAGGTTTTAAATATTCAGTTCAAACATTAACACACACAGATCCTCAATATGTTTAATTTAATGTGTGTGTATACGTCTGATGTCACTATGTGGGCTACATGCTTGTGAAGGAAATACTTTTTTTGTGAACATTTTAAGTATAGGAAATTGCTCTCAGAAGGATCAACACTGCCATCTGATGGTGTGTCCCAGAAGAAAATTCCCACATGTACCTTGCACAGGTTGTCTATTGTTTAAAGAGGCCTTATTCAGAAAACACAGGCCCTATTCATAGTGTATGTTTGAAACTTATCGTAGAATCTTTGTTACACAAAATGGCCGTATGTTCTACTCAGTTATTTTAGACTTTCAGATCTGTTTCTCGTCCTCTTGGCCCACAGACCCAGTTTAACTGCCTCTTATGGCTCGCTCTTTCCATCACCTTGCTTCATACAGGAGAAATATTTAAAGAATATGTATACTTTCCAAGTTACCCTTTGCTTTGGATGAAAGACCAAATGATTTATCAAAGGAAACAACTGAATAGATTACAGAAAGGGTTATTTTTTACTGATTATATAGTAATGGTATAGTACAGTATAGTAACTGTGCACTCCTCTTTTTTTCTTGAACTGTGGTCTTTCTTGTTCTTTGTTTCCTGGGTCCACAAATGACCGCTTTCATGGCAGTGAAAAATTGCCTTTTACCTTACATTTCTCCCCCTTGTGCAGCAAGAAATGGAATGCTGGATGGCAATTTATCCAGTGCAGAGGGTATATGTAACATGATACAAACCTTTGAAACTTTTCGAGAAATATGGTCGGAAGTGGATTTTTCCCTTTCTCATGGGTTATAGTTGTGTATGGAATTATAAAACCACACCTCTGGGTGGACACCTGACCACCATAACGCTTGTCCTTCAGGGTTTTAACCCACATTATTAGCTCACCCATCAGTTAAAACCAAATTCTCCTCCAACCTCTCCTCAAACACATGAGATATGCAATCAAAAACTATTTTGAAGAGTTTTCTCATACTTCAAACCAATAATTCTTTTTAACTATAACATAATCATAATGGAAAGCCTAAAAATGTGTATTCATTGGACTTTCTAAATGTAAAAAAAAAAACTAATAGAGTTTTTCGAGGTGCACATAGCCTTTATTACCACTAAACATTGCAGATCACTCATTCATCCAGTTAATGGCTTAGTTTATGTAGTTATGTATAATTGATAGCTCACTTTTTTTGTTTGTTAATAAATTGTTTATCCATCTGGGTTGTTCCCCCAGATGGATCCCAAGCATCTTCAAGTTGAGCGGAATCCTGTAATTTCGTTTTTGTTTGTTTGTTTTTTCAAACAAACTTGTTTATCTTATGGGCTGCAGTTAAATATATTTGGAATTAAGCAGTAATAACTGTGCTGGCATACTTGAACTCAACTGAACAAAGCAAAAAAGACATACTAATTGTGTAATGTTCTATTTAATTTTCTGTTCAAATGAAGAAAGGCACCCACAACTCCTTGTTAAAAAAAACACCCCCAGTCCTATCACCCCCACAAAATTATGATTATATTTCCTTTTTTAAGTTGACAGGTCAGAAGCAGCTCTGATCTTCCAGTGCCATGATTCTATTCTGAAATAATCGCACAGGACGACCTCTTGTGGGCCACAATGGAAAATTCTCATTGTGCTGCTCCTGCGAGTGTTGCACATCCACTCTGCCTGCCTCTCTGGTCCTGGAAACCACAATGGCCAGACGCGTATGAGGGAGCGCCTCTCAGCAGCTCACAGCAGCGCGGCGGAGCCACCGACACACAGGAATATCGCATTTTCCTCCCTCAGGTTGAAGGTAGGTAAAAGAAATCTACCTTGAAATGCTGCGTTTAGGTACGCGTATGCACAGAGATGAAGGTGTGTGTGTTTGTGGGGGGGGGGGGGGGGGGCCAAAGAAAAACCGCCAAATCTCACTGGTGAAGTTGGCCGCCGCTGGGCCAGGGGGAGAATGGTTTTTCTTCTTAGCAGACAGATGTGGCCTCATGACCTGTTTTCATCTAGACGGCGCTCCAGTTGGCCACCTCCCAAATGCAGCAATACGCTCCACAGCAAACAGACAGATTTTGATAAGGAGATTTGAGAGCATTTAGGCCACTGATGAACGGGATTCCGGGTGAGACAGAAAATGCACGCCGAAATTGCGGCTGTACAATAGCACGCGTAAAACACCCACTGCTTTGAAATGAATGAGTGGCGTTTGGGGGCGAGGCAGCCTGCACAGGACGACGGCGTTTAACGCCATCTGCAGAGGTTTGCACAGCTGGATGAGGTACCGCGACCACCACCGGCTTCACGGAGCTCCTCCGGCGGACTCACAATGCTGCAAGGACCGTGCAAAGTACCCAGCAGCAGCTATTTATTATGAAGAAGTGCTGACAGGTCCTGCGCAGGGAGGGTCAGGACACTGAGAGGGCTGAGAAACTCTTTATCAGATGAGTCATCCCATGAAAGATAGCAGTTCTTGCCAGGAATGATCAAAAGAAAGTAGTGTGCTGGTGCTTTCGTCTTTGTTCTCTCTAAGGCCATGATTCCTTACTGGCTGGACTGGATGTCAGAAGTGTAACAAGAAGTGGAACTACCTCAGGCGAAAGAGCAGCACGGGGAACGCTTGGATAGTGTTATATGTGATACCTTAAGTTCGCACTGTGCAGAGACACAAACACTAAACAGGTCCACAACCTCTCACCTCCTTCTTCTCCCCTTCTTTCTGTACTGTTATTTAGTTCCACATGAGGGAATCAGAGGAGTCTAACGTGTGCATTCCAGAGAAGTGTCCGATCTTAACTTACACCTTGCCCTTTATGAGTGTGTGTGGGTGTTGTGGTGGGCATAGCTTAGACCCAATCAGAGGTCAAAGGTTTGCTCTTTGGATGTATTTAACTGTTGTTCCAGTGTCCAGAATCGTATTCAATACCAAATGATGAAAGGAAAACATAGTTTCACGTTATTATTTATGCTCTAGTTCACATAGAGATCAAAAGCTCTTTTTTAGTTATGTTAATGGATTTGACTCCATTCATGTGATTTAATTTTAGCTGTAACAAATTCTGTTTGTGGCCAGGTGTTCCTCTTGGCTATCTAAAGTCCGTGGAAGGATTCAGAGCTGAATTCACTGTAAAAAAAAAAAAAAAAAAACTTCACATGCAGACTCTTTATCAGCCATCGTTTGATTTAACAGCACTTTTAACAAGCTTAGTGGGTTTGTTGTTGCTCTGCTTACTGTGTTTAATGCTGCGCCCAAAGACTCCATTTTAGTACTGCCGAAACAATTGGCAGGCCCAGGTCCTCAAATGAGTCATATTTTTGTTTTCCATGGTAGCAGTTTTTTAAACATGACATTTTGTAAAAACAACAGGAAATTCACTATTTACGGCGAATTTAGATCATCAAAATTGAGGGCGTAAATATGGATTGTTCTTTTTTTATTTTATTAAGTTCTGCAGCATGTTGACTTTCATCAGACTACGAAATGACCCACTGCTGCCTCTGGCTCAGGGCCAGCCGGGCAGGGCGGGTATGGGAGAAGGAAGCATGGCACAATGACTTGTGGGTGTGAGGGAGGGCACAGATGCCATGGTAACCGGGCTTCAGCATGTGCTCTTGACGGGCTATGAGACTGATCTGTGCCACTCGCGCTGCCAAGGCCGCACTGGACATTTCAGTGCCAGGACAAATTCATCTTTCTCTGCGCACTTTGAAGGGCGAATCGTTACGCAGCCAAGGGGCAGCTCATTAAAATCTCACATTTGCGGATACATTATTAACTCTGCTTGTTATATGTTGCCACTCTCTTCATGAAACCATGCGTGTATTAGTTGCCAGAGTATAGCCTGTTTTTTTTCTATCTCCCTCTCTCTCTGCCTCTCTCTGGAGTAAAAGTAAAAGAGGAGCCTATTGCACCATATGTGTATGTACCTCTCAGTCATCACGTGTGTAATTACATTAGTTCCTACAGTGCAGCGGCCCCTGTCCACTAAACAAACACATTAATGAATGTTTGTTTTACATTAGTGTCAGTTTCTGCCCTTGTGTGTCACTGCTCAGTGCAGCCAAGCAGAGCGATGTGCACTGATGCAAGAGCGCGTCACTAAAAATTATATTTTCTATATCCCCCCCCCCCACAAAGGGAACTCCTGAATTATTTTGTATCGGCCAACCCAGTGTAAGCTGGCTGCCGCGTGTCCCCGACGCACGTTTTTTTATTCCCACATGCTTTATTCATAGTTATCCTTGGTTTGTAACCGATAGTTTTTCTTACCCCGTGGCTGCGATTTTCCACATGGCCTGGTTCTGTGTGTCTCTTCATGCTCATCTTTTGGATGAGTAGCCTCTCAGTGTGAACTTCTTGGCCCACATATCGCGGCCACACGCTCAGAGATCAGCACTCAGGAGGATAACAGCTTTCCTTCAAATCATCTGGCTCATTCAGTTAACCATATGGGTGCTGTGTGGGACGAGAAGAGACCATTGTTTGGTCTTTGTGCCCTCTGTTTGTGCCACCCCCCATCTACACTCTCACTCACACACACATGCGTAAGTGTATCACACAAATTTACTCTCGGCGGGGGTGATTGATTATTGCTCTAGATGGGGCCCCCTGTCTCCAGTGTTGCCAGGGCAACTGGGGACGCTCCTGATGTGGGTTTGAGATTAAACATTTGACTTGAGTTTAAAATGTGATGATGTGCCATCAGGTTTGACTGTACGATAGGCATTTTGAAGCCTATTATCTCAAGAGTTTATGCACAGCTCAGCCCTTTTTAATGGAGTCATCTTCATGGAGAGTGGGTTTTTTACTGTGTTACTCTACAGAATCATTCTACCGGTGAAAGAACCAAATGATAGCATTTGGCCACACTTTTGTGCACTGCATTCTAATGCCTAATAGGGTATCATTCTCATATACAACAACATGAACACATGTAAAATGCACGAAAGCTCCTCTTGATTAAAATCAGATTTATGGCAGTATCTTTCTCTGGTTGTAATGATCCACACAATGTCCACATTCTAATACGTGGTATGTTTTAATTTAGTGTTTTTACGCATCATTGGCCGGGGACAGAACAATAGCTTGTACGTGGAGTGCAGAATGATTCCGGTTAGCAAAATGAGATGGTGCTGGGGATGGTGATTGGCAGTTGGTTGTCAGGACAACAGCTGGGAAACAGACAGGGTGTAGATTGAGGTCTAAATGAATGGTCATGCATGGTGAAGCATCAAGACATCCTCTTTATAGATTGCACAGCACAAATTCAAGGTCCTGGTCACAAATAGATGCAGACACAACTCATATTGACACACTGGAGAGGTAAATCTACATTTTTAACAGGAACATTTAATTAATATTGCATTAGTACATACCATTTTAGAATTAATTTGTGTTAATATCAGCCAGATTTGCCATTCTTTTGTCAGTTTGTGTGTTTTATGAACAAGTGGGGACCTCATTAAAATGTTTAAAATAGTTTCAAATTATGGGCCGACAATGAATTGTTACGTAAAGACCTGAGGGTGTATTTTTATGGTTATTTTCCTAGCAATGTGGAAAAGCCTTTACAAGGGAAAGAAGGTGTGACCTGGAGTTAAACCAGCTAGATAGAAAATACTTTATTCAGGTAACAGGACAAAGCAGATGCCATTTTGTTAAATTATGGTGTTTGAAAACATAATACTTAAAGACCACTTAAAACTCAATATGCTCGAAGAGCTCATTTTGAAAGTATTCCAAAACTATCAAAACCTTAAGTTTCAAAATTCTGTATTCATTTTTCATGCTGTTTTTATTTATTCAAAAAGAGTTGTATGTTTTAAATTTATCATAGGCAAGTGGTCAAAATGTCAGCAATTAGGCACACTGACAAAAAAAAAGAACATACTGAAAATTTTAAGAGCCATAAAAAGTACTCGTCTCTGTTTAAAACTGGCTTTCCTCTGAATCATGTGGTGTTTGAATGCTTGGTTTTATTGTAAGTCTTTCCAAATAAAGTTGGTCGTATAAATTATTCTGAGCTGAGTATGCAGAATAAAAAAAGAACAGTTTAGTCTACAACAGAACTACCTATCAAACACAGCTCTACTATCAAATCATTTTACCAGAATCCTGCTTTGAGACATCTATGGAGACATCTATGGAGTACCTGTTTTGTATATGTTAGAAATTTTGACACAGCCCTGAGACAGTTCTGTCTGTGTTTGTCTCTCAGGTTAATGTGGTATTTGGAGCAGCTCTCTGGGCTAGTTGTCAGTCGCCGTGGATTCCTGAGGCCTGTCTCTATAGCAACCCATTCCTCCTCCTGAGCACTGCTGCCAACTTACCCTTTCTGCCACGCTTCCTCATCCTCCAGCCCAATCACCATCTCTGACCACTGTTGGAATGGACACCGAGTCGACCCACTCTGGCTACTCCTATCACTCCAGCCGCTCCGGGAGATCAAACCGGCATGGGTATGTTTCCTGTCTGCTGGCCTCTCTCCCTGCCTCTCTGCTTCTAAATGCTCTTTTTCTTTTTTTTTCCAATTCGGTCACTCATTCTATATTGAATCCCAGCCTTTGCTATGTTATTTTTACTACTTTGTTGTTCCACTTTGACTGCGCCACATGTTGGTTGTGGCACAGTGAATGAGATGAGAGACTAAGAGGGAGAACAGACCAAGATAGAGATTGAAATGGACAGAGCTCATGGATTAGGGTCGTCGCCGCTGAGTGGTTCTAACCTATTTCAGTGATTGACTCAGTCTACTTTGAAAAGGATATATTCATTTCAAGCTCATACTGGCCATTTCTAAAGCCTGTGACTGTCTCCTGTGACTTTAATATATCTCTCTTCTTGTTAAAAAAAATGATCATAAAATCATATTCTAAACATGTTTTGATAAACAAAGCTTTGACTTAAATTTCTCATCTTAAAATCAACTGTGCGTACAGCAATAATGCCCTTATTCATGTCTGTTTGATTTCAATCTCTCGTTCCCTTGTCTATAGTTAAAAGTCCTCTCCTTTATCTAAAGTGAGTCTGTGTGTTTCCGTGTTCTCGTTTTGTCAGAGAGCGGAGCCGTGAGCGACACAAAGCCAGCAGCAGCAAAGACAGCGTCCGCTCTGAGAGGTCCGTCGTCATTAATCCCCCAGACTCACCTTCTCAAGACTCCCCCGTCCACAACGGAGAGCCGCTGCCTGGAGAACCCACACCAGCAGCCGATCATGAGGATGACGCCCAGGTATTTGTTTATTCTTAGGTCTACAAGGTGCTGAATACTTGGATATTTAAAGTGATTAACATCAGATAGTATAAAAGTAGGCCACATGAAGGACACGCTGAAATTGTCTGTATATTTTTGTAGCCCATTATAAACCCTGTAATCCATGAATGAACTTTACATTCTGACCTTATAAACTCACATTACCTCACAGCTGGCTGCCCATAGCTTTGCATATAATAACAGTTGTGACATGAGATCGAATAGGTCAGGGGATTATCATCCCTCTTGTAGGCGAGGATGGATTCACACAGACAGTTCTATAATGCAGTGTGTGTATGTATGTGTGTGATTTTGTGGGTAACTGCCATGCCAGGCTCTGACAGCAAAGAAAACTGGAAGCAGTGATTCCGTAAAGCTGATTTTACTGAGGACTGAAAAATTCAAATAGGTATTATGTCGAGAAAAATGTCTCTAATTGTGCGGCACAGAGCAGTCAGCACTACAAGGATTAGAGATGCTGTCACTTGCCAGGGGAAAAAAAGGCAAAGAATTTCTATGCTTGTTTGCAGACAAACAAGGACATTGACTCCATGCTTGTAACTACATAGTATGCTATAGCCTAGTTAGTTTCATTTAAAGCTATCATTTTCAGGCCTAATCATTTCAGACAAAATTTGTCAGGTCACAGTTTCCCAGTTAGTGGTTTCCAACACATCTAACTATTCAACACTGATACAAGCTAAAGGGATAAAAATAAAGAAAAATAGACTGTCTTCTTCTCTAAATAGAAGTTATTACTCTTCATAGAGAACTTTGCCTCAGGCAATTTTCAAAGTGTCCCTGGCCTAGTTGAAGTCTATAGGAGAAAAAAAGGGTTTTACTCACTAATAAATGGCCAATAGAACCAGACGAAACTATAACTAACTATTTGTGGTGCAAGTTTCATTTTAAAATGTACCCAAAAATGTTAAGAATGCTTAAATAGAATTAGAAAATGAACATTTCTTCATCCAGACTTTCTGGCATATTTTAGAAATCTGACCTATTTTACCATCGCTCTGCTTTGCATCCCCTTCTGGTGGTAAGGTAACATTCCATGCATTCCCCACTGGCATGTGATTGTCACCATGAAGCTTCCATCCATTGTCATCAGTGCAAGGTAATCTGCCATTGTGCTGCTTTTGCCCTCCAGGAAAATGTGTCCGAATGGCACAGCAGCGCTCTCATTACAGTCGGCTCTGCCATAACCAAACTCCAGTCCAGCTTGTGCTTTTTGGAGCAGCTTCCATTGGCTGGCACAGGCGCTGTAACACTAACTGGTCTCCGGTGCTGAGAGATATTCTCACAGACTGAGATTAGCCCTAGTTTCCTGCCAAATGGCACTTTGGGGAAAACTGATATGAATAATCTTCTGTGTTTACATGCATGACATAAGAATATGGCCTTGGACAGCAGCCTTTGTGTGAATTTGAGTTTGTGAGTGTGTATGTGTGTGAATATACTGGGTCAAATGTGTTTTGTGGTACCAAATAGTTTCTGGAATTTGGTTACAGTTAAGTCTTATGTAAGAGTTTTGGCTTGGCATTTAGCAGTGGTTGTTATGTTAGAGAAAGGAGCTATGCATTATGCCAATCATGTATCATCATACAGATTAAAAAAACAACATTTTTATGAGTCTGCTTGAGTCCCTGTGTGTGTATGAGTGTCTGTGTGTGTGAGAGTCAAAGAAAGCCTGTTACTGAGACTGTCCAAGCTGCTTTGTGAGATACTTTGTGCCAGAAGGGAGCAGCTTCAGTTTCCTTCTAGTGTTAGCACAAGCAGCACCAAAGCATATGCTACTCTTGTTGTAGCGCTTATTGCTTCTTTAGCCCTTTGCTTATGTAGATATATGGGATCACTTAACACAACTAAACATTAATATATTTCATGTTCAATTTTATCCGACTACAAAAAAACTACAACACTAAAATGAATTAATTAAAGTAACACAATGTTCAGTTGTAACTTTTTAGACTCAGTATAAGCCATTACGACTTTGCTCTTGTGGTTTACAGTTTGTAGAATGTTGTATGCTGTAATACTTTGTGACAGTGGAACAGACCTGATCACCGTCCATATTCACCCCCTGCCAGATGCAAGAGTGCCAAGCAGGCAGGCATTGCACCCCGCGTTATCTTCTCTCCATCATTTTATTGCTTTTGTCAGATCAGTGTGAATAAAGGTCATGTTTGTGTATTAGTCTTCACAATTAATCCCCTGAGACTTTATGACTGCTTTTCATAGTGAGATTATTTTGGTATCATTAAATGAGACATTAACATGTAATATTTCTGTATTAGCAGTGTGGCACAGCGATTGTCTGGCAAATTTAGATGCTTTTATCTTGACAGAGCATTAATGGTCCATATGTTTAATTGCAAATATCCTTTAAATATCTTTTTTTTTTTATGCAAATACTTCATGCAGAATATCTATATATCTATACATGAATATATGTGTGTGGTATGTGTGTGTGTGTGTGTGTGTGTGTGTATAGTACAGGGGTCACCAACCTTTTTTAAACGGAGGGCTACTTCATGGGTACTGAGTCACATGAAGGGCTACCAGTTTGATACACTCTTCTGAAATGATACATTTGCTCAATATGCTTTTAACTATACTTTATTAATAATCATTAATGATACTCATCTGTGACAACAGTGACAACAAAATGGGAAACATATCAATATCCCCCACTTTATGTCTATTTATCTCAGCAACTGTTAAATTTTCAGATGATCACTTACTCTACATCACTACATTTACATAGGGGTTTTCAATTTCACTCATTTTCACTAGCCACTGACAAAACCTTTTAACAAATCATGAACTATGTTGCACCATGTTTCAAAAAGTTATCAATTATCTAATGTTAAAGAAAAATCAACTCACATATTAAAAAGAAATCTGAAATCTCATGACCAAATCTTTAACAGATTGGCATTGCATGCTGTTCACCAGTGTATTGTAATCTGGTGTAACTTGACACTGCAGCTGTGAGTGCATATTTCAGATGTGCGTTTTCTGCCCGTAGTGCGCTTCCCGGTGAGTAGTTAGCATGCTAGCTTTTGTGGCACGAAGTGAAGTGTGTCTCCACATTGTGCCGCTTTGCCGTCGCCACAGTTGCCCCGCAAATCAGACACACGCAGGTTTCTTTTACAGTCGTAAAAAAGAACTCCTCCTCCCATTCGTTGTGAGAGCGATACGTTTTCTTTCGTTTTTCTCCCATGTTTTTGGGGTAAGAAACTGCACCCATCTCTGCTGCGCCCGCTAGCTTACTCTCCACTGACACTGTTTTTGTTTTGTCACGTGCACAATACTGACCTTTGAACTAGAGAAAACTTAAACTTAATATATAATTAACATATTTTAAAGATATTGTCATTTTAGATTAAATCTATATGAATGCAAGTGTGATTAAAATAGAATAGCAACGGAACAAAATTAAATTTTAGACGCTTTTCACTATTGAGTTGTGCTATTTTTAGAACAGGCCCGCGGGCGACTCATTTGGTCCGTGCGGGCGACCCGGTGCCCGCGGGCACTGTGTTGGTGACCCCTGGTATAGTATATATAAACTATTGAATCACCTTTCCAATATTTCATATCTCATATATTTCTATTTGAATATATCTCAAAAGACACCAGTCTGTATTGCTCTCCTGCAGATATAATCTTCCATCCTATTGCAGTATGGTTTATTTATTTATGTCTGTTGTTGTTTTTCCAACTACTTCCATTATAAAGTACCTTTAGATAAGTTCTGAGAAATTCAAGTCAGGTGTTTCTTGACCAGGTCAAAGCATTCATGGAAGCTGTGATATTGGTTTTTGGCAGTGTGCTGTGGATTACTTCTCATATTATGAATAATGCAGATATTGAAGGGTGACATATTTATGGATACTGCAGAGGGTTGCATTAATTTTGGTCGTAAACTTTTAGTTGTCTGTGCTTGTTTCATTCAATTCAAGGTTGCTGGGGGGCTGGAGCATCTCCCAGCGCTTGTAAGCTATATCTAGATAAATCCTTGAAGACTTAAGCTTACTTTGACTGTATTTGATAAAGTTAATATTCACTGTACCTGCAGTCAGGCTAAAGCCTCTTATAATATGAAAATGAAGGCAAAGCTCTGCATCATTTGCAATTCTTATACCACGAATATGTCTTGTCTTTTTCTGAGCCTTTTTACTTCTTATGCCTTTTAGAACACAAACTCTCAACTGTATCTGAAGAGTTTCAAACCTTATGATTTAATATGGCATAATACATTAGACTTACAAGGTTCTATGCCGGTCTAAATAAAAAAAGCCTTTTTATAAATTATTTACCTCTTGCCTCTTGGCTCATCGGCTTAGTAAGAATAGAATCAGAGACTGAAAATAAAGACGTGTGCTTGTTTTTGGATTTAGTTACTGAGGAAAAGACCATCCTTGCTCGGGCAACATTACATTGTTTTGTGGTGTTCTGCTCTACCAGTTCAATCTGAAATGATGTTAGTAGTTCACAGTTTCTGTTGTCAGGTCGAGCTCCTGATAAGTGGGGGTTGGTTGAGGAAAGAAATGAAAAAAGAGTGGTGAGGTTTGAGCGGAATAGAAATGAGACTGGACAGTAAATGGAGCTGCCATTATATCTACAGTACCTATCTGGCCCCCTTTTTTTCTCGCAGACTGCACCCCGCACTTCCCTCCCTCTCCTCGTCTGCTGCTGTATCGCTTCATAACCACTGCCAACCCCCTCTCTGCCTTTCCTTCCCTCCTCTTTTTTCATCCTCATTCATCTTCTGGATGCTGTTGGCATCCCCTCCTCCAGCCTGGCTGAGTTAATTGGCTGCTAACTGCATTGGTGTGAGTGTGAGTTGTGTAGTATTTTCCTGCAATGTTGTTTCCATATTTCATATATACAAAGGTGGCGCTCACCAAATCTGTAGATATCTACGCTAACCTTTCAAAAGTGTGATATGACCCAGCATACAGTAGCGGGAACACACTTTAGACAGGTGAGCGGTAATGTGACCGTCTGTTGTCTGGATTTCCCGCGGCTGCACTGCAGTCTGGGGCTCTGGCTGTTTGATGTGCTCAGGTGAATGTGTGCGCACACGTGTGTGAAGATTTAAGGGCTTCTGGGTTCAGCCTGTCATTTTTCCAGCCTTCATCCGTCTCTCTTCCTTTGCCGCTCCCGTGATTAGCTCTAGTCGGTACAACACTCAGACACTCTTGGGGAAAATGAATGGCTAATTTGCTACGCAAATTAATGGTGGGCACGCACACACAAAAAAACAATTATTTCCTTGGGGTAGACACAAATGTATTCTTGCCGTGTTTCTTTGTTGAGAATTTCCATGCCTAAAATGACCATGACAGTTCGTAGGAGAAAATAAACACTATAATTTGCTATGATGGGCGTGGAAAGCCTTAGCTTTTGTTCTTGTGATTCAGAATGTGTGCGTGTGCCCTTGTGCCGCTTCATGTTTCCGTGTGTATCTTTATTCCAGATTGAACCTCACTGCACATCCTATTCTGTCATCCCACATTACTTCTGTTGAATTTTAAAGGCTTGCCATAATGAGGCCTAACAAAAGAAAGTCAGACATATCTAAATAGCGTGAAGGGAACACTGTGTGCATAATGGATAGAATCTGTGCTAGTTCTGGCTAAGAAGGTTGTAAATAAGTTAAAAGATGCTCTTTTTATTTATATCACAGTAATATCCGTTATTTTCTTACTCATTTTATCATGTTTTTTAAGATTTCATCTTTTTCATTGTAATTTTGTTGATAAATACTTCAATTCCAAGGCAAGAACTAAATATGATGGTACATTAAATCCAGAAGTGTGAGAGACATGGTGCAATGACATAAAGCACGCACATTTGCTGCCATAATAGACAGTGTCTTAAAACACACTCTCTTAATGGTTTTTATTTCCTTCTTTTCTTTTCAGGACGATAACTGGGGAGAAACTACCACAGCTGTGACGGGCACTTCGGAGCTCAGTGTTTCCCAGGAGGAAGTGGTGGGATTAGGAAAGGAGATTCAGGACCGGACCCATAGCTTCCGCCGATATCTCCCCCTGGCTGTGGGCCTGTGTGTGGGGCTGCTGGTGGTGGCCACACCTTTGGTCTTCCTGCTTCTTCCGGGGCTGATGTGGCCTGACAGACTGCAGGCTTGTGGTGCAGCCTGCGAGGGCCTCTTCCTCTCCATCTCCTTCAAGCTGCTCATTCTCCTGGTTGCTGTTTGGGCTCTGTTTCTGAGGCAGGGCCGGGCCTGCCTGCCAAGGGTGTGTGTGTATCGTGCCTTCCTGACCACACTTACTCTCTTGCTGACCATGTCTTACTGGCTGTTCTATGGAGTCCGGATTCTTGATGCACAGGTGGGTTTCGGAGTATTCATTTCACTTTCACAATCAAGGACAATACTTTAAGACTTTAAGATGATTGGTTTCAAACAAACGAAGATTCAAACAAAGAGTAAGCTGTTTGAAAGCAAGATGGAAAAAAAATCATTTGAATTAAGCTTTTTCCTTTTTTCACCAGACAAGTGGCTCTGTGATACAACTTCCAAAAAAGATTAAAACCATCTTTTATTCACGCAGCACACCTCAAAGGCTCTCTTAACAGTGCTCACATAAACATAAAGAACAGTTTTTTTTTATTGGATGAGAGAAATGTAGCTTATGTCTCCGATGAACTTTTCATACCTTTATCAGGAATTGATTTTCTTTGTGTATTCAAAGATGTTTTCTTTGCCCCTGGTTTAACAGTTTCAGGCTCAGATCATCATATGCCAAAGGTTGAAAAGGTCTAAACTATGTGCAATGTTTCCTGTCACTCAAGTGCATCCCTTTGAGTTTGTGTTTCACTGCAAATCACTTCTTTGGTAATCAGAATCAGAATCAGAATCAGAAATACTTTAATAATCCCTGAGGGAAATTATTGTTGAAGGCAACATCTTGAAAATGTGTAATGTTATACTGGTTCTGTCCAGCCTCTGTACACAGTTCCAGAGGAAGACTGATTAGAACTGTAATAGTCTGTTTCCGGAGAGCCAGCAGTCGAGGATTACGCTGCGAATCATTACGGGATAACAGCCGTTGGTTGTGGTTTGGTGGCTGACCGTTTTTAATCAAACTAAAATTCACAGACAGGGAGCTTAATCGAATAGGAAACAGATGGAAGCTGAGGCAGTAGCAGCAGCGCGGCACCATGAAAATCAACATTTTTTTCTGTCACTGGTGGTGTTACTGCACCCTTTTGCTGCAAAATGTGGGAAATTTGTGATGGTGAAAATTCCAAAGCAAATGTATAGCTTTCTGTTTAGCAAGTGAATAGAAATGGTTTGTATCTTATTATTTTTGAAGAAATATCTTTTGCTCAACCGTGTTGTTGCAGAGATTTTTTGTATCAGCCATTGTGATCCACCTTTAGTTCTACAAATACCATTTGAGTCATGTTCAGTGAAACAACTGGTGTTATCTAGGACGAGGATTATCATGGCATCGTCCAGTTTGCCGTGTCCCTGGTGGACTCCCAGCTGTTTGTCCACTACCTGGCCGTGGTGCTGCTGGAGCTGCGCCACCTCCAGCCCTGCTACAGCATCTGTGTCATCCGCTCCACGGACGGAGAGACGCGTCACTACAACGTAGGACAGCACAGGTACTGGGGCAGAAATAATCCCAAAGAAAAACAAGACTGATGGACATACAGGACAAGATAAGCCATCTACTATTTCACACATGAATCAGCCCCTTTCTGCACAGCACAGAGTGAACCACGCTGGCTTTTCGCCACATTCTCCTTGCTGAAAGTATGTGTGTAATTGGAGGCCGAAGTCTACAAGGAAGACTGGCACAGGCTGTAATTGAGTCACTTTAAAGTTTTCTTAGTGTGGAGATTGGGGGAGGGATGAGAAAGGACCAGACAAGGTCACTTATCTTGAGAATGTCTTAACTTTGTCTTCTCTGCTTTTGGAAAAAGAAACTTGAGGTTACAAAAGATTTTAGTTTTATTACAAATGCTTCTTAAAAGATAATTAAGTGGTACCTGGACTGGGACAAGAAAAAAGGAGACAGGTTACACATTGAATTGATAGTTTTCCCTCATAAGCCTAAAGAAATGATATCTGTAGTACTTAATCCTCGTGTTTCCTCCTGGGGTCATTTATACCCCAGGATTCAGTGGGTTTGAGTGACCCCAGTTGGAAGGGCTAGGGTTAGAGGAGTGGGTTAGAGGATATTGAATATTTTCAGTATCTAATTTTATGTCTGTTTGGTTTTCAGTTGTTAATCTGTTTGCTCCCCTTCCTGTTTTATATTTAGATGACTTGTCTTTGTTCTTTGCTTCCTGGTCTTCCTTCTTGCTTCTTGTACACCAAGAGCTCCAACTTCCAAAACCAATATGCTTTTAATTATTCCACTCCTTCAACTAAGTTTTCTATTACACTTTGCTGAAGCCACACACAGACTTCTATGGTGCGCAAAAGACAGTGGTGTGAAGGTAGTCAACAATACTTTATGCCTCTATCGCTCATCACTATCATCATGACAGGCTTTTGCAGGTTAAGTTTGAGGTGTCCTTAACTGGAAAAGCTGAATGGAACAGAATCAGGTCACATCCTAAAAAAAATATTTTGGTCGTAATGGATTATGAAAAAGTTAAATATAGTAAGAAATAAATCATCTATAAATGTAACTCTTCTATGTGGATTCAAGGGAATTAATATATGTAATACTTTATAAGCCAGCTGCAACATAAACTGTACTGATCTTTTCTCTCTCTCTCTTTTGTCAAGCAGCATTCAAAGAGCTGCTTTGTCTATTTTGGAGTATTACTACAGAGATTTTTCCCTCCACAATCCTGCACTTCTCTCGGCCTCTAAGCACCGGGCTGCCAAGCACCTGGCCGGGTTAAAGGTCTACAACGTAGATGGTTAGTCGCCTCATGTGACACAGCAATATCCTCTTGTGCAATATACCATTTCTTTCTCTTGTTTTCATCTGTAGTCTCTCGTGTTTACCCACTCTCTTGCTTAATCTGTTTCCTTACACTGGTGTTCTCTGCTCCATCCTTAAACATTTCATGGGCAGCCTTCAAAAATAAACTGAGAACATACCTTTTGGACAGTAAGTACAGACAAAAATCCCCATCATCACTCCACCCAGCACTTTAGTATGGATGCGACTCCTTTCACGGTTCAGCTGTTTCTTTCAGTGCACTCTGAAAACCCCATCTCCGGTATAATGCATATACTGCATCTCTGACAAGAAGCACTCCAACTGCTATACCACAATGCTCTTGATATATTCCCTTAGTGCACATGCACACATCCTGTAGTGCCTCCAATTCCGCTCTTTTCTCCAGTTAAAATGATCCACTGCTCAGCACCCATTAATCCCCCTCCACTGCAGAACATGTATGACGCGGATGCAGTATGGGATACTGTGTCCTCACAGCACTTCCATCCACCCCACCCCCCTTCCAAAGCACGGTGTGAAAGAAAGGCCTCTAGGGGGCCATAGAATTTCAAACCTTAAATAATTCATCAGAGAAACACTCATTTTTCACATTCTAGCACATCTCTCCTTTCTCTCGCTCAGCCGTTCTCCAGCTGTGTCTGTTCTATCCTGCTTTCTTCCTTTTCAAGCAGTCACTGTTCTTATTATAGCATGAATATGTGGGCCATGAGGTTAAAAGAGGTTGTTGTTTACCCGTATTGTCAGTGGTTAGATCTGCGATGCTTCTCGCAGTCTGCTGATTTTTTTGCATCCACATTTCACATGTTTGCATCCACACACATAGACGCACACTCATATGCAGATCAGATTATCAGTGATAAATGTCCCTCTTTGACCCACAAAATTAACTCTATTGCCTCCCCCAAACTTCACTGATCCTCATGAATATGGACAATATCCCCCACGCTGAAAGCTCAGGTACCGACACACTGCCTCACAAGCTCCATTAGTTTTATGGGTTTATCACACAAGCTGCTTAATTCATACATTATACAAGAGCTATTACCATTGATGTGTAAAATATTGAATAGAAGAAAACTGGAGTAGGGAAGTTGTTTGTGGAAGTGTGCACCCATTTAGTAGAAATAATCTATTTTTTCACCTCAATAATTCTTTTACTAGAATTTTGTGAATGACTGTGAGAGAGAAGTAGCAGATATTAAAACTCATTGATACTTTAAGGCCAAAACCAACACAAGAATAACTGTATTGCTTATTTTACATCTAAATAGATGTCACTACATCCTTCCAGGAATTCAGAATGCAGGCCGTTCATCACTAGTTGGGGGCTGCTGGGTCAGGACGCTTCCTCCAGGTCAATCTGATATAATTAGTTTACTTCTGTCTTCTCTTTCTGGTGCAGCCCCCGGGAGCACAGCGGCAGCTCAGCCCAGTAATGGGAATCAGTCACGGGCTATGGTCACGGCTGCAGGCAAACGCAAAGACAACGCACACAATGAGCTGTACTATGAGGAGGCCGACTACGAGAGAAGAGTTCGCAAACGGAGAGCCAGGTGAGCAAATAATGCTGTCGTCATGTTAGGGTCTGCATGGGGGGGGGTTCGATGAGCAAAGGGGATGTACGGTTTATTTTCACACATGCACACTGTTGTGAAACTTTATCAGCCATTTTACTTGCCATTCACATCGGAAGAAGTTAACGATCAAACATAAATGCAACTGAATTAGAATTTGAGAAAGTATGGGGCACTTAAAGCCGTAGTTTGCCTACTTTAATAATTACTCAAGTACTGAATTATATTATGAATTATATGAGGTTTCATCAGTTCATCATTTGCTCATATACTTTGCTCTTTATTTTTGTGCAAAACAGTCCTATTATAAATTTTGTAATTTCCCTCTTCCGGCTAGCATTTTTGTTATTTTGGGCCTTTTTATTACTTTGAATGAGATATTTTGCAGAGATTTGTTCATGTCCTCTCAACTCTTTCACCAAGTTACATTTGTGATATTTTATATTTACTGTGCCTACAATTTTCAAATACATTGGGTGACGTGGAGCTGGAGGTTGGAGAGTCAGTGAGTTAAAGGTTAACAAATAGCTGATTGCTGTGTGTTTGTGTGTGTGTGTGTCAGGCTGGTAGTGGCTGTAGAGGAGGCCTTCACGCATGTCCGCCGCATGAAGAAAGAGGATGAGAATGCAACACCGTCAGACATCATGGATGTGCGTGAAGCAGCTTTGGCCATATTTCCCTCTATGGCTCGAGCCCTGCAGAAATACCTCCGTACGACCAGGAGACAGCACTGCCACAGCATGGAGAGCATCCAGAAGCACCTGGCGTTCTGCCTCATAAATAACATGAGCCCCAAGGTCAGTGGGACTTCTATCTGCTGGCTTGTTGGAGGCGTCCACTGTCATTCGTGTTCATTTCCTGTTAAAGAGGCCAGTGAACATCTGACTTGGGTTTGATTTGAATCATTTCAGAAGGCTGTCAAACACTGTGTTCATCATTTTAAACTAACCTGAAAACTAAGGAACCTTTTTCAAATTAATTCAACAGGGAGAAGAGAAATAGATTCACGCTGGTTGTAAACATGCATAAATCTAAGCCGGTCTGCATTTTTTAACAGGGAGATAGGAGAATAAAGCTAAGGTATTTCTTAATGGAACAAAGGTCTTAAGACTTGATCAACGAACCCTGGATGCACTAATATGCATTGTAACTACAGGGCCGTAACTGAACCTCATTATAACCTCCTGGAAACTTAGATCTCTCTATCTTAGAATAAGTGTTATAGATAAATTTAGAGTCTAAATGTTGCAGAAAATACGTTACTGCTTAAAGAATATATGATGGGTTTTTAACACAAGTAAAGGCCATCTAATAAGTGAAAATAATTCAGGAAAAAACCATCTGGAGTAACCAAAAAAGACTCAATGGGTCTGAAAAAATGTCTATATGTGTCAACGCGTTGATGAACACGACAGTACACATGATCTTTTTCTGTGTCCAGGCCTTCCTTGAAGCCTACCTAGTTCCTGGCCCCACCCTGCAGTACAGCCCCGAGCGTTGGATGGCAGATCAGTGGACTTTGGTCAGCGAGGCTTCGGTCACCAGTGGCATTAAGGAGGGTACCGAGTTCCTTCTGAAATGTCTTGACTTCAGCTTAGCTGTCACTGTCAAAGGCATCCCTTACATCCGTTTGACGGAGGAGTACATCGACCCCAAGTCCCACAAATTCTTACTGCTGCTCCAATCAGAAACCTCTGTTTGATAGCAACGACAGTTGGTCAGCGCTGCTGCTCTGGACGAACAGAACTGTCAGTTATTCTGCTGAATTTTTTTAGTCTAGATTTTTGTACTGTTTTTGTACTTATGTGTCTAATTTTCTCACCTAGAACATCTTTGTCTTTGTCATGGGAGACTTGAAAGAAGAAGGATTACAAAATTAGGGGGAAATAGGCCTCAATTTCTGTGGACATTTGAAGGACGCTGTCTGAATATTCCTCTATGCACTACAGATGACCCTCACAAATATCCACCTTTTTCCTCTGTTTGCATGTGCTTGCGTGTATGCTGATATAGAAAAGCTTGGGTTTTTAGAAAGAATGTGTGGCTTTAAGACACAGGAGTCTGAGTGCTCGTGGGGTTTTTCACACTGGTGTGTCTTAAATTATTTGATATAAACTAAAACTCTTTCCATTCTGACTATTTTTTTAAGTTCTTTTCTTCATTTTTACTTGTAGCATTTTTATTTATAATTGTCAAGTACTTACATATGTACAGTATTTATATGTGAATACATTCTATCCTAACAGACTTTTTATACCAAAACCGTGCAACATTTGATTTTTTAAATATATATATTGTCTTTTTTTTACACTTTATTATCTGTGCTTCATCTGTTGATGTACCCGGACTGTAAATACCTGATACTGTTACATTACATGTCAGGAGTCTGATGAACAGACTACCAATGTCAGTATAACTGAAAAGACATATCCTAGGTTTGGATTTGAACAGCTCAATGTATGCAGCTTACACTGATCATTCTGTTGGTCTTGTTGGTTCATGTTTTTACATCTGTTAGATTCAAAACCTTTGCATAATTCATCTAAACAATTTACAAATTTTGTTCAATTTTTAATGGTTCTTCCCTTAATTTTGGATTCAATATTAAAGCACTTCAGCCAAGAATTTAATGGACCAATAAATTAGATTTTATAACTAAATTTGAGGAGACATTTTGACATATTTATGATTTTTTGTTCCTCTGCAGTTCATCTACAAAATTAATAGTAAGTAATCTCTTGCTGGTAGTGGTTAAGCAAGTGTGGAAAATGAATAATTGAGTGTGATTTAGCTCAGCTCCTTGTCAGTATTTTATCTGTTACTCTACTGCCACCTACCTGCCACAACTGGAACACTGTGCTGGGCTTTTTATTCTTAGGAGTATTTGATCGGTATTTTTAAAGCTTTTTGTATTTATGAGGTTTGTTGTGTCGTAAATTTCTGAAGATGTACTGTGCTCACTGACAGTGTGGTTTTGTTGAAAACTGTTTAGGAGTGTTGGCTGGTTATAAATACCTTCTCTTCTTTAATACGCACGTGCCTCGGTTCAAAAAACACTTGCTATACTCCATGTTTAGGATGTGCTTGGATTACTGGTACAATTATGTGTGTCTGTGAACATGGCAAGGAAAAGAGTCATTTCCTTCCTTGATTTGATGCAGTTGGCAAGGCACGCCTGTTGGGTCCTTTTTATACAACAAATCATGTCAAATCACAGCACCTGTGGCAAAGTTAGTAAAAAAGTAAAATAAATATTTGTATTGACCTTCTGGGGAACCAGTTATTGTTGTGTTTTCATACATTAATAAGGAATGATGATGACAATCACCCATTCACTAAACGTATCCATACATTTGCATATTCATGCAGATCTTGAGTTATAGAAAAATCATATTTTACATAATTATGCAAATAACCGCATTCATATTTTCTGCCAATCATTATCCTGATTTAGATTAAGATCTTCAAATTATAAGTGTATGAACAAGGTTCGTTCAAACAAAGCTTCCCTTGCTTGCCTAAGTATGATCCTGAACTTCCTGAATGTGCACCCCAAAATTTCTCATAAAAAATCTAAAGCAGACAGTACTCTGAGCAATCTTCAAAGTCCTTAGACATTATGGACAACAGTGTTTCTACAGGGAGCAAAAAAAAAAAATTTGAGTTCCTCTGCCTGTCAGCTTTATGGAAAGACTCACAAAATTGACCAAGACATTCCACGCTTTTTGTCAGGTACTGTGTGGATTTTATATTTCCAGAAGCAGTCATCCATCGAATCAGAACAAAAGCCCAGACAGAGATATTTTTTTATTCACTGATTGCTACACCTGGTCCAAATGTTTAAACCTGCACCCCACTTTTAACCTTAAATCATGAAATGTATTCAAGGCTTATTTACATAGTCAAAAATTACATTCACAGACAACAAATATTAAAATGACTTCAAATCCTCAGCAAGCGCCTGTTCAGTACAAATGTTGAGTTGTTTACTCATGAAATGTTGCTTTTACATACATTCTGACTGAAGAAGATGTCGTAATAAAACTCTCTGGTTAAGATTTAAGATTTATTCATCATCATCATCATCATCGTCATCGTCGTCATCTTCATTATCATCATCATCATCGTCGTTGTCGTTATCATCTTCTTCTTCGTCATCGTCTTCATCCTCAACTTCCTGATCAGTGTCTTCATTGTCGTCCGCATCCTCATCATTATCATCATCATCGTCATCATCGTCATCATCATCATCATCATCATCGTCATCATCATTATCATCATCTTCAGTGTTGACTTTCCCGGAGAGCACATCTTCGATCCAGTCCTCCAGTTCCTGAGCTGTAGGAAGATCGTCTTCATCGTCCATTTCCATCCACACACTGTCCGCCTGCACAGACACACACATGCATTCTGTTAAATGTCCACAAAGGTTGTCATGGCAGCTGCATCGCGCTGAACAGGTTGTCAGGGACTTACATCTGTAACATTGACGACACCAATCTGCGGTCTGAACAGGTCTACCTTAAAGGTCTTCCCCCAGTAGGGAATCAGCTGGAAGGTGTTAACAAAGCAAAGTAGAGGACAATGTCAGACCAAGAAACTATGCAAACATGAAAATGAATCCACTTTTTCCATATAGAATATTTCCAGTCCGCCAGGTTCCGCTGCCCATCTAAACTGAAAGGCATCAGGCTCACCAAGGGGAAGTCATCAGGATCAATCCAGATGATGCTGAGGTCAGGAAGGTGAGTGTTGTCTCTGGCCACCTCTTTCAAGATCTCCAAAAACTCATAACCATCTGAAGGGAAGCAATTTCTCATTTGGTTAGAATTTATGTGAGTTCATGAACATCAGGAAGAAAATGTTTCTGTTTAAATGACCCCTTAGATCACTCTTCTGCAGTAACTATTCCATGATGTGAAACACACTTACCAGGGTCCTCTTCCTCTGCAAAGGCAACAATGTGAATACCCTCAATATCATCCTCCTGAGGAGAAAAATAAAAAACATTTTCCCATTTATATTCAGGAGGGAAAATGAGAATAAACAAGCTTGTCCACTTACCCAAGTTTCAAACATGTCTTCTGGCCGCAGTTTCCGCAGGGTGGGCCTATCAGCACAGACGACATGAGATGTTACAGTATGTGTTCGTACAAAAGCAGGGCTGCATCCAAGACGTTCCATAGACAACTGTTAGAGGAGCTTCTCTTTGTTTACCGCCTGTGTTCAGTTATGAATTCCACCAGTTCCTTCTCAGAGTGAGGCTTTCCAGGGATGGTGACAGGCTCCTCCATGAAGGGCTCATAGAAGTCGACCTCATTTAATTTCAGAGTCAGCTCCTTAGCCACCTAGAGCAGCAAAAACAGATCACTCAAAGCTTGGATCAATAAATGTAATTTCTCTGTGTCTAAGTGTTGCATGTGTTTGAAACTTACAGACTTCTCAAATGTAGCAAAAAATTTAATGTATGGCTGAAAATGCTCTGCAGCTTCTTTAAATGCTTCGTAATCTGAGGAGAAAAACAAAGGGGACCAGTGGTGTTACATTGAAAGCTTTTTTTCTTACTCTTTTTTTCATAATCATGGATCAGTTTGTCCTTTTTTTCATCTGCTGTCCCTGTTTGCTCATCAGGGAGCGGAAATAGCTAAACTTTGACCTCAGGGTAATGCTCCCACAGAGGGTGAAATGGGATGTAGATGTGGTTCATTTCTGTGAGTAAACTATGGACCCTCTCTCTAGTATGCAGTATGTGATAGGACTGTAGCAGCTGTGCCAGACGCAATGGTAAAAATGGATCTGTAAATCCATGGAGATGAGGGGGTTAAAATGTTCTCCTATTATAATGAAAGGCACGGACGGTTCATTGCACATGCCTCTAACAGGAAGCCACGAAAGATCATACAAACAAAAGCACTCACGCTCAGACTCTTCGCTCTTGAAATAACCAATGAGACGGATGTCTTCCTCCATTCTATCAAAGGCTCTTAGCTCCAGAGCATTTTCTATAATCTCCACTGGCTCATCCAACAGCTAGAGAGAGGCAGAGAGAAAGAAGGTTGGACGACGTGCATGTAACTTATTCAGGTCTAAAGTTGGGTTAAGCTGCGGGAACTCACATCCAACAGGAACTCCACCAAAATATTCGCAGACAGATAACCATCAAACTCTATCACCCTGTCATCCTTAAAAACATATACACTTCCCTCCTCTTCCAAGCCTGCCATCAAAGGAAACAATATGTTAGAATTAGATGATAGCTCAGATTTTTTACTCAGAATCAGTGTCTAAGAACGAGAAAGACAAACAGCAAATGTGTACAGCAACTCACCTAGTTTCTTTGCCACCTTTGCATCTTTGTGCGAGTCAACCATTCCAAAGCCAATGTCTTTCTCCTCCATGACCTGAGCTGCAAGCTGAAGACAAGAGAGACATTACATGTCAGCTAAGATTGCAGGAACAGGAGTGTCGAAAGGACTAAAAGCGCTAAAATGAATTGGCAGTCAATAATATTTATTGTTGTGCTCTAGACAACATTAAGTCATTGAGGTTTTCATTGTTAATAGAAGCTTGATAGCAGAACCAAAGTGTGCAAAGTGACAGAGGTTCCCAAGCCGCCCTACAGCATAGGGATACAGTTACATAATCATCCAACCAACCTCCTTCTAAATATAACCAGAGTAAAAGTGTACTGTATGTAATTGTTCTGGCAATTGATGCATGAAGTACAGTAGAGGCTCTGCTAATATCCTCCACATAGGTTAGAAAAATATGATAACGTTAAAGTTATCATGTGCTAATTATAAAAAGGCTCACATAAATTAATCTTTTTGATTTGCACAAAACATGCACACGTGAGCATATGTAGTACGGCATTACAATGCACCTTGTTTCACCCTCACACGCACAATGACATTTGCTAACAGCAAAGTAACAACAGTCAGAGTAAACAATTCGCAAAAAAAAAACAATAGAATGTATGGTTATATGTTTAGTAATCATATGTAATCTACCTGTCTTCATATCTAAGATTTAACACATAGCTGACTTAAAATGTTCCATCCACCCAACCATTACTACCCAGTTGATTTGAGGGTCATGGGGTGGGGGAGGCTAGTCCAGCTGCCATTCAGCCACAGGTTAGATACAGCATGTGTGGGGGGGCATCACAGGGCTTACTTTAAATGTTACTAATGTCATGAAAGACAGATCAAATAACATGAGCCCTTTACAGCTGTTTTACATTAATGCAGAGCGTCTCTCTGAAGTGTACAATACTGACAAAATGTGAAGATTTTAATTAAGCTCAAGTTAAATTTTCCCTAATTAAATATCTGGGTTCATCTTCTTAAAATATCCTATAGTCATAAATGAAATATCTATTTAATTGTACTGCATAATGTAGGCAGTTCTCCCGACAGTCAGAGGAGCCTTGTCTGCTCTGACTGATCAGCCCTGCAGACCTGAGCACGCACCGTCCTCCATCTTAGATCAGCTTGCTTCAAATTAAAGATATGCACAACTAAAAACCCAGATTTGGTAATATATCTTAAAACTTGAAAACCATTATGGTAAATTCCTAATTTGAGTTGTTTTAGACTTCTAATACCTTCTATCCTTCCAATTATTTGACCAGCAACTAACAATGGTAATGTTAAATTATCTCGGACATGCTGAAATTTGTATGGACATCGGCACATCTAGGACAGCATGCACAAATTTGCTGCAATATTACACACTTAATCTGCCCATTTTCTACAGGCAGCCACAGTAAAGTTCAACAACAGCGGCAGATTCTGTGCATGGGTGTCATGGATGCCAGATTATCAGAACTGCCCACCTGTGTTGTCTAAAACCAGTGATGCTAATATCGGAATTGCTCATGGGGGCTCAAATTACCTTTAACAGGTCAAAGTGGAACTCGCCTGTGTAATATGAGACTGGCCAAGTTTTCCAAGTTCTACGCTTTTTGTACCATCAGGTAGCCAAACAGAGAGATCAAGAATATTTCATTGAACATTTCGGTTAGCTTCCAGATAAAAAAAAAAGAACCCACAAGTCTTTTTTCTTTCTTTTGTCCGCTATAGGGAGCGAAGGTGGCTCTGCCCTTCAGCTCTGAAATACTAATGAGCACTTGGCCTATTTCTGCCAGCAGAGGAGAGCCACAGGGTGAACACAATTCAAGCACTTCTATGTGATGTAGACACACATAACAGTCACTTGGAATTAACCCCCGGTGATAGTGACACATCTTTGGAAATCCTCACTCCTAAAGTAGATACACTCTACCCTTGTGTAGTGTCAGATATGTTATATTAAAGTACATCAAATTTTAAAAACATTTCTTTATGGAGGACTAAGAATGCTTTTATTAGATTCATTTGACTGTTTTAATAATAGCAAACCATGTCATTTTCTTTTTACTTTTTCCTGCAAACGCATTTCTAACAAGATCTTGTTTTTAAGATTGCCCCTTAATTCCGTCTGACTTTTGCTTTTGCTCTACATGTTTACCTTTCTCCCAAACATTACATTTCCTCCTTATCATGCCTTACCTCTAGCACCAATTCAGTCATCTGGAATTTTTTCTGCTGCTCCTTGCTGTCTGGTATGGGCTCATGGTAATACAGACAGAGCATGCTGTATTTCTTCAAGGCTTTCTTGTAGTTCTTGTCACTAATATCTAGAACACGGTCCATCCCATCGTAGTGTGGGAACTCAAGGCCCTTCTCAGCCGGTGCCAGATTCAAAAGGCTCAGGAAGGGGAGCAAAAACAACCACAGGGAGAGCATAGTCCAGAAGTACCACACACCCCCAGAGAATGGTTTTGTTTAAATGAATCTAACTGCACAACTGGAGTGGCCACGCAAGGCCTACGAAGGAATGGAAATTTCTGTAGGAGAACTTGAAGTTAGACAGCTGCCTGTCAATGGAAGTTCTCGAGCATCTCCAAAGAAATCCAACAGACTCCTAAGAAATAATCGTGCTCCGATCACTCCTGCGCTCCTCTCTGTAGACAAAAAGAAGAAAGAGAACGACAGTCAGGCCTATGAGGTACTGGTGGGTGGATACCATACATAGCAGCACTCCTCTCCCCCTTACCAATGCAGGACAAGCCCATTTTTAGGAGACCAGTTGTTTGAATGCTAAAAATAAAATGACTGCAAGTGAGAATGGGAAATAGTAAAGGATGATTGTTGGGGTTTATCAAGCACGGTACTGTACTTGCTGCACCTGATGATACTTCAGAGAACACATACTGTAGAAGTGCTGGGAAAGATTTTGGATGATTTCATTATCTTGAGGTGTTAAGGGATCAGAAACACCGCCCATGACAGTTGGTTGTTGAGTAGAAAGTGTCGGTGTGTGTAGGTGACAGCTCACAGGACTGTTTGCCAACAGGTGTGACATGAGCGATTCAAACACTCAGCATGTGAAATGTTTGGTCATCCCATGTTGTCCTTTGAGTCTGACTCACGTTTTGGCTTTTTAATCCTATTCAAAAACCAGTAAGTCTAAAGCAGCTTTTGCTTTCAGTAAGGTGTGGGTCATTGTGTCTGATTAGCCATTCATTAGACATTCTGCATTTAAAATCCAACATTGTACCCTAATTTAAAGATTTTTCATTTAACAATGACTACTATGTCCAACCTAAACTATTTCTGCCTAAACAACTGTCAAAACACCGGCAGCTGCTCCTCTATTTTGGTCTTTTCTGATCTTTGCTCTTGTCTCAAGAGCAGTTTTCCTCTGCATGCACAGGGTAATGGTGTTCTGCTGCCCTCTGCAGGTAGAAACTATAACTACAACAGCCACAAAACCTTTGCTAAGTAAGACACAGCTTACCGCATACACAAAGAGAAAACATGCAAGCTGACCCCTTGACTTGACTGGTCTCTAGAAAGACCCTTTTGGCAATATTTTGCAGACAACTTTCCAAAGATTGTGTCATGACATGAGAAGTGTCTGACCTTCCCCATCTTCAATGCACTCCTTATATGCTCAGGGGGGTTGAGTTCAGGGGACTCTAAATGACCTCATCTGCCTTGCTTAGAAAAATACTGAATGCAGTTCTATGTTCTCATTACGTCTTTGACGGGTTTCATTGCATATTTTTGCAAACAATGCTTGATTTTTTTTTTTTTACCATGCCTCTGGTCTTAGAAATTATTCTGCCAATATATAAAGATTTGACTGTACACAGTCCAACTAGAAGAGTTTGATTTTTTTTTGGGTTGATAATAGAAAAGAATGAATGGAGAGTCATTCAAACTGATGCCCACACTGACTTTCCTTGCTTGTTGAGGAATGGTGTTGGATTTATTTGTAATTCTTCTTCTGTCCACATGGAGGGAGCCAAATTTCGGTCCTTTATGATTGTCTCTATAAAAGCTGGCACTCACACTAGATGTCAGTACAATGCAGCACAATTATACAGAGAAATCTACATTTTTTCATGTAAAACATGTTGCCGATTTCTACGTTAGATGACCATTGCTTTGACAGACCGTGCTGTAATAATGGGGGCATTACAACAGAGTAAAGGCCTGCTCTGTTTTTCAGATTAAGAAAGGAAACTCATGGAGCCCTATATTTTAAAACGGTGATCACTGAGGTAACAGTGTCAACATCGTGGACCATCATAGATCTCTCGATCTCTCCAGATCTTTAAGGCCTTCTTAAGCCGTGCCAATGGCGGAAGATTGGTTGACTTCACCGTAAAAATGAAACGAGGGAAAGAAGGAAAAGTCTTAGAAAACATATTTAGACACAGAAAGCAGTAAAATTTGAAGTAAGTGCTCATCCGTTTTCTACACCATTTATTCCGAATGGGTTTGTGGGGGAATGCACCTCATATTATGTCCTTATTTGACAAAAAAGATAAGATACAAAGACAGAATGGTCTGTCTGGATTGCTATTATCTGATCACTCTAATGTACCAATTTCCTGAAAAGTTAATCCACACAGTTAAATGTTCAATCATTCTGACGATCTTTACAAAGAACCTTAAATTTTCCTGTGTTGAGACAGCAGACTCAGTATGGCGAAAGCTCATTACAACACAGTCCGTGTGGAAATAAACGGACGGCAGGGTCCAGATCATATGCTGCTTTTTTAAATAAATGACACCGCATAGGAAACTTTCAGGAGTACCGGTAACTTTCCCACTTTGTATTTGAAATGTAAACACTGATCGACTTTGTCAGACCTGACTTTTAACACTCAGTGTTGATAGGTCAGAGTAAGTGTAACCGCAATAATCTCTGTTCTTTATCATTGCTTAAAACACATTAGATGTATCATTTAAAAAAAGCGTTTTCACAAGCTGTTAAATTAATATTCCTCCACAGTGTAAATGATTTACAGTACACATCATAAACTACGCAATTAAAGTCAGCTCAGAAAATTTCCATGAAGAGCGTCTTGCTGTGGTCAGCTTCTAAAGCAGCTGGGTTCTTGTGAGCCTTCTGGCATCGAGGTCATGATAGAATCCATGATGCCAGGATTTAGGCTGCTCGTGTCTCACTCCTGCTGTGACTGGTGGGTTTTAGAAGTTAATGTGGACACTTTTGGCATCAGCTCGAGGGAAAAAATCAACAGAAGGTTGCCACCATCCGTGGGACTCTTTGTGCACTCACCCAATGACAACTCAGTTAGGCTCCAGCCACTCAGTGACTCTACTATGGAGGATGAATGGATGGACTGATGGATTATATAGAACAGGGTTTTACTCTTGCACAGGTTAGCCGTGTGTGTGTTTGAGAATTCAATAGAAAATGTTGGAACAGCCAAGGAACTCTTACTCTTATGAATATTTTATGGACTTTGAATATTTGTATTTGCACCACATTTCATCAGGCAGTTAACAAAAATAAATAATGACTGAAACGGATGTGGTACTCAAATAATTATATTTTCTCAACAAACTTATGTTGAAATCTTCTGCCAAATATTGGGAAGTTCCAACTCATGCCAGAATATTTTTTTTAATGAAGTTGCTTTTCTGGCACATAGATGTGACTCTCTGACACATGCAATATATTCCTAGTTGTACTGAGTTCTGGGGAAATGAGAGTCCAAATGAGCATCTTTAAATCTTTGTCACATTTCTGCGTGTGACCATTGATGCTTTTGAAGGACACCATCCTGTTTAATGCCAGAAAGTGCTGCTGCTATTGTGTCGAGGGTGAACTCAATGTGCAACTATGAATACCAGCAAGGTTTCAAAGAAAACACTTGTTGCAGCACGCATAATAGATACTTTGCATCTTGCAACATTCATATAAGAGGCTATTGGTTTCCTAGAAATACAACACACTTTTTGACACTTGTTACACATAGCAAGTAAGTGATTTAAAAAAAACATTTTTCAAAGGTTGTATTAGGCATTCATTTGAGGGAATTAAAACTGATTTAGCAGTGTTGTGATTTCTCAACTCCTTCATAGTTTCAAAGGAAAGTGATGTTATAACTGCTTTCAACAAAAGTCATCCAACGTCATCATACGTTTGGTTGCGTCAGGGGTCAGAAATGGCTGAGAAAGACACCAGAAACCCCAAGGTCAGAGTGACATATGCAAAAGAGCCTCCTGAGCCAGTGATCCGTAAACCACCAGCTGAGCTTTAGTGTTCTACAAACTGCAGAGTCAGATGCAAATCCACACACTTTGATTGAAAGAATGTACTTTTCTGTCTTACATTCGCTCATTTAGGCGTGCCTTCGTGGGACACTCTGTGTCCCATGAAGAGCGAGCATGAGTCATTCATCACAGTTTGCTGTGTATGAGGGAATTACTGTATGACATTACATAATCATGAATGTGTACATTGCCAACTTTTGTGTGTTTGTCCTTGGAAGTCATACCTGGCCTGATTTCCAAGATCACAATAAACAACTGATGTTAGCCTCAGGATGAAAAGCTAAATCCATTTGAGTGACGCATGCAGCCATTACACCAACAGAATTATGCCCTGTAGTAACTTGTTCATGTTGGTCCTACCCTGAAATCTGATTTGTTCTTTCTTGATCAGTCATGCAGCTGTACTTTTCCATAAATGCAAATGAGAATTTTTTCTTTTTCTATTACGTCTTGCATGGCTTATGAGCACTCTTCCATTCTTACTCATCTGCTGGTGAAGCAGTTACACCTTTCTGAAAGCTGTCGCAATAAGTTCATTATCATGTCATGATACGGGATCAAATTAAATTAGCAATAAAAGCAGTTTTTCACTACACCACACATTATGACACGAGAGTACGAGCCATCAATAGGGTTTGCTTTGTTACACACAAACTATAAATAAAAAATGTCATCACTGGTCAATTTGACCCAGAAGGACAGGAATGGGTCTGTTTCGTTGTGTTTTCGACCCATTCAGGCTTTATTTCAAACATTTATTTTGCAACTGATGCTCCACTCCATGGATTATTGCCATAATCACTGGCATCCTGCCATAGTTTAGTCGGGACTGTCCATGGGAACGCTAGGAATGCAGTGACTGTGTGTTTGCTGTATATCTGAAAGGTCAGATCACATTCCCTACATGTCTGCTTCCGTTGTTACCCAAATAAGAATGAATAACAGAGGTATTTTTAATCCTTCAGACTGTCTGTGAGCTGTGATAACAGAACAAGGGCATGTGCAGAACAACAGCTTAATAATGGCGTTTGCCTTATGGATGCTGGCTTTTTATGTATGTGCCTGAAACAATGTGGGTGCTCCTGCTGGAGGATGTGTGGTCTCCCTGATTTACAAGAAAATTGTCAAAAAACTTGTGTAAAGCCATAACTTTGGGCCTATGACAAGTGGAAAAGTGGCACCTAGTGGTCATGTGATCTTTCAAAACAATTAATTTGCCAGCACTGGTGCTTGTGCATGCCATTACTTCAACTAAATATGGCCTCTTGTAAAATACCAACTAGGAACACTGGCACAAATGATAAAATTAGGTTTGAGCAGGTCATGTTTAGTTTTATGTTACTGTTAGTTTTAGTTGTTGCCTGAAACCCTCCGTCCAATACATCCATTTAAAGCATCTGCCTCAGACTATTGTTTGTGTTTTCTCTGTCCAAATAAGACAATGAACAAAGCACAGCCTGAATGCCAGTACTTTTCCACAAGGACAATATCATTAGTTTTTTGTTTTTTTTTAGAAAGGAGGCAGTGCACAAGTCCAGTGAGGGCTGGTTGAGGAGAAACCAAGATTGTTGAAAGGCCTCAGTGATATATGCAAAACTGAATTATAACTAGCATGATAAATAAAGCTTTCAAAACGTGTTGTATGTCACAGCTGGGATGTAAAATAACAGCAGTGCTTTTGAACTACTGTCATGGACAGTGGCTCTCTGGGCGAAACAAAGGAACAGGTTATACTGGATTGTTTAAAATTCTTTTAATGAACCACCTATCTGTTAAACTTCAGCAAACAGTAATAGAAAAACAATAAGGTCACTTTGGTAAACTCACGAAGAGATTCTACTGCAGTTAATTTACACAAAGTATAACTGAGTCAACTGTTAAAACAACTTGTGCCCGGATCAGATATATGACACACCTTTTCATTTTTAGTTTGGATTCCTCTAAACTAAATGCAGTGATCCTATTTGTTGCAGTGACATTTTCATGAGAAATTTTCATTTTAGACATATATGAAATAGATGAAGTACTATAAAGAAACAGACGACAGCACTTAGTGAAAGAGATGATCAACTGGGAGCGAAAGAAAAAGGGCATATTTTCAAGTCCATAACAATTTGTCAGATGGCATTTATGAGTATTTTACAAGTTTATGACTTTACTTATGACTTTAAAATAAATAACCGCAAACTTGTGGAAATATCTTTGGTTACTTCAGACAACCATGAACAGCTGGCATGATCTGATCAGTTACAAAAATGTTTGGCATTTGCTCATTTATTTTTGCCATGCTGTATGCCAACATAGTCCCTGTTCATGGTTTTGTGACTAATACATTGCATAGGTTTAGACATGCTGTCTTGCATACATTAACATTATCATGTAAATCCTCTCAAATGTTAAATAAACTGAGAACTGAGTGTCTAAATACAATGCCATTTTAATTTCATTAGTTAATAAACCTGCTTCAGTCACTTGCTGAAAACCTGCCAGGGATTTCAAGATATGTCCATCACATACACCTGATTTCTAAATGTTTCCACAGGGACAGAAAGGACATCAGCAATATGAATATATGAATATATATATATATATATACAGTATATGAATCACTGTCAAAGCAGGAGGGTAGATCATAGTGGTGTATGTCAACAGATTATCCATCCATAACCAATTTTACAGTGGTTCATTTTACATTTAATGTATTGAATTATTTCAAGTATAAAAACAGCATCAAATATAGAAAATAGAGATAGAACATCAAGTTATGGGAAGTTTTACAGTTAGGGATGATGAAGGAAAAAATGACATATCCTAGAAGAAGTGGTGACTAATAAGATACTGATGCTTGCTCTGATTGGTTGAATATTAAGCAAGGATCGCCCAATCTCTATTCAGCTCAAAGCAGATTAATGGGGTCTTACTGGGGTTTATGTAATCCTGGATATTAGTATTAGGGAGCCCGATCTAAAGGACACAGATAAGAAATGTTGCCATGAGAGACAGTTTTCCGTATTAGAATAAGCTCTGCAGAGTTTTGATAAAAATATCTTTCCCAGCACTTATGGAGATGTCATGATGTGATTATTTAGTAGTTGAAATGATATTAGAGCTGATACTAGTGGGACAAAAAGAGAAGGTTAGAAAATCAAACATCCAATCAAATCTTTTTCATACTGACCATCAATTGTTTATGAAGTCAGTACTGTTATGTAACATAATCTTTGAAGCACAATAGCTTATCTTTTGTGTCGGAAATTATTATACTGAATGTTTTTAGTGTGAGCTAAAAAAAAATCATGGCATCAGCTTTTCTAAAATGACACTTTTTTCACTCAAGACACAAATTATAGAAACGCAATTGTTAGGGTTTTTTAAGTCTCCACGGAAACTTTATTTTCAGTCTCTAAAAATAAGGTCCATAAAAATAACAATTTGTATACTCTTTCAGAAAGAAAGACACAGTTTTAAAGCTCTTTCACTTTGCAACCATCTCTAATCAATCCTTAATTTAGGCATCATGCAACATCCAAAATGGATGAGGACTGGCCTTTCCCATTCTGACACTGATATATTGGACAGAGCCAATCAACACTGGTGTCATATTCCAAAATGAATACAAGCACAGTATTTCAACATTTTACTGATTTTCATTTTGTAGTGCTTTAGTGTTCGGTCACATTACACTGTAAAATCTAGACACTCAACAGTTTTTACTCCTGAATTACCATTCAACATATCATGAATAAACTTATCCAGTTATGTGAAACCAAACGCAAAGGTTTGAAATGTCATTTCTTTACAGATTTCACATCCTTCAATAGACTTAGACTTAGACAGTACTTTATTGATCCCTTGGGAAGACTCCCTCAGGAAATTAAGGTAATGCAATAATGCAAACACAAACATTTTTGACAAAACTAATTCATGACACTGCTTTAAAAAAATGTAGTATGCTTGGAACAAAATTTGTTTTGTTTTTTTTCTATTAAGCATTGCACTCGAAGACACGTTTGGTGGGAGAGTTCTAGAAAATGCATCTCAAAGAGAAATATATGACATCTGAGAATGACAGTGTACAGGAACAACGACGCTCAGTAGATACACAAGAATGAGGAAAATGTATGGAATGGCAGATGCAGTGAGACATGAAATATTTGTACACAATGTTAACATATTGTAACAATACTTGACATGCCTTTCAATGATGCAAAACCTGATAAGATAAAACATGAGCTGATACGGAATCATGGGCATTGGCACCTTTAGCTGTTTGCATTATCATAGTGCGCAAGCAGCTCTTTGTTGACTATGAACAAAAACAGATATGCAGCCACAGAAAATGAATAATCAAAACAAAAACAGCACTACTAGAAAACACAGCATAAACACACTTTTTAAACATAGAAAGGATTGTCATCAGTGAAAACTGCCTGAACATCCAGTCTGAATGTACAATATATATTTTCATTTGGGATGACAAAAAATAAAATAAAAGGGGGAACATTTATAGCATTGTGCTTCTTTGTTCTTGTTTTACTGGTCTGCAGAAAACTGACAATTCTTACAACCTAACAGTAGCAATGATCTTGATAAAAATGCTTTATTTGCACAGTGACAATCACTGAAACATATTGACATTTGTAACACCAGCAGTAAACAATGCTTCGTGGTCATTTTGTTTTCTTTAATCTCTTATTAGAAAAATAAGAGCTGGATTATACTTCAATCCATTCATAGAATAAAATGTGCTATAATATCCATAAACCAACCAATAAGAATACAGTTCCTGTCAACAAGGAAGGAAAAAAAGCTTTAGTCGCAGTATTTCCTTGGTCACAGTACAAAAAAAAAAAAAACGACAAGTGCATTTGTAGAATAAGGCAAATATTAAATTCACTTATAGAATAATCACTTTAAAAATCAGCATGGTTAACAACAATTTGATTATGTCATACACATACGATTTTTTTAATGTGGAGGAGCTTTAATCATTTTTAATGATTAGAACAAGCTTGGATCCCTGTTAGAAAGCTATAAAAGACTACTGTAAATATTACAGACACTGCTTCTTAAATCTTTGATTATTCAACTTTTTATAACAGCCGAAAACATCATCACCAGATGGTATAGTGCCGGGCAGAGCTACAGCGAGAAATAAACAAACATGAAGATCCCCACAGAGCAAACGCACGCCAGGCCTACGTTGAGGAAAATCTTAACTCTTGGTGGCTCATAAAGCATCTCTGCGATGACACTTGGATCTTCCTGCAGCACTTTCTGCTGGGCACTCTGTTCTCCATCTTTATAACCACAGAAACATTCTAGCAAACGGAAGCACCTACTTCTCTCCCCTTCTCCGTGGCAACCTTCCTCTGCTATCATCATCTCCATTTTGCCATTACCCAGGTGCTCGGCCGGGGTGGTGGTGGGAGATGTTTCTGTGCTCGGGGTTGCCGGGTCATGATCTGTGGATGGGGCGATAAGTTGCACATCGGCTCCATCGAGCCACCTCTCCTTTCTAACATCTGTGGGTATCTCTTTGTGAAGGCTTCCAGTGCCGTTGTAATGGTCCTTGTCAGTTAGCCGATACATTTCCTCTCTGTTCTTCAAGGGAACCCTTTTAATATTGCGGAGCCCCCAAAAGGTGGTGCAGCGGACCCGCTCATCGTCTGGTGGTGAAGTGCAGAGACTCACTACAACCGCCACTAGTCCTGAAATCCAAAAGAGCCCCGCTGCAAAATACATATAGTGAACATGGATAATGAAGGCAGGCCTATTGTCCGGTTGGTCACATGGAGGCTGTCGGTAAATGAAAGCTAGGATCAGTCGAATAGTTCCCAATGTGAAACCGGTCATGCCTCCCCAAAAGGCACCTTTCTCATTACATCGTTTCCAGAACACACCTAGCAGGAAGAGGGCAGCTATTGGTGGAGTGAGGTAGCCGGCGACTTCCTGGATGTACAGATATGTCTGTCCACCTTGCATTTCAATGATAACAGGGACCCAGGCAATGCTGATTACCACCATGACCACAACAAACAGGCGTCCCACAATCAGTAGCTCACGTTGGGACGCCTTCTTCCGAAGGGTTTGGTAGATATCCAGGGTAAAGATGGTACTTGCGCTGTTGAAAATGGAGTCAAGATCACTCATCAGAGCAGCGATCATGACCGCCATCATGAGACCTCTTAGTCCCACAGGCATCACTGCCATGACCAGACGTGGGTAGGCAATGTTGGAGCAGCCGGCCTGAGAACCACACACGGACATGCAGTGCTCTGGCCCAATGCAGGCAATCTCATCTGCGAACATGATGCGGGAGATCATACCTGGAATGACAATCACAAACATGGGCAGGATCTTGAGAAATCCAGCCATGAGTGTGGAGCACTTTGCGTGAACAATGTTCTTTGCCGCCAGGACTCTCTGAACAATGACCTGGTCGGCGCACCAGTACCAAATGGATGCAGGAGTCTGTCCGAGAATGAAGCCTGGCCAGGGGATGTCTTCATCCAGCGGACCGCGGAGGATGCTTAACGAGTTGGGTTTAGGCTCAATGCGGCAAGAAGGGGAGTAGGAGAAGTTTCCAGATGCGATTATGGCAGAAACGTTTGGAACTGCCTGCATGTACTTAGTTCTGACACCCTCTAGCCCACCAACTTTTATCAGGCTCATGATGGTTAGGGTTAGGGCTCCACCGATCATCAATACTGCCTGGAGGGCATCTGTGTAGAGCACTGCCACCAGTCCACCAGTGACAGTGAGTAAGGCAGTCATACCGATGAGTAGAACGATGGACAAATAAAGATTCCACCCCAGGGACTCTTGAATGAAGAGCGCCCCAGCGTACAAGTCTACCGATAATTTTGTGAAAATGTAAATCAACACAGACAAACAAGCAAAATAAACCTTCAGCCTGTTCCCACCAAAGCGTTTTGACAGGTAAGCAGGCATTGTGAAGACTCCCGAGTGGATATAAACTGGGATAAACACCCAGCCGAGCAGTTGCAACAGCAGGAGAGCGTTGAATTCCCAGGCTCCGACAGCAAAGCCGCTCGCTGCCCCAGACCCTGCTAAGCCAATGAAATGTTCACTGCCAATGTTACTGACAAAGAGGGATGCACCTATCACTATCCACGTCATGGAGCGTCCAGCCAGGAAGTAGCCACTCACAGTGCTGCGATTGGCTTTCCACATGGCGAGAAAACCAATGACTAGCACCAGGAGAAAATACACTACCACCACAGCAATGTCCACTGCTTCCATCACTTCAGCCATTTCTGCTTCTTCTTATAAAGCTCAAAGCTTCTAAAAACGTAATATGTGAATCTATACACTGTTATAAGTGTAATTATTTAAAACAAAAAAAAAGGAGCAATGAAAATTATTGGCCAACTTTTAAGGTCAAAGTAGTAGCTGGAAGGGAATCCAGTATCAGATCAAATACTCAATGAAGAAATCCACCAGCTCTGAGGTCATTCTTGAGAAGAAGGATGATGTTGCAGGATCCTGGTTGTATTAAGATTTGTGGTAATTTACCTGCAAAATAGAAAAAATAAACACCTCATTAGAATTCTAATTTACAAGATTATCTGAATGCAGAACATCATCTTAAAAGTATCTTTGGCGTTCCAAAAGGTGACACATACGAAATAAATATGGAAATACTGCATGTCAAGTTAAATTGATTTGGTACAGCCACCGCAGCATTTTTTCAGTGCTACTTAAAGTCATGGATTTAGCCAGCCCATGACTTTCCTCTTAATCTGTTTAAATACAAAAGCCATGGCAGTTGAGAAACTTCAAATAGACACTATGTAAGATTAAAACAATGCTGTGTTGCTTACAATTTTACAGTTTTAACTCTTCTTCAGATATGTCCTCTATAAAATCATGTCATTCCTTAAGGTGCTTATGCCATTAAATTGTCCTTTGTTCATTATATAATTAAGATACTGGGGCGACAAAACCCAGAAAATAAAGATTACAAATAAGGGTCATGGAAAACTATATCACACCCTTCAGAGAGCTGAATAAGTATTTGTGAACACATCCATTCTTCTTCCATTTTACACACATAAACAAGCACACACTGCTGGATGTTTGCCCTCTCCTGAGGTTCCAGCCTGCCCGGCATGGCAGAAAATAACCCCATGCCTCCTTCTTCAGTACCATGCTTTATACATAGACCCCTCTTTATAAGAGAAGCCTTTGTTTTCATTTGACCATGTCATCACTGAGGCCTACCCTTTATCACCATAAACTGCCCATGAGACTCTGGCTTTGAATACAACATGCCATTCAAAAGACAAAACATGTTTTGCCAAGGTAAATGATACAATTTTGGAATGCCAAAGTAAAAGCCAGTGTTGGTAGCTCTGCTTCTTTACTTGTAACAACAATGACAACCAGTTATTCCTGGGTCAACTTTTATAAGGAGCTCAGTGTAGTGAAGCTTATTTAATGTGATTATTTTTATAATAAATTATCTTCACCGAGTAACTGAACTGAAGCAGGTAGTTTTTAGCTCTTTCTTAAACTTATTTCAGGATATAAGTGTTGTTGAATCTCCAGCAGCGGGGCAGACTGGAGGCAGTGCACATAAAGTAAACAGAAAGGGTTTCAATATTTGGGTACCTGCTTTAGGATTAAGGAAACCTGTTTCGATGTTTATTTAAGGTATTGGATGACTTCCTATCTTTAATGGCACTGCACTAATATTTGTTGCTTTGCCGAGAGCACTGCCAGGAAAGATGCAAAAGACAAAAAGATGCTAAATGTTGTTGAAGATAAACTGGATTTTTTTGGGCATTGGGAACGAAACTTCTTACTAACAAACAATGCAATGCAAAAAACGCAATGACTCAGACAATATACTATCTATAGACTTAATTTACTCACCAGATGACCTAATTCTAATCACAAAAATATCATATAAAATGTATTCTTTTAAGAGCTGTAACAAAGTGCATCTATAATTTGATAGTGGAGGAGTGTTGTAAAAAGTATTTCCACAGTACATTCTATCTGATCACTGTTGCGGGCAGCAGGTTGCATCATCTAACAGGATAAAGTAACAAGTGTGATGCTTCTGCGTTTTTCCATCCCTTTCCTCACTCATCCTTATATTATTCATTAATGTATGAAAAAAAATAGATTCAGTAACACAACACAGAGGCGCAGCATGTTCCCAGGGCTGGATCATCACTGATAGGCTACTTCAGGAAAGACGAGTCATTTTTCAGAATGGTGAAACAGCATCCAGGAAGTCAGAAACTGCTTCATATCCTCATAAATGGCCGTGTTGGAACAGGAATGGCCAACACAAGTATAATTATAGTTACGGGATTAGCTGTTGTAGTAGACGATACGTCTTTAAAACGGCCAGATGTGTCTGTCTCCTTAAGCCTGCAGTTGTGAATACAAAGAGGCGGCGACAACAGTCCACGAATAGGCATGCGCCTCGGAAGGTAGGAAATTTCTAGAACAGTCTCTCATCCATCGACTGAAAAAGCTGCGCATCTTTAAGGAGATTGTAGTGGTCGCTCTCGGCCACGGAGTCCCTCCCAGGAGCTTATTTACCAATAAACGGCACAAATGTTGAGTTAAACAAGTGTCTGCGCGCATCCGGTTCCTGATTCAGCTGTAGGATACAGTCCCATGTGACGTTTGACATGAATGAATTAAAAGAGAGCTTCGCAATATGAATGGTGGTGAATTTACATAAATAATTTAAAGGGCATATCCTGAAAGAAAAGGGACGGAGGAGGGTTTTACGCACAGACTCACCCTTTTGCTGGAATACCGACTCCTTACGGGAGACGCGCTCTGGATGCCGCTCCACGCCCCTTTGCTTAGAAGAGGAGGGTAAAGAGTGTTGTGAAGATACTGCCACGTCCCGCGCAGTTTTTCTGACCAAGTTGGAGATTTGGCCAAAGACAACCGTTGTCCCCTCCGAGTTACGTCTATTTTGTTATGCGGGTTGATCAATGATGCCTATCTTCCTCCTCTTTTTATAGGCAGCAGTTCAATTCCACGCCCCACACGTGGAGCACACCCGTGACGCGTAGAGATGTAGAAAAACGCCTACTTAAATTCTCCAGCCAATTACTGGTATTAACTCGAACCCTTTGAGAAAATAGAAATGGTTGAAACGTGCATTTTAATCAACTTACAACAATAACGGTTTGTCAGGGCAAAATAAACTCTCACGCCGCCACCCCCTTTTTCTTTATGTATACTTCAGATCCTCCCTCTAATTTAAACTCCTTGAATTTGGATTGACCACATCCATCTACACCAATTAGAGAAACTACTGGAAACTCCTAAGCCTACTGACTACAGAAGTGTAACACCTAATCAGATTTGGGTTGACATGGAAAAATCTGGAACAAGCTTTAAAATGGTCCTCTTACTTACTTTGACTTTTTTTTTAGAAATTTCCTGACAAAAGGAGTTTAATGTATGATTATTGACATATAAACTTAACGTTCTGCTGTTGCAGCAACCCTTTTCTTTGCTTTTTTCTTTTAAAAAACAGAATATTCATTGAAAAGGATCTGACTTGATGAATTGGCTTTCGCTTTAGAGCAACACGAGACTGCCCACAAACATTTCATTTATGGCATCCACTGACCACAGTTGTATTGCAACATATATTATAGTAATGCAAGGTTAATCCATTTGAGGTTTGCTGGTTAAAAAATAGTTGTAATGACAACAAAAAGAGGGGAGATGCTGATGACTTCTTTTTATCAGGTAGCACAACCTCACTTGTAGATTGGCACAGCTCACACCATAACAACATGTTTGCAGCAATAAAGAGTAAAAGTTTTTCCTTTGATTCTCTATGGCCAAACTACCATTAGTCAGGTCCTACTACAATCACTACTACTAATACTACTGATTTCATTTGAATTCTAGAAACAACTTAACATTTTATGGAACATCAATGGTAAAATAGTCAGTACAATTTATTTCATAAACTCGTTATGTAATAATTGGTCTCACAAGTCAGACGAGAAGGTTAAATTGGTTGAACTCCAACAAAACACCATTTAAAGCCGGCACAGCTCTGCTTATCAGAGGGGATACGAGTAAATTTCCACTCACTTGGTTAAACAGATAGGTTGGAAATTTCCATTTAGAGTAAAACAGCATTTCCCATCAAGCATTGCACCCTTGCGTAGTTCGTGATTAACGCCCCTGAGAGAAAGAAATGGCCGTGCGACGTGTTTATATGCTGGAAGTATATCGGAATAGTTTTGTGTTGATTTTCCGTCTCTTTTCCCTACACCTCTGCTGACTTCTGTCTTATAAATACACGTGATATCATTTTCAGATAGGCTCCATTAAACGAGGAGCCTTTAAATAGGTTTAGTGTCCGTTCACCTGAAGTAGATTCAGTGATGTGATAATAATGTGAATTATCCCATTGCGTTGTCATCTGACAGTGCTTTCTTTTTAAATGGGAATATTTACCAATTTTTCTGGTCGTATTTATGTATGTTTTATATTTGCGCTATTTAATAGTCATTGTTCAATCAGAGATAATTTTCCGAATCTACGTGCAACCCTGAACTTCAGATAGTATTAATGAAGGGATGACAGTTGTATCACTGTTCAGTTTTCAGGCTCCAGTGACCAAACAAATATACACTGGAATTTCTTACTCAGTTTATGTAATCCTCTTTTATAAACGTACATTAAACGTACAAACAAAAGAAAAGAAAAGAAAATGAGGTATAAAACTGATGTCTGCATAGGAGGTAACGGTCATACTGAGCCAATGGTGAAGGCAGCCATTGTTAATTAAATAACTATCATCATGTTGAAAGGGAGAACAAAGCAGACAAGAACTGTTAGCGCCTCCCCGCTAGGTCAGATCAGTTAATGGGCATCACAGAATTATATATAAAATAACCCTTTCAACAACTATCCCATTCTCTGACTGGTGTTCCTGGAGAAAACTAACTGCAGGAGCTCCATCTATAGACTTGAATTTGCTAATGCACGTGCATGCTGCCACAAAGTACAAAGGGGTTTGTCATAATATTACATACACACTAAAAATAGGTAAGCAACTATCAAACAGGAAATATTTACTTTAAACTTACAATATATTTCAGGCATATACAGCTCTTACATTAGTTGTATTGCTTTTCAGAGTTAAGTTCAATACACCATACACGTTTTTTTAGTCAGTCTTTGCTGTCAGGATACATAAATACACAAAGGCCCAGCTACTACAGCAACTAAAGAAACACATTTAGCAGAAAGATAAACATTATCAGAGGGAAATGGAGGCCCTGCAAGGTGGTCTTCTACAGTATAATTTAAAATAATTCATGGTACACAACTTCAAAACAGATCCGCATATTTTTTTTAACTAAATAAATCCGAGCACGGGCCAATAAACAACTAAAGGAAAAATTGCAGTCATTACGTTTTTTTTGGAATCTAGTCTGATTGATTTAATTTGGAGTGTGTGGGAATTTCAATGGAATATTTATTGAATCTAATCATTCTTATTGTTGTTGGACAGTGATGTTTACGATACACTATTGTTTGTCGAAAAATATATTGTCAAATATCTGACACGGAGGTGAGAGGTTTGTAAACACTGCACTTCCGGGAATGTACCAAAGTCGGAAGGGGGGGAGGGAGTCCACGAATACGTCTGTATGCATGTTTTATTTTAGCACCAATCAAAATGTTTTAATGTATTTTTATGATGAAAATGGACGCTTATTGTACGAGTAATTTCCCTATGAGTTCTTTTTTAGGACATTAATTATTTGCATGAAGTTTCAGACGCCTCCACCCTGCCCCCCGTCGAAATCAGGAAGTGATGCGTGCCGCGGCGCTCTGTTCTGGATCAGCTGAGTTTGAGGATCCCGCCCCGTTATGACTATCATCAACGCTGGTTAAACTGAGATGGTTTACTTCAGATACATCGCTTTTGTCTGAGCTGCGTTTGTTTGGAGGATGCCCCATCAGGACCCTTAGGTATCCTTCTCGTGTCCGACTCCTTCGACGCGTTGCTGTGCCTATTTCTCAGTTGGTGAGTCATAATGCACCTGATAACGGACGGTGTCCACGACTCTGCTGTTCTGTGTAACTGTGTGTTGTACCCGTACATCCAGATAGCTGTCATTAACTGTATTTTTTACTGAACAAAATATATCTAATGTAAAATCTAGCAGGCACACTCTTTTATAACCGGCCTGTCCAATCTCATTACTGTTATTGACCCCAAAATAAAGAGCTTGCTGTAGTCAGATATAATTATCGACTTCTCGTCTCTTGGTCTTCGCAGCAAGTGTTATTACATCCACTCTGATGTCGTTTGGTTACGTAAGCGAAGGCTCCACTGATGCTACAGTTCAGTTACAGGCCAAAAGCTGCCACAGACAAATGTTATTTGGCCCCAGTCCACGCTCCATCCAGTGTCCCGTCATCTGCCAGCATGTTAAAGGGCTGCTGTGGTGGTGGTGTCAGTCAGGTGACACAGTCCATCCTCACACACACATCCTGTGTGTCCACCCTCACATAACACACTCCTCTGCTTAGCATCTGTCTGCAGAATGGCATGGTTTTATGGCACTTGCTGTTAATGCTGATGCATCCGATAAGGAAGTGAGAATGTACAGTTTGTTCTGTCTGCAGCAAAGGCATGTTTGTAAAACCCTTACTTTCTATCAAAACGGTCTTTTGAAGTCAAGTACAAATTGAGCTGGTAGTTTTTAATCATATTTTAATATGTGTGTATTCATCTATAGAATCTTTTTAAATTTTCAAATGTACATGGTCTTAGAATATATTTATCTTACAATGATGTCCCACATATCTCACTGTACATGGTAACACGTCAATGTTTGCTTTGTTTACTTAAGAACAATTGTGTAACATTTTCCATACACTAAAATAGGTCATGTCCTCTGTATCTGTCAAGCCCTGACCAGTTACCTGTCAGTCAATTGTATTGACCTGTGTTGTCTCACCAGAGGCATGACCATTTTTGCAAATGTAAAGTATGTCAAATTCAGAAACCCAAAAGTAATTTTAAAACCGTTCACTTTTTGATGGCTGTCTTGGTTAGTGTTCTGCTAAATTCTTCTTCAGCTATTCTGAGTGGACAGTTTTTTCTGAGCAGCACGTAAAGACAAACTTAACACTTAGGGTTAGATAGAGGAACTGCTTTTTTTTTGTATTGGAATCGGTTTTAGGTTGAAAGAAGGCTATTGAAACAGCTGTCCTACCACCATCTTTTTATATTTTCAAGTGAACATGGTCTGAGATGATACCAAAGAGCTTCGATTATTCCATTGATGTATCGAATAATCGTAGCTTTTCAGCCGAAAAGCCACTCATCCGATACAACTGCCATAATTCACAGTTTGTACATTGTCAGTCATTTCTTAAAAAAATAAAAACGGAACGAGGACTTCCTGTGCTGCAGCTCGTTACATTTAGAAAAATGAATGAAAGTCTTAATATAACACAAAGAGCACCTGCCTGTTAAGACCTGCTTTATGTGTATGGTTAATGATATTGTTAAAGTGTAAAGAGTTTTTCATTTTCTATGTTTAATATGTTAAATTCAAATCTATTCACATATTTTACTTATAAAAAAAAACATTGCTTGTTTTTGTCCTGTATAATAATACAGCTCTCATCTTTAAACACCTTTTGACCAAAGCTCTCTGATATTATCACCCTGGCTCTTTCATTCTGATAAAAATTGGATATAGAATTATAAGCTTTTTAACGTTACCTAGAAGGACGATGTTCAAAGTTTCACTTCCTGCAGCAATCCTTTTTGAATATTTGTAAATGGTTCATGGAAGCAGTTAGAATATTCCTGATAGCACGTCCTTGCTGGCTGTGTTCATGGCACAGTTATGTGATTACATATTTCACATTTTATTGGTCGGTTATTTTACTAGTTATCTCAAGGTTCCTTCATTCAATGACTCATCACTCTTCTGTTTCTTCTTAACAAAAAACAAAGTCCTGTTTTTAAACGCCTGTCATTCTAGTTTGGCCTGGTTGAGCCTATATCCCCTCAGGTTTAATGGTAGTAATGATGTTATACTTAAGTGTTTACTCACCAGATCATTTCTCCGTAGGCGTGTATTGATGGCCTTGTCTCAGTGTTAAAATCCTCTCAGCTGGGGGACTCCAGATGTCTGATGTCCTTTAATCCTGCCATCCACAAAAACATGTATTGAAAAGCTGTTGGTTTTTTTAGCCCATTTGGCTGTTGGATATCATATTTTAAAGATTGCTTATTGCTTGAGCAGCATTCTTATTTCCTTGATGTAACTTCATCCATGTGCCAGTCAGTCACACACCTAAGATAAAATGTGAATGTGAGCTTGATCTTTTTATAAAGAGATGGCACTTAACTCTCAAAAAGTTTAGCTTCACCTGGAGGAAGGGAAATATGGGCCTTAGTGAGTAAACAGCTGGTAAATGTAGCAGGATAAGATCTTAAAGTTCAGTGAATTGTATTTAACTCGCTGTCAGAAGTATAGCTGCTATAAATGTTGGTGTCAGTCTTCGAATACTGAATGGATACAAATGGAAGTTGGGGCTTTGGGGTGCAAAAACAGAACCATACTTTACATCTTCATTGTAAACTAGAGAGGGGCAAAGTGTATCCCTGGAGTGCTCGTCTCAGAGATTGTTTTCCTCCGACAGAGCATGCAAGGCCACTTAGTTTGTGTTAGGATTCCTTCCTTCTCAGGCGGAGAGACAGGTCTATCAGCCAAACGCTGACTAGTCATGAATGAGGATGTTTGTATCTATTGCCTCAGAGCTCGCATATTCCAGTGAACACAACTAATTGGGTAATTTGATTTGCGATAAACAAGCCTCAGAGGCAGCGAGACACCCACCAGGTTTCTGACAGGCTGATATTGTGGCTCACTTTCTGTGTTCTCCTTTTCTGTTGCAGATGTTTTGTGCTGAGCATGTTGTGATCAAACCAATGCAACATGGATCCTGAGGAGTTGGAACTGCAGAATGACTACCGTTACCGTAGCTACACGGCAGTCATTGAGAAAGCGCTGCGAAACTTTGAATCTTCAAGCGAGTGGGCAGATCTCATCTCCTCCCTTGGCAAGCTCAATAAGGTACAGTACGATGCAGAGAGGCAGCCATTGGCTCCATCCAAACATCTTTCTCTCCTCATGAGTTTTCATTCAAATTCAATTTCACCTTTTTGCAGCTGGTGTTGATATTCTGAGCTTCTGTGGAGGTTTCAGTTTTCTGTAGTTTTGTGGGGAAGTTTCTACATCCGTGGTGTACACGCTCGTGCTTCAGTCCTCTTACCGATAACATGGCAATAAATCTGCCACTGGTCCTTTCAGCTGGGCACCGTTGTTGACTTTGGAGTGTTGTGTGCTAATAATTAGTCCTGAAAGTGCACAAAGAATGTGAGGGAAGGGTTTTTTTCTCATAAAGAAAACTGATAGTATGTGCAAAAAAACCTGCTGATGAGTTATATTCACACGTTTATGGTAATTTTTCATTCTCTTTTTACTCTGTCCAACAGGCTCTGCAGAGCAACCTTCGCTACTCACTTTTGCCCAAAAGACTGATCATAGGGAAGCGCCTGGCTCAGTGCTTACACCCAGCACTGCCCAGCGGAGTGCACCTCAAGGCCCTGGAGACCTATGAGGTCATCTTCAAAATCATTGGAACAAAATGGCTAGCCAAAGATCTTTTCATATACAGGTAGAGTAAACTGCTCAAATATTTTACTGCATCAACAACCAATATGCTTGTTTGAACTGTTTACCTTTTCTTTTTAGCTCGGGGTTGTTTCCGCTGTTGGGCCATGCGGCTATGGCTGTAAAGCCTGTGCTGCTCACACTGTATGAGCGTTACTATCTCCCACTGCAAAGGGCTTTGCTGCCCAGTCTTCAGGCTTTCATAACTGGACTCTTACCAGGCTTGGAAGAAGGACTTGAGGTCTATGACAGGTGAGTAACAGATTTTTGTTTGTGAGCTGTTTCTGCCACTGTTGAAAGTGGTAAAAGAATTAGATTGATTTTCACATGCAAACACTTATATGTGTGCTTTTTATCATGGTGGTATTTTGGTCGACTCTTCTTTGATTTGTTGCTTCAGAATATGGAGGTTTGCAGGCAGTGGTTCATGGGGTTTTGTTTAGATGCAACTTTGCAAATCCAAGATGTGATGCCATGTAGTTTAAGAGGAAAGATGCTGCTACCCTACCAAGTAAAAACCATCATCTTCAATCTTTCTCTAATTGTTCTGTGATGAACTTTTATATTTAACAGTTGAGTAAGGCCTGTTGAGCTTGAGATGTAGGTCATTTGTCTTTTTGGAAGATTGGAAACTGTCTCACATGAGTTTCTCTTCAATATTTTGTAAATGGACTCAGCTCTTCTTTAATTGACTGGCAGCAAGAACCACTTCACTCAAGTCATTGCTGATGTATTTCCTCCTTGGCATGATGCTAACATTCCATTAAATGATAGAAATTGCCTTGAGTACGATGCTTCAGACCAGCGGGCTGCCAAAACCTTTATAGATGTGCCTGCTATTTCTATTTACTGCAGGTAGCAGCATCTGGCTGCTGCTTGAAGCAGCTGGGCTGTGGTTAGTTTATCCCGGTACTTCTGCATTTTGGTTTAGTTCACGTGAAATAGACAATGGCACAATAACATAATGTGAATTTTACTTCTGGGGCTTTAGGTTTCTCTTTTTTTTAGGCTTGATATATCTGGGGGATTTTTTTTCTCGTTATTGAACTTCTGCTTTGGGAGAGGTGCTGTCACATTTGCTGATAATCAGTAAATCAAAAACATGCAGCATCTGTTTGTTGCTGACCCTTTTACTCTCCATAAATACAGTATTTTGTGAAGTATGTACTGACATAATGAAATGTGCTAGGTTTTGTTAACTTATTACACACATTTAAGATCTGAGGTTTTTGAGGTGCATGGCATGATGTATAGTATTTAAAACGTAAAGAGAGCGGTCTTTCCTTTCTCTTTACAACGATATTTTGTTGAATTGTATTATCCTCTTCTCTGAACTGGGTTGTGGATTGTATACTGCCTACTGTTTATATTTTGTGTATGTCGACGACTTCTCTCTACTTCACCTCTGTCCAGGACTGATGCCCTCCTGGTAAAGTTGTCACTGTTAGTGGGTCAGCAGGTCTTCTATGGTGCACTTTGGGGCAGTATGCTGGTCAGTCCCATGGTGCGACTGCCCGCCTCTGTCTTCATAGTCATGCATTTTGACCGCATGGCACCACTGAGTCAACAGACATTCATGTTGGGCTACGGCCACCGTGCAGTGGTGAGTGTCTGTTGTCAAGCATACGCACGATGTGAAACGCATAAAGACATCACAAAATGTGTTAATAGTTTAATCCACTTTGGCTCAGTCTTACATCTGTATATCTCCAGGTGAAGCCGGTCTGCCTGTCCCTTCAAGATTCAAATGTCTTGGTGCAGAGAAACATGCTTGAAATCCTTCTTTACTTTTTCCCCTTTGCAACATGCCTGGTAGGTACAAATGACGATGCATCGTATCCTGTTTTTCTGAAATTTTCTGTAACTAATAGCAAAGTTTTTTTATTCATTGTGCATGACTTTCCCAAAAAAAGGGTTTTATTTTCAACCAGTATTGATCTCATTCATTATGAAGAAATTTCATTTGTTGAAATCTGTGAACAGGAAACTTAAAACCAACACATAAGTTTCCTGAACCCAGATAGATATATGCAAAGTCTTTTATTGTGAAGTGAGCACCATGTCCTTTGTATTTCTTACATTTTGGACACATCTTGTATTAGGAAGCTCTCTTTCAGACGTCCCATTTAGCATGTCATTGGTCTCTTTCTGCATCAGGATCCAGCAGACTCCAGTGTTGCTTTGAGCGTTGAGGACATGATCACAGTAGTGTCTTCAGCCTCCCTCACTCTACTCAGAAGAGACATGTCTCTCAATAGACGCCTCTACGCCTGGCTCCTAGGTACTGGTCATTGCAATATAAGGAATCGCATATCTTGCTGTATACCACTCCAGTAAAGTATTTTTTTCTTGATATCTAATACGTTTTTAAAAATGTGTTTTCAGGTACAGACATAAAAGGTGAAATGGTGGCGCCACATCCCACCCTGTCTACCACCATTGAGGAGCACACATCATTCTACTTCAACACCTATTCTAAAGACCTCCTTTCAAAGGTAAATCCATATTTAAATTAAATCCATATTTTTATTAAGTTTTTATCTGAATGTAAACTTAACCTAGTAGCTGATTTATTTAGCATACAGTACATACAAGGGGGAAACAGGGGAGTAGCTGTAAGTTGAAAGCAGCTAATTTGGTTTGAAGTGGGTTCATTAAAAGCATTAAGCCCTTTTATATTCCTCTAACATCCATTAAGCATCAGCTTTTTGTTCCATTGAACAACCCTACAGTACTTGTGGGTATTTATGGGCCCTGGGTTCCAGTCAACGCTGATGAGAACATCAGTGTGCCACAAACTACTTTTTAAGAAGGGTGCTACACATTGGGCCAGCATAAGTGGGCACAGAACAGTTTCTTTATATCACAGAAAAGCATGTTTACCATATCAGGTTCAGTGGATCAGACACAACTTTAGGGTAAAAGTGATTAAACTGTTTTTTGCCTGGAAGGCAGTTCAACCCCACTTCCCAAAAATAGTGTTTTCAGAAATGAGAGAATACAATAACGTTATCCTTTTATAGTTGTCCTACTTGAAGATGTTTTTCTTTTTTGTTTTTATAGAACCCAGTTTAATTAAAGGTTGAATTAACAAGTCTTTATTACACATTGCCATCACGTTTGGGAGGTTTTGAAGAGTAACTGGGGGGTTCAGTTTGGTGTGTTTCTTAACCAGGAGATGAAGTAGACCAGAGCCAAATCAATGTGTTCTTGCTGTGGTAAGCTGGAAGAATAGAATGCATCATGCTGACCAACAGCAATTAAATCTGATACATTTGAAAACTCACTCATTGTTTTCAGTTGCATGTCACTGCTGTGTAACAAGTGCTAAACACAATGCAATTTTGAGCCAATAATTGAATTATGCATACAAAGAAAATAACACTTTTGAATATTTACTACAGTAATGATTTCAAACAGAATCAGGTGTTTCAGCACTGTGTGAATAATGTGTTTGTCAGCTGGTCCTATTAATCTCATCTGCTCATGGAGCTGGCTTCATGGTCTGGTAAAAAACTTTAAACAGAAGTCAGCTGTGGTCTGTGTGAACAATGTGTTTTTGCAGGCCTGGGGCCTGTTTCCCCTTGTTCTTATCTTTTCATACATCTGACTGCAGGCTCTGATCAACATACTCAAACAGAAGGATGTGGATAGTAACCCAGAAAGTGTGATCCATTATCTCAGGCCCTTTCGCATCATTATCAGTCTGCTTGATAAACTGGAGATCGGTATGTAACGCTGACCATTAGAACGCATAACCAACTTAAGATCCACTATTTTCCATTGTCCATTATTTCAAACATGCTTAAGTAATAAATGAAATCCTTCCTGCTCAGGTCCAGCTATCTTGAGCTGTGTGTTGTTGGAGGTGGTCCGAGCGTTCCACAGCTACTGTCAGGAGGTGCTTGGGGAGAACAGCATCCCCAACTCAGCACTCGCAGTCTACCAGTTTACGAGGTGAGCGCCATGAATGGTAAAAGCTGTTCCAGGTGTTTGTTCACGGTGAAACTTACTGTGATTAAACTGAAAAAGATTCAGTAAATCCAAAACCTGACAATGCTTTTTGTATGTTTTATTTTCTTATACAGTAAGATCAAAGAAAATAAGAATGCTGCAGAGATCACCAAGACAGTGAACATGCTTGTGAGCTCCATGAACAGTGAATACCTGTGGGAGTACATGATCCAACAGTTCTGCACCACTCTCAGGTATCTTTGGGTCTCAATAATGAGCTTTGTTCTTATAATATGTGCCTACTTTGATTGAGTACTATGTTGCTCAATTTGGTAAGTTCTTCTCTGAAAAGAGAAGTCAGTTTGGCAGAGAGAGTAAATTAAAATCTTGATCTTTCAGCATTGATAACAATTTCAAAGCAAAACAAATTACCAATGTCATGTTTTCAAATGCATTTATTCACTAAAACTAACCATAACCAAATGTTTGCGAGAAGCTGTGTGGAAAAGTTGCGACAAGCATGTGAACTTCCTTCATTTGCTTTAAAGTACTGTATCAAGAGGGATACATTATTGTTCTTTATTTTTCCAATTTTTGTGTAGTGGCAAAAATGATGTGTCACCACCACCTGGGGACAACAACAGTCCTCCTGCTCCCTCTATTGCAGAGATTTCCAGCCTCATAATTTTCCTGCTTGATGTTCTTCCTCTGGTAATCAACACACACAAATCCACACTCACTTGCACACCGTTAGTTGCCACGAGTTGCAAAGCAAATACACTAAACTAACGCAATACATATGATAAAATAAAATGACATTTTCTCATATTTATATATCATACATTTATAATTTCACATAATTCAACAGTATTCTTATCAACTATGTTTTTTCTCATAGGAGCTCTATGCTGACATTCAGTCGCATTTGCTTCCTGAGATGCTGGGCACCATGCTGCAGGCCCTGCACCGCCACATGGGCTCTGTTTGCCTGGAAGATGTCACACAGTGTCTACGTGCTTGCTTCAAGGTACTAAGTAAGATTCAGATGCCTGTGGCTTACATGGATGCTGATGCAATGGCACACACAAAGGAGATGGAGTTCAGGTCAGCGGAGGATGAAGGCACAAAGACACAGGTGAGACATTATATTTGACAACACCATTGTTGTGTCTTTTAGACTTTTTAAAGAGTGAACTTCTTCACATAATTTATATATTGTGTAGGATATGGGGACTGAACGAGAGAAAGATGGAATGGTTAACGACCTCCAGGAAGATGTAAAGGGAACCCAAGATAATGGAGAAGAGGCAGACCCTGCAAATGGTGTTTACCCAACGCTGAGGTCGGAGGACAGTGGACTGGGAATAAGTGCCTCACCTTCAGAGCAGCAGCTCCCACTGGGGATGAACAAGGAATCTGAGGGAGACGGAATCGGAAAGAGCGGTGCAGACGTTTGGAGAAGGGGGGGCAGTATAGACACCATGACACAGTGTCTGCAGGACATCCTGGCCTTCATAACCACAAAGTAAACCTCTGAAACAGCTAAATTATACAGAACCAGTTGTCTATAGGAATTCTAAATGTTATTCTCTCCTGGAACATTTTAGATACTTGCTGGTGCAGGTGGAGGATGTCAAGGGTCCGGATGAAGAACCCCAGCGTGACCCAAGCTCTGCCTCTGTGGATCAGAAGTTTTTGTTAGACGGACAAGAAATTAAAAACAAACTAACAGAATTGTTTACTCCAAATAAATTGAAAGCCCGTGTTCATCTCCAAGCCTTCCATTCCGAGAAGAAAAAGGGTCGCGAGCATTCGGGGTGTGTGGACTGGGCAGCGGGTTATATGCCCCGTGGCAAAGCTGAGATCTCTGAGGCCTGCCGACAGGCTTTTGTAGCCACATGCCACCTTATGCTGGAGTGCACCACCTTCCCCGTCTACTTAAGTGAAGAGGAGACTCTTGCTCTGCACACAGATATGTTTGGTCACACAGGTCAGCACACGGTCCAGTTAGTTAATGCTACTGTCACCTGCATGCTCAAAGTAACAAATAATATTTCTAACCTTTTTTGTTTATTTTTTTTTGGCCTTAGGCAGCGACATTAGCAGTCTACCTGTATGGTTGAGGTCCGTCATGATTCTGTGCTGCATGTCCAGAGACTACAATATCCAGCACACTGCCGTGGCTTCCCTTTTGGAACTTATCAATCACTCCCAATCCTTAGCACTGGTAATTCAAGACAAGCACAGACGTTACCAGAACTCCGACTCCAACCCCCTGAGTGGGCGACTGCAGATGGTCACAGTGCCTCCCATCTCTCCAGTCCAGCTTCGAACCATAGAGGAGGCCACGGATTTCTATCAGGTCAGATTATTAAAGGGAAACAGTTGCTGTAACGGACAGCCGTAGCATACATGCAGTGTTCAAGATATTTGTTTTCTCCACTGTAACCCAGAGAGTGTCCCAGGTACTGTGGAGTCAACTGGACACAGAGCGAAAAGAACAGCACATTTCCTGCGTGGACCTGTTTTATAGGCTGCACTGTTTGGCTCCATCAGCAGCCATCTGTGAGGACATAATCTGCCAGGCACTTATGCACAAAGACAAGGTATTTATGCCTGCAGTCGTAGTGAACACTCCTGATTTGATTTGAATTAACGCATGCATTTTGGACAGACAAACAGATCTAATAGAGTAGTTGATATGAAAAATAAGCCCCTAATGTTGATGTCTTGGTGTTTTTCAGGGAGTTAGGCTGGAAGCACTGCACCGCTTCACAGTGCTGTGGCACCTGATCCGGGATATCCAGAGCAACAGGACCATGTCTTTTAGTCGCTCCTTTGACCGGTCAGTACATGGCTGTATCCTGCATTAGAGTATTGATAAGTCAGGTTTTTTTTTCCTTTTTCCATACATTTTATGCAGTCCTGAGGTTTAAATCTAAATTTTAGTGACTGCTCAACATTCTATTACCCTCAACATAATGTCATCAGGAAAAATACTTTTTGCCTTGTTTCTACTCATTTCTGCCACTAAACACATGCCAAAAATGGTTAACTTTTGAAATGTGTGTCTTAGGTCTCTGTGTGTTGTCGTGGACAGTCTGAGCTGCCCTGATGGCTCAATCAGCACAGCAGCTCAGTGCTGGCTGGTTAGAGCTCTCTCCCTCAATGACGTGATTCGAATACTGGAGCCTATTTTGTTGCTGTTGCTTCACCCGTCCACTCAGCGTTGCTCCATTCAGAATGTCAAACAAAATCTCAACGCAGGTAAGTAATCAAAATCAAACATTGTAGTTGGTTTTATCCTCTGTCAGATGTATGGTTGTAAAAAAGAAAAAAACTTACAGAATAATTGTTTTTCAAGGTAATCTGAGGGGTTTTAACAACAGAAGTCGAAGTTCCACTAAAAATTCTGGAACGTCTGGAGACGCCGCAGCCACAGAGGTCACCATCTTAAATGTCCTGAATGTTGTGGATCGAGAGGCCCTGTGGGCTGAGCTGGACAGTGGCCCAGATCTGGCAAATCCACTGGACACTTTAGTGGTGTCAAGGAGTGAGAGTGAAGCGACAGAGGAGGAGGAGGATAGGAATGAAGAAGAGGAAGCCGAGAGTGAGCACACTGAGTCGGCCGACACCAGTGGTGCCCAAGTATCCACAGAGAACTCCAGTTCCGGCTCTGCTCCACACAGCAGCGTTGAGGAGGGAGGTTTGGTCAACGGCATTCGAAGGGTGGAGTCTGAGCGCACGCAGGCATCTGATTCGCTCTCCAGTGAGGATGAGGAGGATTTGGAGCTGGAGGCCATCGCCAGGTCTCGCCTCCTAAAGCAGGAACGTGAGAGGAGAGAAGCTATCGACTCTCTGTTCCGACATGTGCTGCTGTACCCTGTGGTGGGTGGCTGGCGCCCCCTCCTCCAAGGCTTGGCACTGCTGGACAGCCTACTGCGGAGCAGTGCCGAGTGTCCTCTGGTCGACACTCTTACCTCCACTTCACTGGACACAAGCTCTGCTGCACATTTAAATCTGGTCTCTAACCTTTTGCAGCGTCACCAGCAAGCTCAGGATGGCAAGAACTTCTATGGCTGCCTCCTTTCTCCTTCATCCACCCCTTCTGTGCCTCCATCGCTACTCATTGAATTGCTGGTTTCACTGTGTCTGAGACTTCTGCGCTCTCATTACCCTTCATACTTGAGTGTGACACCTCTTGACCTACAGGGGAACAGAGAGGTTCAGGTGAAGAGTGTGGCAGTGTTGACTCGGATGGTGAATCAGCTCAACTGCACAGCACGAGGACAAGAGGGCAGCAAAGTCATCCTGGAGTCCATCCGCAGACTCCTCTCAGGCTGTAAAGTGCAGCAATATGCCCTGCTTTCGCTGTCTGCTTCTATGTATGTCAGCCAGAAGGGAGCCGACCGAGGAGCATCTAAAGGCGAGGAGCTATTAGAAGAGCAGGAAGGCCTCTCAGAGGAGAGTCTGGTTAATCTGGGTGCAGGAGGGGGACAGGAACAGTACCCCTTGCAAATAGAATTACTGAAACTGCTTCAGGCTCTTATAGTACTGGAATACCACGTCTGGCCGGGTGAGGTTGGCTCGGCGGCAGGCGTCGCATTTGGCCAGCCTGGGGAGCATCGGGAATCATCAACTGCCAGCACTCCCCTTGCCCGTGAGTGGCAAACGGCTGTGCTTTTCCAACAGTCGATCAAAGCAGCCCAATATGTCCAGAGCCACCCCATCACAGCCCAGGGGATGTTTGTGTCAGCTGCTGCCAGGGCTCTGCAGCCACAGTACGGGTATGCCATGCACCCTCACTGGGTTTCACTGCTTTGCTCTTGTCTGCCATATTTGGGACGCTCGTTGGGAATCATCGTGGCTCCACTCATCAGTCAGATCTGCAGGAACTTGGATGAGTTAGTCAAGCTGTACGAGCATGATGGAGGAAAGACACACCAGAGGTAGACTGAAAGTATACTTGAAAAACATATTTGGTCACATTACTATGTATCATGACAGTACCTAATGTATAATTTCACCTTATTTCTTTTAAGGACTTTAGTATTTTTATTGATGATATTGGTGACTATAAACGTTGTGTTGTTGTACCAATAATGAAATGTTTGACTTTTTATTATTGTGATCAGCTTCAGTGGCAAAAAGGAAAACATTGCTCCTGACTACCCTCTGACTCTGCTTGAAGGCCTTACCACAATCACACATTATTGTCTCTTGGACAACAAACAGGTAAAGTTACAAGCGCACACTTTCAGAGATACACATCCAATGTTTTTAATGATTTAACACTCATTTTGTATGCTCTGCCCTCTTATCAGTCCCTTGTTGCCTGCGACCCAGTGGATGTCCGTAATGCACGCAATGCTGTGATTGAGGCCCTGCCACATATGCTCAGCAGCATGGCATTGTTATGGGGTGTGGTCATGAAGGAGGAATATCAGAGGCGCTCATCTGACTCTGCGCAGAGCACCAGACACACTTCTACCTCGGTCTATTTTAAAAGCACCAAGGTGAATACGAGCATGCAGCTGTTATTTATTCTGTAATCCCTGATCATGTGATATGTTTACATTGTTTATCATTAGCAATGTCATAAATTGCTAATGTGTGCTCAATTAGATCTTACGACAGCGGATTCTAGAGTTTCTCATTCCGCTAACTGGGCCATATGGAGTTCAGCTGATGGCTTCAATGGGAGCGGTTTGGAGTAATAGAAAGAGCAAAAGGAGACCTAAAAACAAAGTGAGAATCGCGTTATGTTGACAAGCAGAATCTCCCTGGCATCGGAGCAGCTGTTGGCATCTTTACAGTTTGATTTTTTGTTGTTTTAGGTTTTACCGGTGGCCAGCGAGTCTCGTCTAACCATTGTAGAGCTGGTGAAATCACTGAACACTTTGCACACAGATACTGTCCTACAGCTGGTCAAAGAGGTCGTGAAGAAACCACATCAGATCAAGGGAGAGCAGGTACTCACAAAAGTTCACATATGCATGGATGACATGCTCACTGAATATTTTTCAATCTATGTTTTTTTTCTGCTTTACTCTACCTCAGAAGTCAGCGCTGGTTGACATCCCTATGTTACAGTTCAGCTATGCCTATATTCAAAGGTATGTGGCAATGCTTGTCACAGGTTTGCTAAAATCTCTCTACAAGTGTTCACTTCTGCATTAATCCGTGTCTCTCAATACAGCATTTCAGCTCAAGCTCTACAGGAAAATGTTTCACCTCTTCTCAGTCTGTTACGGGAGTCTGTTCAGCTCAACCTGGCCCCGCCTGGACACTTCCTACTTCTGGGGTCAGTTTTCATCTCCACTATGAGTAAACTACTTGAATTCGATTCCCTAAATTATGTCTTGCTTCATCATTCTACTTTACTCAGCATATTTTTTTAATGAAAATTTAATTTTTAATGGATTCATTAATTATTTGTCAGGAAATCTGGAATTGATCAATAATTTCCTCCTTGTAGAATCCTCAATGACTTTGTCAATAGGCTTCCCAACCTCGAAAGTAAGAAGGACACCAGAGATCTGCAGGTGAGATATTTGAATGTAGCTCTATTTACAGATTTCAGTTAGCCGTTGATCTTGAGCCTCAGTCAGCACAAGTAAAACAATGTTGGGTAAGTGTGACTCAATTGTTGTGCAGGAGGTGACTCAGCGGATCTTAGAGGCGGTAGGTGGGATCGCAGGCTCATCTCTGGAGCAGACCAGTTGGCTCAGCCGCAGCCTTGAGGTCAAAGTGCAGCCACAGGTGTGCCCAGACGCCGATGAACCAGATGATGCAGAACTCAATGATGATCACACTGGTAAGTAAAGACACTGGGAATAATAAAAGGCAACTGGTCACCTGTAAGTCTTTATCAATAGTTTAAAAAATAAACTTTAATTAAGTTATGCAAGAATAAAAACCTTCATTTTCTTTATATAAGATGTGAGTGTTTTTTAAGTCAAGCAGAAGAAGTATGGACAAAAAAAATCAGATAAAGACATGGGTACATTAAACATTCTGTCTGTTACCTACTGTATTTACATGTGGGGTTCTCTCTGTTCTCTAAATCAAACCTCATTCAGGGAATAACAGAGTTAATAAAAGCTTAATAACACTCAGCATTTGACTTTTCTCTTTCAATTTTCAGAGTCAGTGACTCAACCTAGCACCATGGTGTCCTCCTCTGCTCCATCGGTTTACAGTGTGCAGGCTCTCGTACTCCTGGCTGAGGTTAGAATTTGAAGATTATTAAAATTCAAATATTATCCTCTAAGGAAAATTGGTGCATTAACATTTACTTATTTGCTACAGAAACCACTTGACTCTCCATCTCCCTGTGCAGATCTTGACTCCCCTTCTGGACATGGTATACCGCAGTGATGAAAAGGAGAAAGCTGTCCCTCTCATCTCGCGTCTCATGTACTATGTTTTCCCCTACCTGAAGAACCACAGGTAACGACTGATGCAGAGTTATCTCTGTTCCAACTGCTTGGCTTCTTTGGGTTAAATAGAATCATCTCATTTACTTATTTTTCCTCCCGTAGTGCCTATAACATGCCCAGCTTTGAAGCAGGCTCTCAGCTGCTGAGCAGTCTGAGTGGGTATGCGTATACCAAAAGGGCCTGGAAGAAAGAGGTCTTTGAGCTCTTCATGGACCCCCTTTTCTTCACTATGGATGTCTCCTGTGCACGCAGGTTTGAATAAATTGGATACTCATTGTTGTTTTTATCATGCTCTGATTAATTTGAGCTTTTGTAATATGAAGACTGATTGCAACAGAGCTGATTCATATCTCATTGTACTGCCCTATGGTAAAGTAGATTTGTAGATAGATGGGAATAGTTCCCCTCAATACAAACTTTTAGTGATGACTGCAGAGTATTTTTTTGTGAAAGAAGTGCCTGATCACATGAGGTCTTTTTTTTTTTCAAATGGTTGTTAACCAAAAGATACTAATTTCGGCTGTTCCCTTTCAGTGGTTGAGCTAGTGGTTTAATTGTACAGCATACTCAATTTTGACACCACTAGAGTCTGATGTCTATTGCCTATTGAATGCCCTCTGTCCTCTGTGTAGTTGGAAATCTATTATCGACCACCTGCTGACTCATGAGAAGACCATGTTTAAAGACCTCATGAGTGAGTAAATTTCTTTGAAAACTGTCTTATGAGAGCTCTTATGATTATAGTTTGTATGTGTGTTTTTTTTCTTTTAAAAGGAAGTAAAGTTAGTATGTCAAAGAAAAGACTGACGACAACAACGTATCGACGTCAAGTTTTTAACTAGGGTTTTTTTGTGAAAACAGTTCATTCTTACTGATTCAAATTCTGTACATTTCATATATTGAAATATATTCTTATGGGAATGCTGTATATCAAATTGCTGCATATGAAATTGTAGAACTGTGCTGCACAATTCTGTATAATCTATATATATTTACACTGCAGGCATGCAGAGCAGCTCCCTTAAACTGTTCACTAGTGCCGACCAGAAGCCTATGCTGCTGAAGCGCCAGGCATTTGCAATGTTCAGCGGTGAACTGGACCAGTACCATCTCTACCTGCCCCTTATCCAAGGTGGGCTACCAAATTGTTGTTGCTTTATGTGATTGTGGTTCATTTTGATAGAAAATCAGACATTAAAACTAAGCATTTTCTATCCTTTCAGAGCGTCTTACAGAAACTTTACGCATGAACCCAAGCCCTGCTGTTTCAGCCCAGATGTTCCTGATGTTTCGCGTTCTCTTGTTAAGAATCTCATCCCAGCACCTGACGTCTCTCTGGCCTATAATGGTCACAGAACTGGTAACATTCTATTCTTTAGATGCAAGTTTCACACACTAAGTCATGGATGTGTCAGTGACTATTGCCGTCTTCTTTTTCAGATACGCACTTTTGCACGTCTTGAAAAAGCTTTAAAGGAAGAGAAAGAAATTTCAAAGTAAGTTCATTCACAAATTTCTATCTTACTGAGACTATGTTCACAGCTCCTTGTCCATTAAAACGTTGTGCCTTTTCTTTTGTACCACAAAGGCTGGCTAAAGTGATGCGCGGAGCCCTGGATAGAAATGGACCTGTGAATTTCTCTTATGCAGAACTGAACATGTACCTATCAGCCTGCAAGTTTCTGGACACCTCCCTGGCTTTTCCTCCAGAGAAGATGCCACTTTTTCAGATGTAGGGGATAAGAAAACATGCACCTAATCTTAGATGAATAATTAATTAATTAATTGTTTTGCCTGTGCCTAGTTTTCTATTGTAATAAGTCTTATTCCTGCAGGTATCGCTGGGCCTTTGTCCCTGAGGTGGATGTGAATCACTACAGTGGTCCAGACAATGCGCTGATGGAAGGCGAGCAAGAAAGCACACCGCATGTGGTCAGAGTAATGGAAGGGATACAGCAGCGTTATGGGGTAAGACACTGGAATGGGAGAACAATTTCAGCCCTTTTATGTATAGACAAATTCTTTTGGGGAGATGTCGTCCCTTGCTGGACTTTATTCTTCATTCTGTGTTTTCTTTCTAAGACCTTTGTTCAGACTATCAGCATAGATCCTTTATTTAGTTTGTGTGGAATGCATCATCGTTGATTAAAAAAAAAGTATTTCTAATCTTAGCTGAAAAGAATAATCTCATTTTATTTGCAAAACTTAAACTCCATGTTTTGCAATGATAAAAAGATTGTATTTCCACAGTTGCCTCTCAGTCCCTTCTGTTCACTTAAATCTTTTCTCTCACGTGCCTTGGGATGGGAGGCCTCCTCACAGGCAAATCAGAAAGGCGCCCAGTATTTGAAGCTTTGGTGCAAGCATAACAACATTATTATCACATCAACTCTGACTAATCAAACGAGTTTGGTATGATCACACGACATGCAACAGCATGCACAGTATGCCCTGAAAGCAGGGTTAGCCTGCAGTTTGAACACAGCCAACCAGCTCTGAAAAATGTACGTTAATGACTATGCAAGAAGGCATGTTGTACCATAGAGGTACGAATGATATTGTCTTGAAAATACAGCAACGTTCACATCTTACAAATCCATTTTTGTTCCTTATATTCTGTTTGAATATTATTAACTTACCAATTAAAGAGCACAATAACATAATAAACATAAGCAAATTAGTCTGAAAGCACCATGTTTTTTTATTGATATCTTGGTAACTGAGCCTCTTTATTAGGGATGAATAATAGTGTATGCACATTTTCAGTGATGGTATCAATTATCCTCACATGATATTAATGCACCGAAGTTGTACCAAGGGGCTCAATTAGTGTTACCATGTAATAAAATCCTCTGTTGTGCAGCTCTTTGTACAAATTCTATCACGTCTAAAGACTAAAAACGTTCTTTTATATCAAGGCTCACAAGATTTAGAAAAAATGTGATTTTATCTTTTCAAAAAAGGTCAAATAATTCATCCAGATGACTATCAAAAGGCTGGGTGCTCGTCATATTCTTCAGCGGAGATTTGTGTTAAGAGACATGAGACATGTTAAGGTGCACATCAAAACTCGCTGAAAAAAAATGTATGCGTCCATCAGTTCTTCATCTTTTTGGGGTAATAATGTTATTGTGTTTATCAGATAAAAATATAAAATTTAACTAAAGCTAATCATCTGTGTTTATTTTTATTTTTGTTATGTTAATAACAACCTGAGTTGGGTTAATAATCTTGTCCTCTGCTGGGGTTTCAGACACTGAATGGGCTGAGCGAGGAGTCTTCCACAGAGCAGTTGGAGTTCCCCCTCCTCACTCAACGCTCCCTGTCCTCAATCACTCAACTTTTGCCTTTCCTGCGCATCCTCTGCTGTTCCTTTAAGAGCCCATCCACTTCCAGTCAACCCCTGTCCCACTGCCCTGTAGCAGAGTATCCAGCGCCAAGTGCACATACTGTCCTGAGAAGACTGGAGATCATCACTGAAGAAGAGTTCTTGGACTCCATGGAGAGTTAAAAACTCATCTTTTTTTATTTGCAGGCATGCAAAAGGAATAACTAAAATGGACGTAAACACAAATAATGTATTGTGAAATTGTAATAAATTAAATGTTTTGGAATTCTGCTTTTTAATTTTTAACTTGTGTGATCTCCACATGTACACTTGTACCCCTGAGGTGCTATCATGCTTAATCTTTACTGGTAAGACAAAGGGATAATTTTTCTGCTTTTTTTGTTTTTTTGCTAGATCTGAGATGATGATTACTAATTATAGAGGAATGTGCTCTTTGTGCTTTTGAAGTATCATCTCAGTAATGTATTTTGTTTTGTTTTTGTTTTTTCCATATATGGTACTAGACTTTATATGATTGTTATTATTATTAGCCGTTCTATAAACCACCATTTGATAATTACATATTGTTTTGAAGAGATGTGCACCTTATAATAAAATGATAAAATCCGTCAATATGTTTTATTTGACTAGTTTTACTGTGAAGACGCTTAAATAATGTTTGCATTTTTCCATAACCCCATTCTGCTAATTCTGTTTCAAAGTTATTCTGAGAATGTAAAGATAAAGGATTATGTTAGATTTGTATTTGTTTCTGTTAAGAGTTTTATTGGTAATTTACTGAATGTGCTTTGTGTAGACTGAGAAACTCCTTTGAAATTACATGTGCCTCAGTATAATACATGCTTGCCATTTTGGTGTTTAAGGGAAACGGTTAACTTTCTCTAGTTGTTCATGAATAGTTTCTACAGCTGTCCATCATGTTTTTTTCATATTTCTGACTGTTTGCTTAAGTTATTTTGGATGTTTAAAGGACCACATCAAGTTTTGATGCATCAGAAAAAAGGCTCATTAAATGAACATTAAAATGAATTATGTGTGCTTTCTGTCTGATATAAAATTATGTTGAATAATAACGGAAAAAATTGATATAGCAAAGATTTCTTGTGCAAACATATCAGCCGTGTAGTGTCATTAAGTCTGAAGAAACAGAGGAACGGACTGAAATCCCAATTTAGCCTGTTGTAATTAACTGAGTTAATGATAATATAGAGCAATTAATCTGTATTTGCACTTTTTGAGAGTAACTTTTCACAATTTATCAATGTCTTTGTAGGGATGGCAGGGAGGTGGAGCTCATCTTAGCCAACACATAGCTTACATTTTCATAGATAAGCACTCTTTGTGTTCTAGTTTGACATCAATAGGGCAGCTGTGGACCTGGGAATAGAGTTATCTTTGGCTTCCACAATTTACACGTGTTTGGAGCAAGCCAGAGAACATCACACTGCCTCTAATCTGCTCTGTGAGAGTGTGAGACGTAAATAAGTAAATGCAAATGCACTAAGAGAATAGTTTTTTATGTAGGACACCTAATAACATACATTTGTTTACTTTTGTGATGTGAATCAGGCACTTTCATCTTATTATGATGCTGGAGGGTGAAAGGAGTTATGATAAAAGCAAGGTAGACTTACTCAAGATGTAAAGGTTATCATTGAGGTGGAGTGAAGCACATCCTCACACTGTCTTTACTTTAATGATTTTTAAGCATTTTTAATAATCAAGAATCCGAAGTGCTGTGAGTTTTGAATTTATCTGGCTGAATCGTCTCCTGCATGCACAGTCCTTGGTCTTCCATTCCTAAAGCAGTTATCTTTTAAGAGTTACACCATAGTTTTTGCAGCTGCATTAAAAGAAAGTTAAATGAGTTGTTGTCTTTTTCATTTCTTTGACTGCCATGTCTGCATAATTCGATAGAATGGCACTCCTTTTATAATGTGTTTCACTTAATTTTGGGCAACCTCATGAGTTCCAACTCTTTGGTGACAAAACCGCAAACTCTTATAGGCAAAGCAGCTTTAATAATAGCAAAAAAGCCCTTCAAATGAACTAATACTTAAAATGATCAACACATTCCTCTGTGCTTTTTAATTGACGAGCAATTTCTGATGGATTGAGGGCACGCTTTTATTCTGGAAATGTTTAAACCGGAAGTTATTACAAACTTTTAACAGGCAAAATAACAAAATGCCTAAATTTGTTTGAGAAACTTTCATTTCAACGTAACATGTAGATCAAACTCATGGTCATCATCATAGATTTGTTTTGTGAGTGTGTGTATGTTTACCTCTCAATATTTACCTTCCTGGGAGGGTGGACCTAAACTCATAGACATCCGCCTGTTATCAGCGTCATCCGGTTTCACGGAAAGATGGCGGCGGCTCGAACAGACCGAGGGGTTCCTCTGAGCACAGTGAGTTGACTTTATTTACTTATTAAAGGCATTTTTCCTGCTTTGCCCTGGCGACAAAGACACAAATAGTGAAAGTAAGATTACAAAAAGGAGTTTGTGTTATTAAAAAAACTAAATAACTTCATATATTCCTCGTCCTGGATCTTGTGCTTTGGTGACAGTATAAACTGGCAATGTTATGCTCTTGGGTTATTTTGCTGCTAGTTTGAAAACAATTGCATGACAACAAGATGTCAGGCATGCCGTTGCCGGCCAGACATTAGAAAAATCACAACCAATAACAACGCTGTCAACTGGACTACCTGCGGAAGGTCGAGCACAGTTTCGTTTTCGATTCTCAAATCGTCACAACCACATGAAATGTCTGTGGTGTTACCAGAGACGGTTGGCTTTCCCTGCACACATCTCTGATATAAACACAAAAACCGTCTATCTGGTGGCAATTTAATAGTGCTTTAATGTTCTTGCTCTACTCTTAGGACCTGCAAGAAATAAGTTGCTAAGGTTGAACCTGTTAACAATGTTTTTCACTTTTTCAATTTACAAAATACATAGGCTATGCGTTCAGAATTAAAGTGCTACTTCAAGAGCTTTATGTTGTAATTGGTCCAAACACACGCATGTTATTTTAAATTTTGTATTTCGATGCAGTGTTTGTGTTGGATATGGGACAGTTTGGGTGAGTTGGCTGTGTGTTGCTATTTTTTCCAAGTACCAAGTTGAGCAGATACATTTCTCAAATCTATTAATTGATTATGTTTCAAATGCCAGAGTCAAACACATAAAATCTATATCCTTAAGATCTGCTCTGTTATTTTTAATTTAAGGCTAATTATTTATTTGATTTCACTCCTATTTAAAACAATTTTGATCAAATTTTCTAAATGAAATGTAGATATCAAATCCCCATCGTTAGTTCCCTGTCTAATGCACTTGTGTTTTTAGCAAAAAACAACATATAGAATTAGAAAATTCTATATGTTGATAGATATTATATTTGGATCCTTTTGCTTTACTACTGTGTTTGGCTCTTTCTCTTGCCACAATTTAAGGATACCAGCTGCTTAATCCTAAAGTGCTCACTTTCAAAAGTTGAACCATCTACAATTTCATTAGCATGTTTTATCTTATCTTAACAAAACATTTAGCAAAAAAATAAATGAATTTAATGAAAAATAAATAAATTTTGATTATAAGAGCGTGATGCGTGAATTTCTCCACTGTAAGATCAGTAAAGTCTATCTAATCTTATCTTTTAGCATCAACACCATATATTTTGTTGCAGTGTAAGACGGTGCTCTGTTAAATAACAAGCATCTGCTGGCATCATAAAACAGTTGTGTGTTTTTTTTATTCTTAATTGTAGCTTTCACCCAAGTTTCTTCATACCAACTCCACCAGCCACACCTGGCCCTTCAGCGCTATAGCTGAGCTCGTAGGTGAGTCATTTTCCTTTCTTTTTTTTGTCAGATAGTTGTTTTTCTTTGTATTAAAATGAATTACATGTCTGTGCTGACCTCCAGATACCACCAAGCCTTCTTTATTAAATTTTATTAAGATTGAAAACATTTATTTGAGGTTTATTCCCACAATTAAATGTAACCAAGCCCTGTCATTACTACATTGTAGATTTAAAAAAATATTTTTTTGCTAAATGCTTTGTTAATGTGCTATCTGTGAAAGAATTTTTGTTAGCACAAACGAACATTAATGGACACCAGTAAAGAGACTTTGTTCTGATTATGAAGCCTAGGTGGCCAGTAGGGTGAAGAATTAAGTGATTAAGTTGGATGTTTAATTTAGGAAGCATGTCTTAGTTGACATTTTTAAACATAAAAAAAAAAAAATTAAATTATTTTCTGTTGGTCAGAACAATTAAAATGTCCGATACTTCTTTTTGTTTTTTCCCCATTTTCTAATCTTCAGTTCTTTAGCCTCTTGATTGTAAGTTTTTGAAATACTGTCTTGACCTGTTGTAGGTCCAGCCTTACAAACAAATCCACCATTTTGTTTGCATCTAATTTGAAACCAAATTACTAATGTAATGACATTTTCACAGTTCATTTGATTGTTAAATGAGAACCTTTTTTTTAACCTCATTTTTAACTCCTTAAATTGCTTCTTTCAATAGACAATGCCTATGATCCAGATGTCAGTGCCAAACAGTTCTGGATTGATAAGACTGTAATAAGTGGAAAACTATGCCTCACTTTTATGGATAATGGAAATGGCCTGGACCATGGCGCCATGCATAAGATGCTCAGGTACTAATCTTTTGAGCTTTTCTTTCTAATTTAAATTTTTTCAAATTAGCTTATCTGATCCTCTTTATATTTCATTCCTTCAGCTTTGGCTACAGTGACAAAATAGCAGTGAACGGAAAGGAACCCATCGGAATCTATGGCAATGGCTTCAAGTCTGGCTCCATGCGTCTGGGAAAGGACGCCATGGTTTTCTCAAAGTCAAAGAACACATTGTGTGTTGGAATGCTTTCCCAGACCTACCTGGAGAAGATCAATGCCAAGCAAATAATTGTACCGATTGTTTGCTTTGAGCATAGCGGATCAAAGTATATCCTTTATCTAACGCAGTTATCTCATATGCAGCAGGAGTAAAGGCCTTTAAACTGAATTGTACACATTATTTTTTGAGCAGTATGACTTGTTGTAAATAGATGCTTTAAGTCCTGGCATTGGCCTTAACAGCCAACTCACTTTGTGTTAGAGAGGAACACAAAGCCAGCTTGCAGGACATTCTGCGCTTCTCCCTTTTCACAACACAGGACCAGCTGCTGGATGAGATCAATATCATTAGTACATTCGGATCCACAAAGAGAACGGGAACGCGGATTATCATCTGGAATCTTCGCAGGTTTGTCCTTCATCCAGAGGCCATTTTGACATGTGCTGGTCTTACTAAGATGCCTCAAAAAGCACATGCTTAAAGGTTCTTCACGTATGAATTTACACTTTGGGTGAACGACAGTCTCTTTTTGTTTAGTGACTCATTTCAAACAGAGATATTCAGCCCTGCTCCAGTATATTCTAACACATATCATATTTTAAAATGGGCTAGGCTGCATCATTACTGTTGGTTAGAACAACAAGTGTCTGTTTTGGAGGGGCTTCAACTACAGATCATGCAGGCAATAGCTCCTAAAGAAGCTCATAGAGGCTAATAAACGTATATTCTTTTACCCCTTTCTTCATCGAACCTGAATTCCCTCTGGGATTATTAAAGTATTTCTGATTCTGATTCTGATACAAGAAACGAGATACTGAGAGAAAAACATGTTTCTGCATCCCAGGACAACATTGGCTTGCAATTTCTACGAGAAACCTGAACAAACAGTACCAACAAGAGGAATTCTCACCTTATCATTAAAATGCAGAGCCAATCACAGACCCCAATCAAAGGAGAGTTGTAAACACCTTTTGTGCCTTCCACCAACTGCCTGCTGTGAGCCTTTAAAGTAAATTGCACAGTATTTGTTATGGAAACTGACTCCTACCACCTCTGTCACCATTTGGCTTATTCACCTTTGTACAAACAACAGTTTGTAATTAACTTTGCGTTGCTCTGAGTTTGTCACACAGTTAACACAAAAGTTTGCCATTTAGCAACCACATCTCTCAGTTATCATGCAGCTGAAAGAATCAGGGATGAGAGCTTTTTTCCCAGAAAAAAATCATTTATTAATTTTTTCCTCCAATGTCCAGTTAGTTGATTCTCTACTGATTATCCCGTTCATAGATGGAATTGCAGCAGTACATTTCCTTCCTTTGTTTAAGCATTATATGACAAGGTTTTTACGGTTGGTACTTGAATGATCAGATCTAATGAAGTTCACCAGAGAGCAGCCACAGCTTTATGTCAAACTGTTTGTTTTTTAGCACATCAATTGGATCACCGGAGTTTGATTTCAATAAGGACCGTTACGATATACGAATTCCCTCTGAGGCTCTGGAGACGAGGAACGATCCTTATCAGGCTTCATCACACACCCCCGAGAGTCTTTTCTCACTTCGGGTAAGGGCTTCAAACCTGGGAGCTGCTATTTCTCCACAGCTTTCCAAATTTTCATATTCAAGGATTGTCATGCCCTTGATCTTGTAAATCTGACTATATATATATGTATATGATTAAAAAAAGTTTTTTTTTTTAGATTTTTCTGCACTTGTGTGCTTGAATCCATACCGATGAGATGCTATTTTTCCCCCCAGAATCTTTGATTCCTTTGGTTGCATTAATACATTCATGACTGCGTTTTCTATGGTTTGCAGGCATATTGCAGTATTCTGTACCTGAAGCCTCGGATGCAGATCGTACTGCGCGGCCAAAAGGTGAAATCTCAGCTCATTTGTAAGAGCCTGGCCTACATCATAAAGGACAACTACAAGCCCAATTTTTTGGTATAATTTTTTCTCCCCCCTGTGATTTCTGCAGGTTTTTACACATTTTCCATTTTTCATTCTTGCTATGTTTTATATTGCAAAACTATTGTCCTTAATTGTCCTTTTAGAACAAATCCATTCGTATAACATTTGGGTACAACACCAAAAGTAAGGACCAGTATGGTATTATGATGTATCACAAGAATCGGCTAATCAAAGCCTACGAGCGCGTGGGTTGCCAACTTAGGGTGAGTTCTCTCAACTTGGGTGATTTTGTTAAGTTGTTCCATTTCAGGACTTTTTAAATCGGGTGGATTTTTGCCCAACAGGCCAACGACGAAGGTGTTGGAGTCATTGGGGTCATAGAATGTAATTTCCTGGATCCCACTCACAACAAACAGAGTTTTAACGAGACAGATAAGTATAGGTAATCCCACTGAAAGTGCATCCAGGATTGATGAAGGATTGATGCTGGGGGGTGGGGGGTTGTTTTTTTAGAATTTCATTTTATTTTATTTCAAACAGGAACAACAATAACGTGTTATACTCTTAATTTCTTCACTAAGAAAAACCATAAGCAATCTGGGAATCAAACTAAAGGATTATTGGAAAGAAATCCGACATCGGAAGACCAAAGAAGACCCAAACAGAACCGTATCATTGGAGGACACCCCGTGAGTATGACGTGTATTGTGAATAAATGTGTGTGTTTATATATATACATATATGTATATATGTGTGTGTGTGTGTGTTTGTGTGTGTATGTTTATGTTTAACTTGCTGTGTTCTGCAGAAAGCGACCAGATCAGAACTGGGCACAGTGTGATGAGTGTTTGCGCTGGCGTAAACTCCCAGATGGCATTGACATCAGCAAGTTGCCGGATAAATGGTTCTGCCGCCTGAACCCAGACCCTCAGTACAGGTAACCATCCCAGTGTTGGAAGGACAACAATAAACTCATGTGAATTGGAAAAGATTGATTGATAACTAGCAGCTGTTGGCAAGACAAGTTAAATTTAATCAATAAAACACTCATTTTTGTGTGTTTTATATGCAAATGCAATACTGAAATATAGTGCTGTGACACTTTTGTCTCCATGATGCTATAAGACCTTGTTATAAGCGTGATCTTGACCTAATTCCTCTGGGTGTAGTTTTAGAACACACTCGGAGAGCAAACAAACTTGAGTGCATGTGGATTTAAACTCTATTTACATTTCCAGGAGCTGCAGTGTAGAAGAGGAGCCCGAGGACTCTGATGATGAGCAATCCTACCAAAAGACCTACAAACAGCAGTGAGTTTTAAATATCTCGCAGAGATAGCTCTTCATTGAAAATGCAGAAGTCTCTTAAACATGCATACGGTCAGATCTTTATCTCAGTGCTTTATATATTACAGAGAGAGGGAGGACAGACTTAAAGAGGAGCAGAAACTGCTGCTGGTAAGAACACATAAGAACGCATCATTTATCTAATAATTTTCTCCCTGCTTGTGATGCTTCATCCTTTTGGAGGGATGTTACCTGCAACCCCAACAAAACGGCTGTTATAGAATATTTTCACTTCTTTTCCCAACAATAATAACAATACTTTTGCTCTTTACATTTCTTTCCCAAAAATGAACAGAAAGTAAGACTTCAAGAGCAGCGTTCACCTGTTATGAGCACACATGGTGAGATGCTTCGACAGCAGGATGAAAGACCGAGGCAGCAGCGACATGAAACAGTACGTCCTTTTTAAGACTAAACTTTGATTGGTTGACATTTTGAATTTATGCCCAGAGCATCTTTTGGCATGTTTTCAGTGGCTTAAGTCCAAAGCATTAGAAAGCAGTAAAATCTTTTCTTTAGTTGGTCTGCTTACTTGAATGGTTAAATGCTTGTAGCAGTCAAGGGTGGACGAAGAGACAGCAAAGAAATGTAATTTTTGGTTTTCAGTTTTGTTTGAATCTTTTCCTTGACATAAAAAAAGAGGCTGTTGGAAAAAAAAATCCAGCTACATTTCTTGTTTTCTGTTCACACCCACATAATCTATTGACTTTATCTGAGCATTGATGAGAGCTGTACTTTTACATTTTCACTTTGAAAACAGAGGACTGGGAATTTATTTTTGCCTTTAAAATTATTATTTTTGCACATGTACATAAAAGTGTATTGATTTCCCACTTTAAAAAATCAGCCATCATCTTTTTCTGTGCCCGGATATTGTTTTTTTTTGAGGATTGTTTTTCCGAGATTCAAATTATAAGTCACATTGTGTTTCTGTTCTGTTTCAAGTCTCCCATGACCCCTATCACCCCGAGAAGCAAGTCCATCCACAGCGGTGTCACAAGGGCTGAAACCTCGCTGCTGAAGTCTTCCGCCATTCCACAAGCTGGTACGAAGAAGTCCCCTTTGTTTGTTGAAATTGGAACATTCCAACGATTTGAAATGCTTTTTTCTCCCTAGCCTGCAGTCCCTCCAGATGTAGTGCTCTCCCAGTTATTTCTAATGTGTGCTCATTGTCAGGAGACCCTCAGAGGTATGATCATTTGTTTCTCTGGTCTTAAATGGATCCACTTTTTGGTTAAGAGACGCATTGACTCTGTTGTTTGTGCACAGCAGTGGAAAAAGGACGCATCCCGTTGCTCTACAAAGCATGTCGAAAAGACTCAAAATAAATGTCCCGCAACAGAATTCCTCTAGCACAACTAGAATTGAAAATGCAACTTCCCCCATTGTGCCCGTTCCGGAAGCTCATGCTGAAGACGACAGCGATACCGACGACGACGTGCTCATCTTGGAGACCGCTAGCACCCCCAAGCCAAAAAATCCAGTCTGCAATCTAAATTTAGTGAAGACGGAAGAAGAGGATATTGAGAGTCTTCCCACTATGCTGTTTGAGTGCAACAATGATGCTGCTGTGGATGTGGCCCCAGGGGCAGCTGCTGACGTGTCTGCAGGCGCAGGAAGCAGGCCGCTCACAGACATGGTCACCATCACCACCCAGACAGAGGCACCCAAAGTGAAGCAAGAACAGGGTCCGAAGGAAAGTCAAGGTGGGCAGAGTGCGCCGACTAATGGTGCTGCAGAGAGGAGGCCGGACTTGGACATCCACAGCCATAAGCAAAAAGATATTAAGCAGGAAGGCAGTGGGGAGAGTCACAGAGAGAATGAGGGGCAGCGGGGCTTACAGAACGGAGAGACTCTTATGGAGAACAGTGAAGCTCCTGGACCTTCTTATGCAGATCCCACCGTAAATCAGTACCCCAGTATGTCTGAGGCACAGAAACAACAAGACCAGCTCCTGGAGCTCATGCAGGATACTGCTAAGGAGAGAGACTGTTTCAAGAATCAGGTCCTAAAGCTCACGTCTCAGCTTCAGAGCGCTGAGAACAGACTGCAGGAGCAGTCGCAGATGAATATAAAGAAGGAGTGTTCACACCAAGCCTGCCAGACAGAAGAAAGGGGGTGGAACAAGGACTACAAGGGCCTCTTTGAAAGGGCCAAACAGAAAATCAATGATCTGATAAAAGACAAAGAGACTTTATTAGCAGCTGCTGAGACCAAGAGCAGCCTCACTACCGCCCAAGAAGAGGAAGAGGATGTTGATGAGATTTCATCGCAAGTTGGCCGATTGGTCCAAGAACTGGATAAAAGAACCAAGGAGAGGGATGAGCTGCGCTCACAGGTCAGTGTCTGTGCTTTGACCTCAGCTCAGTATGTTAACTAATCTGTTTTAGCTTCTCACTCACATGCCAGTTTGTGTCATTTAAATGGGATTAGCTTTGTCCTGTTATAATTCACTACACTGTTAAGTTACCAATTTATCCTGATTCTACTTGTGGCATCTGCTGTCTCGTGTGATCTCACCCTTACCAATGTTTTTAAAGTTTTGGTTAAAGTGTGGTATTCAGATCCTCTACAGGTCTTCAGGGTTTGGGAACTGTAACTCTTTGTCTCACGTCACTCCAGTTCTATGACTAAATTCAGATATTTTTAAATTAATTCTTCAAAATCTTTCTTAAGAATTTCTTTTTGAACACAAATTATGCTCAACAAATCAAAACAAATTTGTGTCACTTCATAAATAACAGCCTAACAGTATATATGTCTTATTGACCAGATATGTTCTTTTTTTACCTCCTTTATGATCTCATTCTAATTCTCTCTGTGGGTTCACCATCAGGTTGACAGTCTGGAGGAGGAAAGGTTGAGCCTGGCAGCCCAGTGTGAAGAGCTAAGGCTAAGCATGCAGCAGCAAATGGAAAATGTGCAATCTCCTCACAGAACCATCAATTTTTCTCTCCAGTCACAGGAGGCAGGAATGTCGGCACAATCGCAGTCAGATGCATCCAGAAGGTTAGACTGCTGGGAAACCATTTCTTTTAAATGTTCGCCATCACACACTGAGAATTTTAGAGATAAATCTGAATTTACCCATTTTTATCCTCCTTTGTTTCTCTTTCATAGATTGGTTCAGCTCCGACACAACATTGCACCCCTCCTCATCCCTCACTGGCCTGCTATGGATCTGGAGCAAGTAAATTATGAGTCTGATGTCATTGATGAGATCCTGAAGGAAGTTCTGTCTAATATGAATTCATAGTGCTTCCATTCCCTACTTGGAGGTCTTCAGGGCTCCACATTGTAACTAGCTTGGTGCATTTTACAATCATATTTGAAATCATGCAATAAGGCTCACTGGTGGAACCTATAAATATGCCCCCCCCCCCTTTTTTATGTATTTATGTTTCCCAGTTCTCCACCAAAACAGCAGGTTTAAGTAAATCTGTGTTTCTGTGCCCTGGTGAATGAATTATAACGACACAACATGTGATGGCACGTGCAGGCACATGACTGTTTTCTTTTAGTTTGCAAGGCAACAATATAGAAAACAAAATAACTCTACACATATGCAGTGTTCGTTTCTGTGGTCCAACATTTCTGTTTTAAGAATCTAATTTCCTGACTCAGTTTACAGAGATGAACTGTTTTAGAGTAAACTGGCAACACAAACTGTCGAGGCCTGAACTGCAGTGTGACTAATTTATGCTTCAAACTGCAAAGTAAGGTGATCTACTATTCCTTTACCGCTTGGTTCGCATTTAGGTCGACATGTTCCAAGAACCAGAGTTTTAAGCAAATGTGACAATGTAGCATTCCATCACACTGATGTGTCACCCAGTCCGTTTTGATACAGTGAAATAAAGTGTTTCCATTTTTTACATTTAGTTTAACCACAGATTTACTGTTCTGCAATGATTTGGCAAGGGTTATGTCTAGTTTTGTGACATTCATGGATTCATATTTATTGCCCCTTTGTTATGACTTTAGTAAGCCTTTATATCATTATTATTATTTATCATTGGTGTTTATGAATTTTTTGTTGGTTTGGCATTTTTATCAAGCCCTGCTTTCACTCCTCTACAACAGCCCAGGACTTTTCATTTCCCATTTTGATCAAGTTTTGTTTTTGGACTCATTGAAACAGCTGCCAGGGAGTCCCGTTTAGAACCTACTGCAGGAACAAATGTTGGAAATGAAATTGTACTTATTGAAGATGGCACCCAGGCTGATGTTCCCTGGGATCTGGTTGTCATGCTGTACGCATGTAATCCATGACTCTTTAGGGCACAGTTTCAAAAAGAGGTTTTGCTCTCCTGCTCTTAGCAAAAAAGAAACATGGCTTATTATTTATTTAATGCTTCCATTTTGTTTCTTGCTGTCTGATCACCATCTCTGATCCACCTGTCTGGAACTGTCTAAGGTTCAAGTGGATCTGCAAAGACTCTTCTAAACTGCTTCGCACTGCTCCCTAAAAATAACAAGCAGTATAGTAAGTGAGGTCAGCATACATCATTTTATTACTATTAACAGTTTGCTCTAAAGTTTTGATTTGAAAGCATTTGTTGAGACTAAATCATGTTGCTTCTAATTCTGTTTTACAATGGCAGATTTTTGTGTACATTTTCTGTGAAATATATTTTTGTACTCAAATATTACATTTTGGTGTTTATCATTCACACTGCAGAGGATTCCCGACAGGACAAATGGAAGGTGTGGCTGGCAACAGGCCTCATGGCACATTTTCTAAGTTGCACATATTCAGCTTCCATCAATTGTTGGTGCCCGATCATCTTGAATTGTCTTTTTATTTTTTTTATTACAGATAACCAAGATTAAAATGATTTGCATGTCTCCTAAGTAAGTTCATTTTCCTAGAGAGGCCAAAAGAATTTCCATCTCTCCTCTGACTTTGCATACTTTGTTAGAGTGTGCAATACCTTAAGATTGACATGAGATAAGTCTGAGAAGCATAAGATGCGTTATTGAAGAGTTTGTAAAAGCTCAAAAGCTTATCGCTACTTGTACAAAAATGCAAGACCACAAATGAGTAAAAATCTGGATGAATTAATGAGGGAATTTTTATTTATTTATGGTTTTCATGCTGTCTTTTCAACTCCCTATCAAAATCCCATCAGCCTTAAACAGCTTGTACTAGTCATTTTTGGAGCTTCATACTTAAAAGAACGAGTTGTCCAATTGACTTTTTTGCATGTGACTATTCGTTGATATAGGCTAGCATCATTTGTACAAATAGGAAGGGAATCTTGATTCATCACACTCATGAGATGGTCAATATTTACATTTACAGGTACATTTGCGTCTGCCACAACTGCAAATATTTCAAATTTAATGCACCACATATAAGTGTATAAAGTAATTTATTGTTAAGTCTAACATTAAAAATGTACACCAATATAGAATTATGAGATAATATGGACTATCAAACCATTTTATGACACTTGATTAACAAAGAAAGTCAAATTTATTGTTAGTCTGAATGAATTAGTTAAACCTCAGACACTTTTTCTCCTGTACTGTTAGGTGCCCATAATTATCTAAAGAGATAAATTGTGATTCATTCCTCTTATTATGTGCATTTGGTTTTCTGACGGTCATCTGTAGTTTGTAGTAATTTGTGAATTTGAAATAATCTTATAAGTCACAATAAAATTACAAAATAAACTTAATTTATATGTAGCAAATGTATTCAGCAGAAAAAACGTGTACAACTTTGGCGCTTCTATGTCAATTTTGGGTCTCTTGGGTTTTTAATTGTGTGATTTACTGACAATCTCATCCAATACTCGCAACGTGACAACAAAGTCAACGAATAGACTCCGCCTCTTCCGCGTTTTCGTCCAATTATGTTAACCCACCTGACCGGAAGTTTTTAAAGAATTGTACGCGGGAATTTATCATTACACATTCAGCTGGACTACAGTGGAGGTAAAACTCGGTAAGCTGCTTCTAAGTTACTAATAGTCCCAAGTTAATTATAGGCAGATGCAGTTGATTTATAATCGTCTTTATATGACACATATTAAGATACACGGCGTTTGTCTGATGTGTGTGCCAAAAATCAACCAAGTCCCCGCTAAAATATTGGCTAACTCTGTTAGCTGCTATAACATTAGCTTAAAGTTACTGTGAGCACATGAGCGGGTTCAAGAAACCTTTTTTGTGTTTTAAATAAGTCACTGAAAATAGGTATTCACATGTTTGCATCCCTTAAAGTCAATGTTTGCCTATATTTGTGTAGAAAATGAAGGTGGTAACATGTGAGATAGCGTGGCACAACAAGGAGCCGGTGTACAGTCTGGATTTTCAGCACAGCACAGAGGGACGCTTTCATCGGCTGGCCACAGCTGGAGTGGACACCACAGTCAGAGTGAGTGCAGAGGAGGCAACAACTACATCTACTGAACCACACATAAGTATTTTAATTGTCAGCTTAGAAAATTACATTTGAGTATTGTAACCAGACAGAGAGATGCACAGATGCCAAACTCAAGTTGTTCAATTGTGCAGTGCAGCAGAAACGCACATAATTTAAGAAAGTATTTTTTTCTCTATAAACTTATGAGTACCTGTTGACTTCTCTTAAGTCATTATTACAACTCATATCCACGACCAGCACTTTTTAAAATGAATATTACACGTTTTACCATCAGACTGGAGGCACTATATACTCAATGTCAACCCATAAAGAAATTATTTCAAATCTATTAACACATCACAATGCCATTAATCTGTAAACTGTCCATATAGATTCACATTTGAAATATGCGTCATTGTGGAAGCTATTTAAAAGGTGAAACCTGACTACAAAAAGTGTTTAAAACCGTGATTTTGATGCAGCTGTGGCGGGTAGACATGGGCCCAGATGGGAAAGCAGCTGTGGAGTTTCTGTCTAACCTGGCCAGACACACCAAGGCTGTCAACGTCGTTCGCTTTAGCCCCAACGGAGAACTGCTTGCCTCAGGAGGAGATGGTATGTCATGCTTTTCTTTTCTATTCTGCGTGCTATCTGATGGGTCATATCTGATATTGATTTGTTTACTGAATTCCTGAACAGATTCTGCGATTTTGCTTTGGAAACTTAATGACTCTAAGGAGCCTGAGCAGGCCCCTGTGTTCCAGGAGGAAGAGGATGCGCAGCTCAACAAGGAGAGCTGGTCTGTGTTCAAAACCCTCAGGTACTCAGATGCAGAACGAGCTTGTGTTTTGTAAATGTTACCTTTAGAATAGTTATAGTGATAATACTAAAGTAACACCTCTAATGGTATCAACAACTCTGAAACAATTCTCTACCTCTTCTCATCTACTCATTGATTAAATGTTTTTAAATATTTGTAGCTGTTTTACCGTATGCTCTCTGTTTTTCCTATCTGCTCCTTACTGGAAACAGCTTACATCAGACATTCTTTTGTATGAAATTATGTTTTAATTTATGCTTAACTCTCCTCTCATGATCTGTATTTGGCTATTGACTTTCCTTTTACTCCTTTATACTGCTGATGCATTCAACACCCCTAAAAAATCCCTGTGCAGTCTTAAGCCACTCCTCATTTCTCAGAATCGGCTGCATTTGTACTAAAGTATCTCATTCTCAGACACAGTAGACTGAATTATTTATTATTTTTAGACTGGTTTGGGCCATGAAGTATGAACTATAAAGATATCATATTTTATTCACCCTCATTGTTTTTTTGTTTGTTTGTTGTTGTTTTTTGCTTTTAAAAAAGGGGGCTGGGGGGATGATTTTTTTTAAGCATTGTAAATAACTTGTTTATACCTTGAGAGACATGTTAAGTAAAATAAGCTGTTGGCTCATGTCACATCCCAGTCCTGCAACATCTGTTTGATCCGCAGAGGGCACATAGAGGATGTGTATGACATCTGCTGGACACGAGATGGAAACCACATGGTGTCTGGCTCTGTGGACAACACAGCCATAATGTGGGACATCAACAAAGGTTTGTAGCCCCACATCTGTCTGTCTTGCATGCATTCTCAGAATGGACAATGACTCATGTGTGTGTTAAATTTTGGTTGTTTTGTTGTTGTCTTTAGGACAGAAGTTGTGTATATTAAATGACCACAAGAGCTACGTGCAGGGGGTGGCCTGGGATCCTCAGGGCCAATATGTCGCCACTCTCAGCTGCGACAGGTGGAAAACCTGACTCTGGTGTATCATCAAAACTGTCACTGGCCAGTTTCATCAGGGTGGTGCTCACTTGTTTTGTTTTTCCCTCCCTTCAGGGTAATGCGCGTGTACAGCACTCACACAAGGAAGAAGGCCTTCAGCATCAGCAAAATGAGCTCGGGGCCACTTGCAGAGGGGGAGGTCAGTGGAAATTTGCCTTATAAAACCACCATTTCCTTCAACTTCATATTCTTCTTATTATTATTTTTTCTAAGCTGTGTATTCTCACTTCTGCCATGAATCTGTTTTTCGCTGCTTATTTTTTTCTTCAAAATGTCATTGTCTAACACCTTCAAACCATCCGCTAAGTCACTAAGATGCATTGCTCACTCATAGTGCCTCCTTTGCAGATCAAACAGCACAGAATGTTCCATGATGACAGTATGAGGTCATTCTTTCGTCGCCTCTCATTTTCACCAGATGGGTCATTCCTGCTTGCCCCAGGTACTCAATACGCATTCCTAAGGTGGGCTCTATCTGGGGATGTTTAGTGCCATAGTAATCCAGTAATAACATAAGTTCTCATTCTTTTGTCACTTCTCTTAAACACAGCTGGATGTGTGGAGGTTGGAGAAAACATCATAAATACCACCTACATCTTTTCCAGGAAAAGTTTAAAAAGGTGATGTTGGTGGCACATTTATGACAAAGGCCTTTGCAAATGCTTGTTATTGACGTTTATAAATCTCTGCCTTGGTCCCGTCAGGCCCATCGCCCACCTGCCATGTCCAACTAAAGCCACTCTGGCTGTTCGCTGCTGCCCTGTTTACTTTGAACTCAGGACCAAGAAAGGAGAAGGTAAGAACAAATAAACAAGACTGGAAAAGTCTTCCTGTCTGACTTGTCGGGAATTGCACATGTTCTTCTTTTATTTAACGGTCCTTGTCTCCTACAGATGGCTCTATCCAGACTCTTCCTAACACCTTCCAGCTGCCCTACCGCATGGTGTTTGCTGTGGCCTCCGAAGATTCCGTCTTCCTGTACGACACGCAGCAGAGCGCTCCGTTCGGCCTGGTGTCCAACATCCACTACCACACGCTCAGTGATCTCACATGGTAAACTAAAGCCTTTCTGTCAGGCTGGAGTCAGAACGGTTTGGGCTGCAAAGAAACCTTTGAGAAGTGATGGTCACAATGTTGCAAACAGCTCTACTGAAACGGCAGCATGTACCTCTAAGGCAGTCTGATGTTTGTCAGAGGATAACTCATGATGTTGTCCGGAGCGGATTCCTGTTTGAAGGTGTTTTGTTTCTGTTTTCTTTGAGAGAAAATTCTCTCCGGTACTCGTATATAGAGGAGGACTTTCCTAAATCTAGTGCCTACAGTTGCTTAAGTGTTAATAAATTCGAGACAGTTGCATGAGAAAATGAACCTGTTCATGTGGACTGTAGAAAGCCCCGTCACGTTTTTGTCTTGTATGACTCCCTGTTTAGGTCTGGTGATGGTTCCTTCCTGGCCGTGTCCTCCACAGACGGCTACTGCTCCTTCCTGTCCTTCTCTCCTGGTGAGCTGGGAACGCCACTGAAGGAGCCACCCACTTTGGAAGTATTTGTCCCAAACAGTGGAGTTGAGAAGAAGGGAAAGAAGGCCACAGCGAGCAAAAATTCCTCTCCCAATTCCCAAACATTAACACAAGCCCCAAATCCATCGGCCCAAACCAGCATAAACAAAGATGTCCCTCTCCCAACCCCTCCAGAGGAGAAGACCACACCGAAAGCCATATCCAAACCCCAGCCCCGTCGGATCACCCTCAACACGTTAGAGGGGTGGGGTAAACCCGCGTCCACTAAAACCTCAGAACCCCTGGCGCCTCAGACCCCAGGGTCTGGGGCCGCGAGCGCACCACCCGCTCCCCAAGCAGCGCTCACCCCCCTCCCGCCCAACAGCGCCTCAACTAAGAAACGCACAGCACCGCTCACTCCCTGCACACCGAGAAACCCCAACGGCCCGAATGGCGCTGGCCCCACCACCCCGAAGGCGCCCACCACCACCCCGAAGGCCCCCACCACCCCGAAAGCAGCCCCCACCACCCCGAAAGCGGCCCCCACCACCCCGACGGCCCCCACCACCCCGAAAGCGGCCCCCACCACCCCGAAGGCCCCCACTACCCAGAAGGCACCCACCACACCGAAAGCACCCACTACCCCGAAGGCCCTCACACCCAGGTAAACGCAGGCCTAATAACACAGTTAACCTGTGTCTGCGGCTTGTCTTTTCTTTGTTTACTTTTTCCCCCAAGAAATGTTTGATTTTCAAAAGTTGGGCAGAGAAAACATTCTATTCTTTCTTGGAAAAAACAATACCAACAATAACCATGTAGTGGCACTCCTTCAAATCCCCCCCCCTTTTTTTTAATATTCATCTAGTTTTCATGGTTTAATGAAATGATGGTGTAAATGAGGGGGAAATTATTGAAATTATGTATAGCACTTGAAGTAAAAGTCGACAAGAAGCCTGTGAACAAATATTTTAAATCAAAGGCCGATATAGTATCAGTTGAAACTTTAAAGACAGAATAACCAAAGTTTTCGGACTTGTGTTATCTGCAAGCTACAAATAGTTTGCGCAACACAAGCAATGAATGACGCTTCTGCTGATGTGTGGGGAGATCAAGTGATTGTTAAGCCATTTAAGTTTGAAACCAGAACATAAACGCCAAACAGCATTTATTAACATGTGTTTTATGTTAATTTTTAATACAGTATACCAAAGATGGAAAATCTATAGTAAAAGTTTATTTGGGTGCAGATTTATGTATTAAATTATGTTGGTGCTCCGAAAACAGTTTATTAAAATTACTTAAATGATACAAATATTTGTAGCTTGAATCCTACAGACAGGGCATACTGCCCTCAATCCCCCCCCCCCCAAAAAAAAAGATTAAATCGGATAACCTGATAATCTCTTAAAATGCAGTATACAGAGAATAAGAAAAGGAATTGCTGTTTAAAGTATGTGATGTACCTGTTTTCGATCAAATTTACTTAAAATGTTAGTTTTCAAAGCATTTGGAAAGAAATTGGCTTGCTTTGCTGGATTCTGTTTACATCTGCTCAGCTCTGGCAGTGTGAACAAAGCCCTGTCTGGTCTGAGGGATTCGTTGGGCCCCCCACCGGCTGTAAAATAATAATCACTTTGACAGACGGCTCGCAGACAATAGCCACACATTTCATAAATTCTGCAACTTGATGAGAAACATTGATGAAGTGCTTGTCACCTTTCTGCCATTTATTTAATTTATTTTGTCTGTTTGTTTGCAGGAGAGTGTCTTTGACACCGGTCGGATCCCGGTCTCCATCAGTTAGCTCACTTTTCAGTGCTTCTTCCTCCACAGAGAAGGCCAAACACGGTCAGTTCCTGCTGAGTTCCTCCATCCTAGATCGTCCAACAACAAAACAAAAAAAAGCCTCCGAATTGATGCAGAAGATCTTTTATCCCTCCTGGCTAACTGCCTTTAATTATCATTACCCCTTCTGCCAGTTTGAGCCAAGAGGTTGTCACAGCCCTTAAAGTGGATCTTTGGATTAGCAGGAGTTCACCCAAACTGTGTTTTCACGTCTTGTTGTAATGGATTTAGTTGGGTCGGACATCCTCTTTACCTCCATTTTGGAGAGTTAAAGTTGAAAATAAATGTTACTCAGCAGGTTTCTAAGTAAATTAAATACATCATAAGAGCAACAAACGATTTATCACAGCAAGTTTTTCTTTCTTTAAATAAGTCCACCCATCCAACTTCTATGTCAACAGCTTAAGCAGCAGCCAGATGCTGCTGACATGACCTAACTAAAGCAGACATTTCAGCACTTTGCTGAGTTGGAGTGTTGTGGTGTGGGTTAACACAGCAAAAAAAGATGGAAAGACATCAGAGAGAAATGATTGCAGCTATACATCAATCTGTGAGAAGTATACAGCTGATTTAGGATATCAAGTCCAGCATTTTACAGTTGGAAAGGTTATTTATCCCAGGAGAGGACGTCCAGGTGTCTCAGACTCTGCTGGCTTCAGTCAGCATGTTTAAGGCTAACGTTCACCACTGCACGATAATATCAAGACTGAATAAACATTTGGTTTTAGTTTTTGTTAAATGGCCGATGCCGTGGTGCAAACTGTCATCCGTGGTTATGTTTACCTCTTTTCTTTTGACCTCCTGTAAACTTTTAGACTGAAGGAAGGGGTTGTTTCTACATCAGCAAATGCATCACTTCCTGATAAAGCTTGTACAGAAATAAGCCGTAAAGTGTAACCTTCTTTGGCTGATCCCTTCGTTTGTGTCTCACCAGAGCGCCCGTCTCCTCCCACTGACAAAGTGTGCCAACCTCCAGAGTCCAAACGGCCCAAGACCAGCGACACCCCGGCAAAGCCCAGTGTCAGCTAGGATTAGCGTTCTCTGCCAACAATGGAAGCGGTTAAAGAAGCCTCTGCTGAAAACAACTCAAGCTTTGAGTGGAGGGAACATGTGTTGACATTCTTTGTGCTGAATCTAACCTGGAAATGTTTTATACCCTGCTTTAGAAATGCCTGGTATTGTTAAGATGATCCTGTTATTTTTACCTCAGCGTTTTGTATTCTACCGTAAACAGATAATGAGATGACTTGATTCTACTAGATTTTTTTCTAAGGTAAAAAGGTCATTATGAAGAGAAATCAGAGCTACAAACTTGAAGACAAAAAAACACTTCAGAGGTTCGTGTGGGCGTTGACTCTGAGGTGGGACAGCTGTTGGAAGACTGACCCAGCAGTGTGAGTGAAATGCGAGAGGTCTGTCCTGCCTTTCTAATAAAATGGATATTGGTTTAAATGGATTTTCTTGTTTTTTTTAATGACAATTAACTACTAATTATGGAAGATAAGGTTTTAAATAACTGTAACCCCTCCTGTTTCAGATTTCTGAAAGTTATTTATTGGAAGTCTGTCTACAAAGGTTCACACTTTAAGCAACAATGTCATTTGTTACCGATTAGAAAATACGATTTCACTTAGTCTTTAAACATGTTATAACATGACTTAGCTCTGAGATATTCCTCTTAACTTCAATGGAGACTCTGTGGCTTCAGTAATATAGTAGACATACACCGGGGTACATGACCTTTCACACTTTGTTGTAAACAAAGGAAAGAGCCCAGCAATGATTGTAGATTTGCCGGCTTTGTCTTGATAAGAGGTCTGGGGAAAGATCCAATCACTTCTGAAAAGAGCGAAGCACAGCGGCGTTAATCATTCTGAAAGGAAAAACAGACTCTACATCTGGCTGCACAGCAAAAACTGAGTAATGGATTGGTTTGGACAGGCCAGGCACAAGCCAACAGTTACTATTTTGAGATCCCGAAATCCTTTCTTGAGATTGGAAAACCATCAGGTTTAATTGTAATAAAATAAATGTAGAATGAACTGCACATTTGTTTCAGCATATACGAGCAAGTTAATTCTCTTCTAACAACTGAAATTCTGTGGTAATCTTCTTAATAAGGAAATCTGTTCCAAAAAATCTGTAGAATTTAACTACATACTAAACTTCCTCTGAACTTATGTTCTCAGGAAAATTCATCATTTTTTCCACCAACTGCTGTTTGAAGGGAAAACGATTAATAATTTTCTGAACCACCCAAAAATATGTAATGTGACTCATATTTCTAGATTTAATATGATATAATAAAACCAGCTGAACTTTGAGTAAAAATATTCTCAGAATTATTTTTTAGGCATTTCTGAAGATGATTATTTCCTGGTATCTCCTCAAAGATACCCATGCATGTCAAAATGGGGCAACATCAGTTGCCCCATAAACAGTAAATCTGCATTCAATGGATTAAACTTCAAGTATAATGTAAGGTTGAACTGGATGGAGCCTCTGCCTCAGCAACAGGGCGGCTCGAGGAATTTTTAAGTGTCTTAAGGGTCGTCTGTCTGATGGTTTTACTGGTACGAAATTGTCCAACACTTGCTAAAAAAAAATTATGGAATTATAAAATCAAAGCCAGGGTTTGCCTACCAGTGGATATTTTTGAGCCGATCTGAAACATGAAGCACAAGGGAAAAAATCCCCAGACATGAAAGAGAAAGAACTCTGCAGCTAATAAAGGTAAAAAATCATCACAGAATGAACCCTAAAAAGTGTAATCACCTTTTTCTACAGAGGGGTGTTACTGCTCTGAAATGATAAGAATTCAAAATATGCAAAGATTGCAAGTGAGTGAACTAATACTGCTGTATTTGTGATGTGGATACATGTTGTGTTCTGAAATCAGGGAGGAATGTCATTCTGATACTTCGATTTATTATGGGGGAAATTAAATTCACAGATATATATTACAGTTAACTTCCATTGTGCATTTCTACACTAGCAAGTACTTGCAAAAGTGTAAATATGCAAATGACTCTGCAGTTAAAAGAGCGTGTTTGCTGAGCCTCAGGGGCTGCGCCTACATGATGAACAGGCAACAATGCCCCGACAAGAAAGCTGTCACTGGGAACAGGAGAAATTAGAAGGTCGTAGAAGGAAAACAATGAGTCCAAATTAGAATGACGTCAAAGAAGAGAATCAAAGAAATACACATGAAGATAGAGAGGATACACAGACACAGTTTCAAACAAATGAGCAGAAACAGAACTTCATGTTTATAGCCAAATCTTGAGAAACTGGCCAAAGGAAAAGGGATTTCCAATCAGAAAAGCTTAATGTAAACCACGATTTACATACAAACAGAAGAAAACTACTTGGCAGTGGGCTGAAAAGAAGTAGCTATGGATGATTGGATAAAAGTGATCACAGATGATTAGTAGAAAACCGGATGATATCAGGACTCTTCTATTGGTTAAATAAAACATTGAATAAGATGACACCCTGAAGAAAATAAACAGATTTTCTTAAATGCTGATGACTGATGTTGATGTCAGCTAAAGGGCCTGGTCAGATGGCACCTTTTCCAAAATATTCACAGGTGGGCGATAAAGTGCTGCTTTCTCTTGATTCTATGAATCAGTCAATTTTCATCACACTAGAGTAATAAGTGTTAAAATGTAATCTTCTTTAGTAAAGAAATATAAACCTAATGACAAGGTCAGTAATGCTGAATATGTGTTGCTGAAATAGCCTTTTCTTATTGAAAAGGAATGGACCTTTACAGAGCTCCACCCACCCAAGCTGACAAATCACTAACAGAGAAAGTATCAATCTGATTGAAGATTAGTTTTTTGTTGCAAGTGAAGTGCTTCAAGCTGTCATAAAAACAAGAAGGTACACTTTCAGTTAATATAAGTGGACATTTTTATGGAGATTCATGTATTTTCCTTTTGATTTGTATGTTTTATTTTTTCAACATCTAGAGTTGAAATGTCACTCTACACTAACCAGTTCATTTCCAATGCATCAACCATTAAAAAAAGCGAAAAGATTGAATTGACGTTAAGTTTTATAATAAATCATAAAGACTTGATGTATTGTCTCCAAATAATTTTTGAGGTTTCTAAGTTTTAACTCGGTTCTGGAAATATAATTCAGGCCTCCTATGATATTAATGATTTATTGACATATTGGCCATCCATGTTTTAAGTATCCCTTCAACGGTATTTGTTATAGCAAAGTAATGCCATCTTTATCTAAAAAGATCAATTTATTACCTTTAGAAATATGTACATGTATTTTCTTTCTGTGCATAAATAGACTCGATGTGTCATGTCTAAATTGACTGTGCGGCAAGTGAAGCAAATACTTGTAAAGTAGCATCGTGACTGAACAACCTACCTTGCTATCAAGGAACGAAAAAGTGTCGGAGCGACAGCTTCGTCAGCCAATCAAAATATTAGTAGCGGAGGCTCTTTAAAGCTTCTGCTAATGGTCTTTGTATGAAGGCGGGGAGCAGTTGGCTCGGTTTAGTCTGCTGATTAGCAACAAACAGAAGGTTACGAGTTAGAAATTTTTGATTATTACAACACCACACTGGCTTTGCCGGAGCGAGAACGGACTGAAGTATGTCGAGTGCCTAACCGGAGTGTGTTAGCTCTCTTTTGAGGTGAAACGACGGTATATTGGGACATTTCGAGCCGTTCGGGAGACAGCCTCGCTTTCAGGTCGTTCAAGTGGCGATGCTTAGCTGATAGCTGCGTCATCATGTTGCTTCCGACTCGAGTTGACGAGAAGAAACCACAAGTTAACGCCAGAGGTGAGGCTGTCCACCGTCATCCAGCCCCAGAGACCACTCCCGACCCTTGATATACACGAGAGACGGGCTGTCGGTGAGAGGTTCGCGGTGAATCGTGTTTACGTGGTCGTTGTGGAGACTTTACATCACTTGGCAGTTGGCGCGATACTCTGCTGGTTGCATTTATTATCTACACTCGGATGATCAGTCTCATATTTCTGTTGATGCTGCCAAACGATACAAGACGGAACGTTGCGGAGACACACTACCTTGAAAGATGTATGTCTGAGTGAGACTCGCGAGTACTGATGTGTAGGCATGATTGCCATACTTGTTTGGATAGTGAGGGGTGATTCTCTTATTGACAGCTAGTACACAAAGCTGGTCCTCCCATTGAAAGGCTGCTGATCCCCACCTGACTTTGTTTTTCATCTGGCTAGGTAAATCATGCGTACGTAAGGCATCATTAGATCTGTTACCATCAAATGTAATTTAATGACTTTGTAGTTAGTGACTAGATTTAGGCAGTGTGTTTCCGCGTGTCAGAGGGTGTTTTTGGGGTAGGTGGTCTTCGACCTGCTGTCACTACATCCACGTGGACTTTGTTTCAGGTCGGTTGTTAAAGTTTGATCCCCCCCCCCGGTCCTACAGATAAAATAGGCTCATACTATAACGAGTTGCGTCTTGATAACTTAATTTAAAAACGGATTAGAATGGCCGGGGACTGCGCCCACATCAGCGGTCGTTACGCGGGGACGTGTTGTCCGTCCAGACCCTGGTCAGATGGGGGACGAGAGGGAGTCCGTGAGACGGAGTCTGTCGGGAACTCCACGGGGCGTGCATCCCCAGCTCGGTGGTCGCCCAACTTCGAGGTGATCGGTGGGTTGCTGTACCGTAAGAAGCTGGAAAGAGGTTACATCAACTACCGGGAGGTTTTGAGTGAGGACCGGATAGTTGAGGCCATCTCCACCTTCCACCGGAGGCGACCTGGCCAGCGCCACCTCTCCCTGGAAGAGACGTATAAATGCGTTGCTGAAAACTACTGGTGGGAGGGTACGTACATCTGACCCTGACAGGACAACTTCTCATGCTTGTTCTACTGATTTGCATTAGATGTGTATTTGGACAGGCTTACCAGGAACAGGCAAAATGCTCTCTGGTCTTTTCCCAGAACTATAATGCTCCATATCTCACTGCGACACAAAAAATGATCAATATCACATACAGATTAATCATAACATAAAGCACAAAACAGCTTAGATAGACATATAACTACAGGTTAGTAACGGAAACTATCAAAAGAGCAGAAAACAAAGGCTCACCTCCGTAATGCTGTTGCTTAACAGTCTGTCAATGTGTTTGACTCACCTGATTTTAAAGTAGATCATTTTTATCTTGTTGCCTTGATCAGGCTGAAGAGTCAATAGTGTTGAATCTTGAGCCTTTTAAAGTAGCCATTGAAGTCTTACAAAGTAGTTCTACCTGTCTCTTTCCGACTCATGTTTGCAGTGTTTTCTCAACAGGAATGTACTTCCATATCAGAGACTTTGTCCTCGGGTGTCCAGAGTGTCAGAGTCAGCGGAGTAAGAAATTTGAGGTAAGAAAGTTCACCAGAGAGTCAGCCAATGCAATCCTGAGGCCCTTTTCCTCCCATCAAACTTTTAAGCTCCTCTGTGTTTTAGCAGTTTTGTCATTTTCCCTGAATCTCACACATTTTAGTTCACGCTTTTCTCACTCATTCTCACTTAATCTTTCCGTCGCACTTCCCTTAGACAAGTGTTCCACAGCACGTTGCATTTTTATAATGATGCCTCTCTTCTTTTTACTTCTCACTGCCTTGGCCTTTTAGAAGCTGGATGGCAGAGGATGTGTCACAAAGACAATGGTGTCGCACGGCGCCGAGGTACTGAGCAGGCTGAGGAGTCAGAGGGAGGCGGGGCTTTTCTGTGACATTAACCTGCGGACGAAGGGGCGCTCCTTCGCCGCTCACAGATCCGTCCTGGCAGCCGTCAGTGATCACTTTCAGGAAATCTTCATGGAAATGGACTCCAGCAAGAAAGCAGACATAGATCTCACTGGTAAGATCAGACACCAGAACCGTGAACACACTTTGAAACCCCTCAGCTTTGGTTCAGGAGGTTTAGACCTAATCATGTGTATTGAAACAGTTGGCAGATTTTCATCCAATTCTCATATTTTTTTAGTCCTGGATAGGCTGGACAACACATTGTACATATTATACTTTAACTGGCATTACTCAAGCCTTACTGTAGACCGTTGCATCAAATCTTTTATCCAACCAGCAGTCCACAATGCAAAGATGTCGTGAACTGTCAACTTTTGTGTACGACTGTATGAAATCAGCGTTTGGGCAAACTGCTCTCTGTTTAGCTTGATTGCAGTTAATGGGGGGGCAGTGAAACTCCAGTAACATGATTCACCATGGCAACGGGTAAATAAAGAACGAAGCCGGCATTTTCGTCCCCACTGATGTATGTGAAAATGAATGCACCCCTGAATGGAACGTAGTACAATGTGGCCATTTCAGCAGCCTGAGCTTTTCTTTAAAACGGAAACAAAAGGCAACATCAGCCCTTAAAAAACCTTTAAGAAATGTTTCAATATAAATTTGTAAATCAGATTCATATCTCCAGATTGCGGTGTTGTCAGGAATATAAAACCTCGTTGGTGTCCTCATGCACCAAAAGCTGTCATTTAAAGAAGATCTGAACTGACGATGTCTTAGTCTTTTTGATTTATGGCTTATTCACCCTCCAATGGATGACCGATTTATCATTAAAATGATGATGTTAAAGTCCATATGATGCCAGCTGTGTAGCTAACTTCTGACCAGTTATGGTTCAACTGAAGACGTCTAGTTCTATAAGTGAGCGTGTTCCAATGTGATCGGTAGGAAGTTTGATGAAGAGGCCTGCCCGCAAACGGGCTGACAATTCATCACCATGGTAACCAGAGCTGCTCGAACCATGTTTGTGTTTTTGTTTTTTTTGCAATTGCCTGTAAATTTGAACAGGAACGATTAGAAATGTATGGCATGAGTCATATTAGCATGAATGAGGGGACTGTGTGGAGCATAATGGCTGCATAGATAAGTCCAGTATTCTATGAAGATTAATTATATTTTACTTATAATATAATAATATATAATTAGCTTCAAGGTATCTCACCCTATAGAAGAATCTCTACTGTCTGATTGAGTCTGATGTTGTTGACTCCGTCCTCTATAATGATTTTATTTCCTCTTTCAAAGAAAACCTCTGTAATAGAGGATTGATAGAAAAGAGCCTTACACGTTTTGGTGCTGCCCTGGAAGTTTGACCGCATTTGTCTTGCTACATCATAGGATTTGTTATGTGGCCATTTATCATCTACGCATGAAAAATGGTGTACGGTAAATGTTCCTTGTCTAAATGTTAACTCACAAAAGTTCCAGCAAAAAGAGCCATGGCTGTGATTTCTCCAACTGGCCTAAAGCTAGGAAAAGAATTCTAGAAAAAGAAAAGATAGCTTAAATATATTTTTTACGAGCCATGGTCACACTCCCACTCAGCCTGCTGTCTCTAAGATCATCTGCTAACCTCAAGTTGTCTTTTTCCTTCCAGGTTTCAGTGAGGACAGTCTTCTGTCTCTGCTGGACTTCTCGTACTCCTCCACCCTGTGCGTTCGTCAGGAGGACCTGTCTGAGGTCTGTGCCATGGCCCGCCACCTGGGCATGTGGCCTGCTGTGGAAGCCTGCTCTGCCCTCATCAAAGAGCAGGAACAGCAGCTTCATCCCGCCAAGAACTTTACCTCAACCCGTGCTAGCGCGTGCCGTGACCATCACCAGCGAAAGGAAGGGCTCTCCCGATTAGGCAGCGTGAACGACGGCCTCAGTCTGAGGCGGGGGTCTTCTGATGAGGAGGGAACTCCCAGGCGCAACTTGCGCCGAATGCCAAAAGCCCAGGCCCAGGCCCAGGCCCATAATGGCCTCCCTCTGAGTCCCTCACACAGGATGAAGCTCATGGACTTTAAATCTCCCTCCTCCAAAAAGACCACTATCTCTCGTCATGCCATCGCCACTTCGCAGCCACGGAGTTACTCACCCATGTCGGCGTCAAACACCCGCCTACTCCGCTCCTCCCCAGGAGCTGCCAAGGAGGTTCAGAGATTACTGCCTGTGCCAGAGCCCCCTCGAAGAAACAGGAAATCTCATTCCATCACGCAGCTCTCATGCTCATCCAGATCGAGACCCAGCAGCGCGTGCAGCCCCATCAGAGTCAAACAGGAAGTGGAGGATATCGGAGAGGATGAGATGGATTATGCACGAGCGCAGGAGAAGTATAAGTTGATGAATGTCCTGGGTCTACAGAGGACTGCGCTTCTCCCCAGACCAGAGGATCTGATTGGCTGGAGGCAGAAGAAACGCCTTAGGAAGTTGAAGGCCAACAACTACTCACTGACCAAGCGGAGGAAACCCCGCCCTTCATCCCCAGTACTGTTGTATAAGGATATGGCTCTGTCCCTTCCTCTCTGTAACCCCGTTAGCACTCGACTCCTCAACAAGTGCGTTAAGACCAAGCCTGTGAGCTCAGCCACCACTGAGCAGATGAAGGCCAAGAAGCGTAAAAACATCAAGCGCTGTGTTCCTCCCACCGACAGGAGCATGCGAAGCAAAGGGGGGCCGTTACCAGACCTGTTTCAGCAAACATCCAGGCCTGTCTTTGGGGGGAAGGAGCTCAGGCGCTCTGTGAGGAAGGCCAATAGCGGCCGCCTGCCGGCCCAGCAGCCTCTGCGACACTGCGTCACCAAGAACCTAGTGAGAAGCAAAGTCCGGATCAAAGCCGAACCAGATGAGTACTCTATTTCAGATCACAGGTTTTCATCAAATAATCATCACGTCCACACGGCTCACAGATCCCCGCCTTCACCGAGTGCGCATGCTAGAGGAAAGGTCGGCGTAGAGACCGTGAAAACGCTGCGTTACAACAGCGGCCGAGCAGCCTCCAAGGCTAGACCACGCCGGAACTCCACGAAGGAGGGCGACAAGACCAAATGCCAGCCCGGAGAGGAAGGGAGGAAGGTGGGCGTGGCCATTAGACCAGAGCCGCAGGACACTGCAGCTTACGGGCATCAGTTCTCAGAGCATGCACCGCCGCCGTCCATTTACAGCCATCCACTGTACAAAGCCATCAAAGAAGAACCAGCAGACCCCGTGCCTGTGGCAGCTTTCCCGGACCCCCCCTCCCCAGACCTGGGCAAACGTCAGAGCAAGCCCCCCATCAAGCTGCTAGATTCTGGGTTTCTGTTTAGCTTCTGTCGGCCAGCAGGCGGGCCCATGGCCGGGCTGAAAAAAGAGGAGGAGAGCGTGGATATCTGTTTGACGCGTTCTGTGTCGCGGGTCGGGGAGAAATTGGTGGCAGAGGAGGCTCCCCACAGGAACCTGAGGGCCAGGGCGCCACCCGTCCTACCTGTGGTGAAGAAGGAGAGGGAGGAGAGGAGAGTGACCCAAGACCAAGCTCCAAGACTCAGGAAAACCTCTCGAAACACCACCTCACATCTGTCCAGATGTGTTGGGTCAAAGACAACAGAAACCATGCCAAAGGTAGATATCGGATCATTCAGTGACTTACGATGCTGAGTTTGGATCACTGGATGTGGAGTGCCTTAGAAATTAAACAAAAAGAGTTAAATGATCCACATGTTTTATTATCTTAGATATTATTCTGTTTCTTAAATGAAGACAATTGTCACTTATTTAGGTATGCAAACTATGTGCACATTCATCCAGACTTTTCTCCCTCCAGCACCAGGGTAAACTGAACGCTCCGAGCAGTAGGAGCTGCGCCATGCTGGACGCCGTACGTCGAGCCCGCCTAAAGCAGCTCCGAGGACCTCGCAGTCAAGCACCCAAAGTTCCAAAGGGGGCCCACGCTTGCCATCAGTGCCCAGCCACCTACCAGGACTGCGACTCTCTGATTATGCATCAGCTCAGGCACATCGAGGGGAAGCATTGGCCCTGTCCGGTAAGCACCCATTTCCTAGACTTTACACTCCAAAGCCACTGTTAGAAGGTCCAGTAGCGGGTAACTCAATTACAGCCCGTTTCAAAGTAAGCACACCAAACTTTAGCTCCATTCTGTTGTTAGTTTGTGGTGTTAAAACAGTCACACTAAGGAAATGCTCAGTGTTAGGCTGCTTCCTCATAACGAGGTCATGGACAGAAGGTTGAAATAAACCAGCTCTGAATGAACAGTGTAAAATATTTTAATCAACCTTTACGGTCACCTGTTTTTTTTGCGATCCAGACTGGACTGTTTTGGTTTCAATGAGTTTATATGGTTCCGTCAAATAGTTGTGACCATTTAAATTAACAGATTTTCTTTGACTTAGCATACATGATCTCATGAGGCGAACACTGACTTCACATTTGTCGTCACTTAAAAACAAGTTTATTGAGACCTCTTTGGAAACTCAGAACACTTAGATTGGTCACATTATTCCGGGTATGGATCCCCATCCTGGTTCAAATCTGCACATCCCAGCGTCCGGTCTAGAGAGCCTCTGTGTCTGTGGCCTGTCGCTCCTGTGCCCCTGACCCGGGGCTCGCCCTCTCTGTTCCCCGTAGCTCTGCAGCAAGACCTTCTTTCGACTGAGGAATGTACGGAATCACATCCGCACCCACGACCCCAAGCTGTACAAGTGCCGGAGCTGCATCGCCGCTGGCTCCTGAGCCGCCCGCCGGAGGCCCAGAGCGACGTGAGTGAAAGCGGCGCTCTCAGAAGAGCGGGCTGCACGCGGGTGCACCGGCCCTCTGACGCCATGTGTTTGTTTTCCAGGACGGCGGCGGTCGGCGTCACGCCACCGGTCAGCAGCTTGTACATAAAGCATCCTTCTCACGCAAGCACAACGGTCTGTGGAAAGGCAGAACTCCTCTAGATCCTAATTGTCGCTGATGTCAGTGATCCCTAATATTCTAATATTATTTAAATAACCAAACCAAGGTCGCCGTTTCCCGTTTGCTTATCGGTAGCTACTTGAAGATTTCGCTCAGGGGTCGGGGAATGTGACGCCACCATATATAGTCATTCAACGTCACGGTTGTGTATAAAATGAAATGTAAAGTGATTGTTATAACTATTACTGCTACTTATTGTTACCTTTATTTTTCTATGTATAGATGAATGTTGAGTGCACTTATATCAAAGCTTTTGTTTGAAACCTAAGAAACGGTCAGAAACTGAAGGCGGGAATACTTGAAGTTAAAGCAAGTGCTGGAGGGAATACTTGAAGTTGGAAGCAGGGGTTTGGAAGAGTGAGCCTGTCCTTTGAGTATCTCAGTGGGTCTTTGTCCTTTGGTGTGCTAACCTTTAAATGATTCGTCGTTTCCTATCGATCTGCTGGTGACACCACTGCATGTGTATCCGCAGGCCATTTGTAGTCCACTGTCTTTTCTAAGGCTTCCGGTTTTAAAAAGGGAAACGCGTCTCGTTTTTAATGTGAATTTCTTAATCGTAATCAAGACAACAGCATCCTGACAGATATTTTATTAATCGCCTCTTCTTCTCTCACGCAAGAAATCCTCTTGCTCTACTTAAAATTCTCCTACTGAGTAAATGCAATGTGCACATACAGAGATGTTTATGTACCACAAACTGATTTGAGAAATAAATGAGCTGTCTCTGGCTATCTGTTAAAAGATTGAATAAATTTTTGCCTTTTATGTCCTTGTTTTCTTGTTATTTTTCTGTTCTTAGCTGTTTGAAACTGAAAGGAAAAGGGAAGGGCACCCAGTGAAGAGCACTATTTGATTAGTGGTCATAAAGCCTTTTATTCCAAAAGGAATCTCAATCTTCTAACAAAGTTTTAAAAGTCTCAAGTATGAGAATTGATCAAAGTTTTGGAAAACTACTACTTTATATCGATTTAGTGTTCTCAGTTTAATTACCCTTTTTTTGTTCTTTGTATGAAAAGAAACTTCCCCAAACTGTTGTCTGCTGTATATTTAGAAACAAAACTCTCGGACCAAACGGTAAAAGAAAACAAGTAAATCATCAAAAGGTGTGGCTCTGGAGGAGGATCCAATAAAATATGTCAAGCCTCTTATTCTCCAGCCCTGCCTCACAATCCATTCTGTGTAGCGGTTTGTTCCTTCTATCGGTGCAGCTTCACATCATTCTGCTGCAGCTCACAGACACATGGGCCTCAGACTGCACGCAGGGTCATAAAATCTGCTCACACATCGGCAACCGACGAAAAACCTGCTTGCAGAGTTTATTATAGGTCAAGTTTTGGAGGAACCTTTTAAAATAATTTGCATTTACTTTTTGATTAACCTTACCTTTGCACTAAGGCCATAAAGATAACCGGTTCTCTGTCAGATTACTTACTATAAATGATCAGACTTAGGCTGACAGCGAAATCAAGCTCTTCATTTGCTGGAGTTGTCATTCTTTTGATTAAAAAAAACAGAACCACTGAAGTAAAACTGCACAATGTTTTAGGTTCAGATAGCTTTGCAAATTAATGCAAACATTTAGATTTTCTCTCATGAAACGTGGTTAATTGAACTAATGAAAAGGGTATACTTAGATATTTTAAAATGTTTATATTGGTCCATTAAGATTTCCTAATGAAAACATTTTCTAAGCCTCAAAATCTAAATATTCCACCAGAATCTAGAAGCGGTTTTTCGTACACATTTGGCTACACGTTGAACAGAGCACCATCAGTGTTCCTGAGCAAATCACTGAAACTCAAACTGCTGAATGAAGCTCTCCCTAAAGCACACAGAGAGAACCATCATTTTCCAGCTTTCATTAAACCAGACAAACAGAGGAAGCGAGGGCTCTCATCATCCTCTGTTACAACTGGCAAACATACAAAAAACCACAATCTACATTGGTATGTCTCATCACCAACAACCTGAAATACTGGAGGAAAAATGGCTGTTTGAATGGACGATCAGAGACATTCACGCATACAGCCGTAGAAAGAAAAGCCCTTAACAGTCAATCACCCAGCAATTACTAAACCAGAATTCCAGAATTTTATAAACAGGTGAAAGATAAATGGTAAATCTAAAAAAAAATTTTAAAAACGTAGTTGATCTCTCATGGAAGCCAGAAGACCGTTTCATCTCAGCTGATAAGTGTCCCTTTAGAAAATTAGGGCAAAAACCTACAAAAAGATGAGAGTCAAACAAGTAGATGATGGCTGGCCTTTAAAAAAAAAACATTTTTACCAACTTTTGAACTTACTAAAATTTACTTGCAACTTATTGATGTGTTAAATTCATGTATCATATTTAAAACAACAGTAAATAGTGATAGCGAGCTCTGCTCAACTCAAGAAGAAGACCAAAAAGAACAAGATGAAGGAAGACTATGAGCATGCAAAAGAGATCAGTGATGCAAAGTGGAAGCAGCCTGTTCAGGCCTTGGAAAGTAAACCAGGCAATAGAAAAGTCAGTCAGCAATTCTTCTTGTCCCAAAAAACTCATGCAATATTTAATCTTATTTTCTTTGTGAGTATTTTCCTTTTTTCCATTTTTTGCGTTTCTCATATAAGATTAGTTTAAGCAAGTGATGTTTATTTTCAAAATGAATTCCATACACAACAATGAATCATTAAAGTGCTTTAAAAAGGCATTTTTAAAGCACAGGACTTCTCATGACCTTTTTTTGTCTGTAAAATTCATTTGTTAACGTCTCACTCTGCTGGTAGCCATCAGTATTCACCTCTATTCATGTCCTTCTGATAAATCCTTCATTTTGTGATTCAGCTTTCCCCCTCTTTATGCTACAAGAACAATCTAACCTCAAAACGTGCTACAATTTGGAGCCATGAACTTAAATACATGGAACCCTTTCATCACAGTAAAGCAACAGTTCCCTAAACGGACGCCAGAGGGCAGTCTGCACTTGTGCATACGGATGGGTGCCTGGTAACAAAGCACTTCCAATGCAAAATGGTTCCAGTTTTATTACTTCTGGGAACCTCAAGACACCCCCAAAAAATGTGTTATACATCTGATTGGTTTTGGGGGAGAAAATCTGCTCAGGGTTTGTTTGTTTTATTTGCTTTGTTATATAAAAATATCAATCGCCTCTGTGTCCTTAGTTTTAGCCGTACAAATTGGGAGGGTTTGTAGCTCTGCTTTTGCACAGATATGGTGTTAGGGTTCCTATTAGTTAACAGGAAACGGTGGGGACCAAAATCCTAACATCCCCGGGCATGGCAGCGTGTTGCCGCTTACGGGAGGGTAAAACTCTGAGTGCCCTCACACTGCAGCATTATTCGGGGGGCCTGGGTGTACTTTTCCAGCCTGGTGGCCAGCAGGGCTTACTTGGGTTACCCTGGCCCCAGCAGCCGCTGCACATGCAGGCTTATGTGAGTTTTGGGAGCCATGGAGAGTACGCCCAGGAACAGCTGACAATTTATGCTAGAGGGGCCCCCACATTCTCAGAGAGAGAGGAGAGAAGAAAGAGGGGGGGTAGGGAAGAATAAGGGCAGAAGACGGGAGAGAGGCTGGGAGGGGAAAGGAGAGGGAAAGAGAGAGAGAGAGAGAGAGAGAGAGAGAGAGAGAGAGAGAGAGAGGATGGGTGGGAGTAAAGCACAGAGTGGCTTTTTGGGGTGAGAGGGAGAGTGAAAAAAAAACAAGGGGGCAGAAAGGGAAAACGAGGCAGTCTTGTTTGTAGCTTGTCAGCAATTGCTTGAGACAAGCTTCCCCTCCATGTGTGAAAGCTACTTGGCAGGAATGCTTGGGCCGTACCAAGTGGAGCCAGGCGAGGGGGGGGGATCCGCGGCAGGAACAGACCCGGATTGAGGAGCCAGTGTGTGGCTGAAGTAATCCTTCGGCAGTGTCGGCTCTTTGATGTTGTATCTTTGTGTGTGTATGCGTGTGGAGGGAGGAGGAGCGGTGTGTGGGTGTGAAAGGGGCTGCAGAGAGGGTTCTGTATGAATATGTGCTCTCACTCCCCAGCAGCAACAAAAGAGAGGGAATGAGACACCCCCCCCCCCCCCCCCCCCCCCCCCCCCCCCCCCCCCCCCCC